CGGAGCAGTCCACTGCGACTCCCTGGCCGTCTGTCACCGCTGCTAACACGGCGAACGCAGCGCCGTGGTCCACGGCCGCAGCGACCGCCGCATGAATACGCGCGTCTAGTTGTTCCTCTAACTGCCGCCGCTGTGCATGGGGGACTACCTGCGGAAGTGGCGGCTGCGGAAACGGCTGAAAACCAAGGTCTTGAAGCCGCGGCAGTACGACGACCCGGTGTAACTCTCGCGGCTGGTCCACGACAATGTCCGGCGGCAGCACCGGGTTGTTCGGGTCCGGAAACGGCGGCTGGCCGGAGACCCGATGGATTGTGGGGCTGGCCGGGTCATCGACGGCGGCCGGCATCGTTTTTCGGAGGAGGAGGGGGGGGCTGAGCCGGAGGAGGGCGACCGGTTATAAAAAAAAAGGAGAGGGAGCAGTAGCGCGTGCGTCGAACTTTTATTTTAGGATAATAAAAAAAGGGGGGGGTGAGAGAGGAAAAGGAAAGCCGTTGGTCACCCAGAGACGCTCTGTGCATTTGCCCGGATTTGATAATCAGCCACAAGGCCCGCTTAAACAAACTCCAGAAAGCCCGGCGAGGGATTCATGGCCCTCTTTCACCACCACGGGCTACGTCATTTGGAGCAAGGGGGGAGACGAGACGAAGACGGAGAATGGAGACGAAGGGAAGAGGAACCTGGGGGGTGAAGGGGGAAGGGGAGGAGGGGGGACCAATTGGGGGATGAGGTAGTGTGGAAGGGAACCATTGTCGTCGGGCAAAAGGGGGAACAGAAGAGTGACGAAGAAGGAGGCGAAGGAAAAGAGCACATACCATGGAGTTCAGATGACCGAGGATGTCTCGAAGAAAAACGACAAGCTCCAAAACGGGAAACAATCCGGAAATATTGCTCTGCAGACCAGACAAGCCAGAAACACCAAGACCGAACAAATCAACCGCAGGAAACCAGGAACCAGCGCTTCCCCCAATGGTAGACCAGCCCAGCTAAAGTTGCCGTGCAGACCAACGACCCCCCTACAGGCTGCAAGGGCGGGAAGACAAAGGAAAGGCGCAGGAAAGGGCAAGGCAAGGTAAGGTAACCTTGAAGGAGCTGAGAAGAGAGAAAAGGCGGCTAGGGGGTTTTTCGTGGTGGTCCTGTCAGAAAGGAACGTCCCGCCAGCGCATCTGTAGCGCGGCAAAGGGGGGGGAAATATGCAGCCCCAGCAACAAGGTCCCAGAAAAAAAGAATGAGAGGAAAAAAAAATTCAATAGACAAAAAATAAAAGAATCGAAAAAAAAGAAAGAAAAAGAACGGAGAAAACCAAGGTGTCCCTGAGCTCAACTCTGCTTCTGCTGCTTCTCACAGCTTTCCTCGGATCGTCTTCAGCTTCAGTCTTCCCGTTCCCGTCACACCCTCCAGGAAAGCTTAATATAAGAAAAATTGCCGATAAGGAGCTTCTCCCAATAGGCTGCTCGAATTCCCGTTGGCAGTCTGCGGTGGCGGCTTTCAGCTTTCTGTGCGTCTCTCGCTCGCTTTTTTCCGTTGGTCGTCTCTCTCTGCTGTGCTGAAAAGTTCGTCGTGCGACGTTCTGCTCGGACCAAACAAACACTGGATTCTCAGGCCTTTTCTGACAGCACTTTAAGCGGGAGGCGCTCTTTTTTTTCCCCTTGGTGTGTGGCGTGACTTTTGGTGAGACTTGAGGTTTGCGTTGTGCGTCGGCGGATTAAAAGGTATTTGTCGGTACCTTGGCTACCTTGCTGTGGCCATCGGAAGGACGGTTTCTCCGCTGGATGTGCGCCGCCTTTGGGGTCTTTCGAGCCGCGCCTTGTAGGTTAAGCTGGCGAGGGGACGCGAGAGGAAGAAGGGGCACAATATGATGGACTGTATGAACGAGTGTACCTTGTTGAAAGGTCTGAGTTATCATCTCTCTCCAACTCCATGTTACAGGTGTTTATGTATCTGATGTCAGGCGTGGCTGCCGTCTCGGTATATTCGTAGCCGTTCCTTCTCAATCAATCCGTCTGTTGTCTCCGTCAGTTACAAAGTCGAGATGCAGGACGACAATGCAATTGCCAGCCATGAACCTGCAAGTCTACCTCTTTCGACAGAGCAGCAGAGCAAGCAGCAATGAAGCCGAGCAGTGAAGCGTAAACAGATCTCAACGTGACCATGACACAGGCTACAAGCCAGGTTAAAAGTATTCCTCTCATTGCAATCATGCATATACATCTATTATACAAGTTTTTATAACCCCCCCTCTCATCCATCTAGTAGTTGCAACCCGTAACCTCCCAAGAAAAACTAGATATAGGTATTTCATACACTTCCCTTGACAGCCTTCTCAATCTCAGCAGCGCTCTCCTGCACACTCCTCAGCTGCGCCTCGATGATGCCCAGGTGCACTCCCAGCGCAAACTCCGACGACGCCGCCTGCTCCGCCGCCACCCCCTTCTCTCCCTCTGCCGCGACCGTCTGTCCCATCATGTTGACCAGGTCCTCCTCGGAAACCTCCTCCTGCTGCTCTCCCAGATACTGAGACCTCAGCAGCTTCAGCTCCTCGTCGGTGAAGCCCTGGATGTTGGCCTGCATCTGGCCCATGACCTCCTTTCGCTTGGTGACGGCGGCCTGCACTTCCTTCCTCATGTGGCGGCTGAGTTCTGGCGCCGTGTTCCATGAGACATCGCCCCTGGCGGCATCTTGGAGCCGTCGCTTCTGGCCAGCTTCTCCGGCTCGGCCAAGTACTCCCGCAACCAGAGCCATCGAGCGAAGACTGGTGAGGAGGAACGTTAGTGCTTGAACTAAATCTGACAGCGCTTGAAATCTGGGATTGGTAGCTCTCACCTGTCATCGTTTGCCGGAATCGTATACGTGACCCATGACGGATCGGCGTTTGTATCGATCACTCCAATCGTGGGGATATTCTTCAACCCGCACTCATACAGCAGCGTGTAATTCTCCAGCGGGTTGAGGCACACCACCAGGTCAGGCAGCAGCGGTCTCGCCGTCCCCTTGAACATGTCGAACCCATCGAGCTCCCGATCCAAATGGTCCACCACCCTCGTGCCCTGCGTCCTCAGAATGACATCTCGGTTCGTGATGGCGCCGGGAGTCCACTTCGTAAACAGGTGGTACGCGCCCGCCAGCTCAGACGCCTTGGTCACAATCTCCATCTGCCCCTTCCGGGTCCCGACAAAGAGGATGATGCCGCCCCGGTACGCCACCTCCTCGACAACCCTCGCCGCCCGTCGAAGATGCGCCGCCGTCGTCTCCAGCGAAATGATGTGAATCCCCTGCCGCACGCCGTAAATGTACCGCGAGTTGGCCGGGTTCCACAGCGACGTGTTGTGCCCCATGTGCGTCTGCGACGCCATCAGCAGCTCCAGCGTAACGTCCTCCGGCCGCGGCGGGTTGCTGATAATCTCCGTGGGGACGTAGCGCTTCTCCACGTCCGACCCGAGGCTCCTCGTGTTGCGCTGGATCCGCAGGAACTCGGCGTACTGCTGCGCCGGCGTCAGGGTCTGCTTGCCCTTCTGGTGAGGCTTCGTCCAGGCGACGCCGTGGTGCTCCTGCGACGAGTTGGCGCCCAGCGTCATGATGACTTCCTCGACAATCTTTTGCTTCTTCTTCGCGGACGAGACAATTTTGGGCGGCGCGGCGGCGGCCTGCGGAGACGGCCATGCCTGATTCTGTCCATTCGCCGTCGTGGCCGTCGCTGTCGTCGTCGTCTTCACTTCGGTCGAGAGATGCCGCAGAACGGCTCTGGGCAGAGGAGATGCCAGTGCGCGGCGGCCTAGAAAATCTCTATGAGCATGTACCCTTCTTCTTCCGCCTCCCGCTCCCCCCCCTCCATCTGCATTATTGTTCTTCTCCCTTCTTCAGGGGGCCTCAATTGGACTCACCGTGCCGCACAGCAGCGCTCTGGACATTCATGACGGCTTGAATCGTTGCGCTGCTGCTGCTGCCGTCCGACTGTCAATGCTCTGCCGGCGTCCAAAATTTGGATCACGCCGCTATCGATGGAGCCTCGACGGCGGCGCACATTTTCCGGTTCCGCTGCTCTTTTGCTGCTACGGTTTTCGACCCCGCCATACTAGAACTTGCCAGCGCAAATTTACCCCACGTCGTGGCTTGTGATAGTAACACGCCATCTTGCAGTGCCGAATATTCATATTACGGCACCAGATAGCATAGAATCATGACAATGATGATGCACAAATACTCAGATCGGCACTCGTCAAGCAGCGAGTTTTTGAAGAGAATATAATAGAATTCAAACGGAGAGAGAGAGAGAGAGAGAATAAGCCCTAAATCTATGACGATTTGTCTGTGCTCGAGAAGTCTACAGTTACCAATGCCAACCAACTTTTCTTCATAAGGTCATCATGAAATGATATGAAATCCCACAACAAGGGGATTGCATTGCTCTCTTTTACCGGCTAGTCGCTCTGGCAATAGTAAAAACACCAATTATAACCACCGCAAGGGTAACAATGGCTCCGGGCAGCAGCAGGTCGTTGGGCACGCCGGCAATGAGCTGCTCCTGGTGGACAATCGTCCTCGACCTCCGCGTCCGGCGCGCGGGCCGCTCCTCCTCCTCCTCGGATTCCTCCTCCTCGCTCTCAGACTCTTCCTCCTCGTAGGTGGTCCTCCGTCGCTCGCGAAGACCGGCAGATGACGAAGCGGGGGTGGGCAGGGCGTCCACTGACGGCGCCGAGGGTGGCTTCTCTGAGTCGTGAACGAAGAGGTCGACCTTTTCGAGATGTGCCTGGCGCGCGAGGAGGATGGCCTCAAGGAGGTCGTTGTCGGTGGTGATGGACACGCTGTCACCCTCGTTGTCCATGTAGCTGAGGGCGAATCCGGAGCCTTCGATCCTGCCCTCGAAAACCTCCGGCACGCCTCCGATGCTCTCCACCTCGTGGCCCAGCTTGGAGGCGACGGCATGCACAAACGCCTCGATGCCGTGCGAGGCAACCACTTGTAATCGGTGGACGCGTCCCGAAGGCGCCTTGAACTTGAACGCAAACGGAACGTCGGCGGTCGTCACGTCGGGGGCGACGGAGCGAGGGGGCGAGTCCATTCCTATATGGGATGCGGAGTCGTTGGGCGCAACGCTGTCGCCAAGACGGTTCGCCTCGGGTGACATCATACGAGACCCAAGGTGATGGTGATGGTGGCTGTGGCTGCCATCGCCAGACAGCATCGACTCCGTCTCGTGGTCGATGGAGAGCCAGAACTTGTTCCATGCTGGGCCCTCGCCGTTGTCGCTCGACATTGTGTTGATTTGCTCCAGCGTGGCGTACGTCAGCTTGAGCACGTCCACCATTCCCACAATCTCGCCGCCATCGTTCATGACGGGAAGGTTGAGATAATGGCCATCTGGAACACGAGTGTTAGGCACATGCTTGACCATGTTTCTGCGGTTCGTATGCAAGGGAAGGAAAAATTGAAAGCCATGAAAAAACAGAGCTAGGATGAGAGCAGTAAAGGCGAGAATGGGGATGGGGAGATGAGATGCTTGAGAAATAGCTTACCATGCATCTTTCGCAGGGCTGCCTGAATGGTCATGTCCATTGGGGCAAAATCGGGGTGAGGGGTCATGACACGCACGACGCTGCAATTGGCCGGGTCGAGCCCTGGAGCAATGACACGAAGGACGACGTCCTTGCTCGTGAAAATGCCCGTAATGGCCCCCTGGTCCTGCACCAGCACCGCCGTGGTGTGGTTCTCCTTCATCATGGCCGCAGCCTCCTTGACCGAGGTCCGGACGCTGACCGTCGTCGGCGGGATGCCGTTCAACACGGACTCGAGGGTGGGCCCCGACATTTTGGATCGGAGGGCCTCGACGTACTGGATGATCTGCTGCGGCTGGCTGGCGCCCAGCTCCGACTGCACGCCCTCCAGGGCGTCGTACAGCTTCCGCGAGGAAGAGTATGCGCGCTCCAGCTTCTCCATGGCGTCGTAGAAGCACTTTGTAATGTCCAGCACACCCGAGATGTCCTGGTTCTCGTCCATGACGGGCAGGTGGCGGAAGCCCTTGCGGACCATGAGGTCCAGCGCATCCGTCGCGCTGGTGTCGGTCCGGGCACATAGGGGGTTCTTGGTCATGATCTCGGCAATGGTGACGTTGGCGGCCTTGAGCCCGGCGCCGACCACGCGGAACGCAAGGTCCTTGGCCGTGAAGATGCCGGCAATGCGGTCATCGTCGTCGGTGACCAGCACGCAATCCTCCCTCTTGGCGGCCATCAGCTGAGCGGCCTCGGAGACGGTGGTGGCCGGCTTGATCTGGAGGGCCTGGCTCGGCTTGAGGGCAAGCACAGTCCCGGGAGGGGCCCTGCGAATCTGTCGTGACCGGCCCGTGAGAGTCTTTTTCTTGGAGAGATCGTTCTCCATTTTCCTGCGAATCGCCTACACGATGCGCGCGTTAGCCAGGAGAACGCCCAACTTGCGGCCGAGGGGTTGTTGAGCAGCTCCCTGTCCCCGACCCCCCCTTCTTTCTTCTCATCCTCCACAAGACTCGAGGACAAAGCTAGAGCAGAGAGACGGCCAACGTACCTCATCGCGCTTGGACTGCTTCTGCCTGCTCGCGCTCAGACTGGCCGAGCTCTGCTCGCTGGGCTGCTGGGGCTCGAGGACGGGACGAGGGATGCCGGACGTCGCGATGGCAGGGCCGGCATTGTTGAACGGGGTGGTGCTCCGGGGCTGATTCCGGCTCGGGGCGTTGCCTCTGGAGGCGTTTACCATCGACATGGTGGCTGCGGTCCGCGACTCGGCGTCAAGGAAGCTTGCTGGCGAGAGAAGATGCAGAACAAGGATGCACGTCGTCGCTGGACAGAGAAGGCAATAGAGAAAAAAGAAGGCGAAAACGGACTTCAATTCCCTGGAAGCAGATTTTCCCGAGTCAGGCAGAGGTGCAGCCAATGACAGTGGAGGGAGGGATTTTCAAGGGTGACGAAATGAAGTCGAAAGGTCGGTCACCAGATATTGAGCCCTGGCCAGGCGGCTTCACCCCTGCAAGGTTCGCTGTTCTTTTCTGTTCTTCTGACTGGCTCAGGCAGCAGGACGAACCAGGTGAGCCCGACCCTGTGGGTTGGCGCGGTGACTGCAGGTGGTGCAGCTTACAGGCGGCTTTAGGGGCCTGCACCGCCTGTAGCGCCTGTACGAGTAGCGCATGAAGCAGGCGCCGCACAACCCGGGAACTCCCATCCATCGTGGGCCGCTGGAAGCACCCATCAGGGTTGGGTCGGAAAAGAGCGCAGCAGCAGCAGGCCCGGCCTAGGGCTGCAGGTGCTCAACAACAAGGGCAGGGCTGGTTCGTGGGCTCGGATCCGCTGTTTGGGGATGGAGTCACTGTTGATGAATCCAGCTGTCTGGAAAGTCGGTGCATATGTTGGTGTAGCTTATGTTTGCTTCACAGGTCGTACGAGGGATCTGCCGGTTGATCAAGGGAGGGGCTACATGTATCCAGCATCCCAGCAACACAGCTTTATGAGTACATGTATTGTGCTGCTGGGAGTAGGCAAAAGAAGGAGAAGAAGAAGGAAGATACATAACCACTCTCTGCTATTACTGCCATATCCTAGTAGATAGAGTATGCCCTATATAAAGACAAATGATTCAACTTTATATCTGCAGACTTGAACTACATGTAGACAGCAGCTGCCTTCATCAACAGATGTTACACGTCAGGCACGTCGTGTTGGGGGCACCAGAAGTATTTTGCAGCAACGCAGAGAGTAGATGGCTTCACCAGAGGGTGGGATACGAAGCAAGCACTTACCTACCTTATCTCGAGTAGGGCGTCCATGTCTGGCTGCATGACTCACATGCTGCCCCAAGATTCAACCCAAGGCAATGGACCGCAAGATGGCGTGTCTCATCATGTGAACATGAATACTAGTACTACATGACATTGTCTCTGAGCCTCCACAGCTCATCCGCGCTCAACGAGCGTACGTACGATACTCATCTGCGAGCTCTGTAGACCCAGTTGCCTGATGCGTCCCGCCGTGAATGAGGAAACCCCATGTCAACTGCTGCACTCGGTAATAAATGAGATACATCACTTCCCATCCTTGAGAAGCACGCACTTTAAGCACCCTTCAAGCCTTGTGGAGTCCCCCTTCATGCCTTCTATTCTTCGGTGACGATGTGTCATGCTCAAGCTCTCCAAGCTAAGGTAGGCCTTGGTCCAGGACCGGGATAACTCCATATTTTCTCATGCAGCTCGATGCAGCAACATGGGAGCCATCGATGCTCAAACAAGGAACTTGGTGCAGCAGCAGCAGCAGCAGCAGCAGCACCTTTCCACCCTCTGCACTCTGTATGTAAGTAATACTATTAGCTTGCTAGCATGCACTGGGAATCACTTCCAGTGCTATTATCGTGCCTCATCACTCATCTTGCATGCTGCCAACTTACATGTTGTTGGTGGATAAGCGGGCCCAAGCCCCCCCTATGTAGGAACACCGAAACCAACGACTCCCCTCTTCCTCAGCACCATCTCGCACATGCAGCAAAAGCAATTGAACCCACGAAGCCGGCAGTGGCTTCACCAGTGGCGTGTTTCCAGCCAAAGCCGTGCAGCCACTCGCTCCCTCCCGTTCCCGCGCGGATGGCTTTTGCCTTTTTCTATTTCTGCGCCACTCTCAACCAACGACGCCTCTCCAATCTCCCATGCATTATTTGGCGTCCATGGTCTGTTGACGGCTTCAAATCAGCACGCCAAGGTGACCACGTCGTCCTCCTACTGGCCCTCCGTCAGAATCGTCATGTTTACATTTTCCCTCTCTCTCTTCTTCTCTCTCTCTTGTTTTTTATTACTACCCATGTCCCTCTTCCAGGCTCTGGGTGCACCGCCCACTTGATTGGGCGCTTCCGCACTTCTGTTTTTGTTTTGTTATTGATGATAATCAGCCCCCCCGGCAGACGAAATTACTTCGCCGGGCAATTTCCGCTTTTGGACATCGCACACTTTTTTTTTACACCGTATGGTGACGTCGATAAATATTACTAGAAGCAGCAGTAGTCGCGGCTAGATGTTTATGGACATGGGTGAGAGAGAGAGAGCAGGGCGAAGATCCAATCGCTGGCGTTGCCATGGCGCGCGTCAGCTGGCTCGTCTAGTTCGCAAGGGCCATGGTCTACAAGTACAATGTACAAAACAATGAGGCTGTTGCCAATGTTTTTATTACAATCGCCGAGAGGAGGAAACGCAGACGCCGGGGGTGTGCGATTGGTAGTAGATGTGCTGAAGCAATAGTGTCGGCCAGGTAGGCGGCTATCTTTGCATCTGATACGTTCGGCGGGAAGGAAAACAACAGCACGGAGGGCCTTTGGGGTTCCTCTTCACGGGGGAAACACTGGCCGTAAGAGTGGTTGTCTAATTCCATCCGTGTACACGTCCTTCACAGGGATGCATTGGGAGGGGAAAACACAGACTCAGACCACTTCTACCTGCCTAGTCCAGGTGAGAGTGAGATATCAATCTCAGCCTGAGACACGGACGGCTTCACTCAGTTCACGTTGTCCTGCCAAAGGTGTCAATCAGTCTCAATCGCGCCGCCCTACGAATATACTACCACAAATTGTGCCGCAGTAGGACGCTCATTGAGCAAAGCCAACAAGCTAATCTACCGCGTGTTGATCACTTCATAAGAGTACATAACGTCTTCATCACATGCTTCCATCCGACTCACAGAGTAAGCGAGAACCATGTACAGAATGCATGGAGAGTCTCCGCAAGAGTCGGCGGCATCAGCATCCCGAAGCCAGTAGCAGGCCGACAACTCATCCGTCCTCACGGGCAACGCCCAACTGCGGATCTCTCCCAGAATCAACACCCTCTTTGTTCCTGGCCGCCGTCTCGAGACATCCGCCGGGGCTGTTTTAAGCTGCCACATAGAGGCCGATAGGCGCGGGCTATTGGTGGAGACGTTTGCGTTGGCCCGTTGCCCTGGCGACCACATCCCATCCCATCCATGAGCTCCTGGGGACCATACCTGCAGCTCAGCCGGCCCTTGGAAACTTGGATCCGGAAATTCCCAATTCAACCCCAATTCATTCTTCAAACCCAGCTTCACGCTTCACCGTCTGTCAATAGAGCAGCCCGCCTCTGGTATCATGTTTGATGAAGCGCGACAGCAAGCCGAGCCGAGCCTCTCAGCTGCTACCGGCACATCCTGCCCCAGCGCCTTTGCAAGCGACAAGCCCTTGAGCGCCGTACCCATGCAGACATCGCACTATATGAACATGAACGGCATGAAGTATGAATCAGCTAAGTTACCGGGGCGCACTGAGAGTGTTACTGCTGATGATTGGATGCTTCACCCAATGACAAAGCTAGAAGGACCGCAGATGAGGTCGCCCGCCGCCGGCGGATATGCGGCTCAGCCGTCGTCGCAACCTCGGCTTCAGCACGGCTACGGCGCGCAGGATTCTCCTGCCGATCGCCCTCATCGCCATCGCCGCACCGAGTCTGCAGCCAGCATTGCCAGCGCGGCTAGCATCGCCGATATCAACATCGATGAGACGCGAACCGAGACGGGCGTCACCGTCGAAGAGATTGCGCAGTACATCCAGGGACCTGAGACGACAGACGGAAAGTGGACGTGCCTCTTCGATGACTGCGGAAAGCAGTTTGGGCGCAAAGAAAACATAAAGTCCCACGTCCAGACCCATCTCAACGACCGCCAGTACCAGTGCCCGGCCTGCATGAAGTGCTTCGTACGGCAGCACGATCTCAAGAGGCACGCCAAGATTCACACCGGCATCAAACCCTACCCTTGCGACTGTGGCAACAAGTTTGCGCGGCACGATGCCCTCACAAGACATCGCCAACGGGGCATGTGCGTGGGCGCCTTCGACGGCATCGTGAGGAAGACGGTGAAGCGTGGGCGACCCAAGAAGAACCGCCCGGAGCTGGACGCGCGACTCGAGAAATCGTCAAAGACCAGGAAGAAGAACATGTCCATCAGTTCCATCTCTTCCTTTTCGGGTTATTCGGACATCTCCAACACCAACTCCCCGAATTATGAGCTCGACGTGCTGAACGAGGTGCTGGATATGGGAATTGAAGGCGAATCCGAGCCGTTGCGCTCCATCTCATCAGCGCCGATGCCCAGTCTGCCCAACTCAACAACAAACAGCAGCAGCCCCAGCAACCCCAGCATTGGCGCGTCTCCCTCGGAAGCCAGTGTCAGCTCATATGTGTCCCCGGAAGCAATCATGGAAAGGCCCTCACATCCTTCTTCTCCTGGCAAGAGCACACCGGGCCACTACAACACGCCGCCCGGCCTCTCTCAGTCATCGTCGTCGCCGCCGTCCTCCCACTTCTTCGAGCTGGATCCCGCCACATCAACAGCAGCGGCAGAGGACGTCGTCAGTTACTCTGCCGGCGGCATCATGATGAACATGTCCTCCATGAGCGCCCCCTTGCCTCTGAGCATCGGCGAGCAGGAGGACGATCTGCTTCGCCAGTTCACCAACGACGATAGCTTCATCCCGTTGGACCGCGACCAGAGCCTGATGATGATGCCCAAATTCGACGAGTTCAACGGTGTAGCCGTCGGCATGCTCAACGACAACGGCTATTACTTCTGATGAGATATTTCGTCGTGCGCCAGCGAACCTATTGGGCCACGACTTAATCCGAACTTGTCTTATATCTGCCGAGTCGACCTTACGATGACGCCTTAATATGGAACCGGGTCTATGGATCGGGATAATGTTTTTTCTTTTGTCATTTTTCCTTGGGTTATAGGACTTCTCTTGGACATCTCCTCGGCCTCGGACTGTTGTGTACATCACAGCAAGGCCACGGTGGAAATCTGGTGTCAGTTTCTTGTTGTACAATACGGGGAAGGAAAGGGATTGGGGATAAAAGGGATCGATTGTTGTTTATTCTTTCATTTGTCTGGAAATGCATTGATGTTACAAACGCTTTGATGCTTGGAAATGAGCCTTTTCGATGGGAATCCGCCACTGGTCCCTTCCTGGCAGTTTATTGTTGTTGGAGTTTCGAGGATATCGCCTGCACTCACTAGAGTACGAATGAGAGCTGGATATTGCTGGAAGCGCAATTGCTGTGCCTGTTGCTTGTGATGATGACTCGATGTCGTCGAGCCTTGGTGCCGCATTTTGGTGCGAACCCTCGGATTCATCGGTATTGCGAGAACAGCCGAAATGTCTCTGAGTCGGACCGTCAGTGACGTGCATCTGCTGGAACGTGCCCAAGATGTCGTATCGTCGTGATGAATGAAGACATGGTCTTGAAAATGTTTGGTCCAAGTCTTTAACCCCTCCCCCTCATGTGTCGTGCCTTCATTTTTCTGCCGGCGGTGTGATGAGGGTGACGTCTTAGTCTACAAGCTGCGCTCATGGAGATTCTGGCAAGAGCGGCCCTTCAAATTGCTACCCTCCTCACGCATTTGGACCTCTCCTCCCTCAAAAGTGTTATACTGATCATTTCTCTCATCTATTTTCTTCATTCTTCTTTTCCCTGTTCCATCTCGCAAACATCTCTCGATAGCCTCTGTCTCGCTCCCAGGCTGCGACCCGTTCAGCGACTCACTACTGTCCTTCGTACTCGCCTTCAGATCCGGTCCCTCCCATTTCAGTCCTCAAATACACCTCCATAAGTGGAAATGCTGACCCCGACTACTCTGCACCGATTCCGCTGGTTTCATGCCTTTGGAAACACGCCTGCGATCAACTTGGCTCGAAGCATTCCCCATGGCCAGGATGCCAGCGTATTGTTACTTGGCCGCGGCGATCCGAGCAGCATTCTGTACACCTCTTATGTCCAGCAAGGGCTGCGTGAGTTTTCCTCTGCATTTGTATACCACAACGCGCGGGCTGACGCTTGCTTCTTGATTCAGCTGATAGAAAGCTCGACTTCACATTGTGCAATGATGATGAGAATATCACCGGTACGTTCGTCAAGGCTGAAACCACCCATGCTCTGTACACTGTATCGCTGATGCAGGCCATCTGTTAGCACGAAACTTGGTTCTCCTGACCATGATGTTGGCCGAGAGGGAAGATATCTCCGACCAAACACTATGGGACATATATTACCATATATACCTGAATGAGCAAACCATAGAGCTCGTTAGCTGCCATGTCCGGACCATTGTCCCTATGCTGGAATCGCTTGAATCCTTCAATAATGGCCCGTACGGGTCAGTTCTAAAATTCTGCGATGAAGACACCCTGTGTGATGTCCGAAGAGCTCTTCAGCGCATCCTAGACGCAGCACATGAAGAAAGCAGAGACGAGCAAGCTGCCAAGCTGGCAAGGATGCTACAAAGAAGGGCATAGGAGCCCTCTCTTGACCTAGCGGCGGTACGAGCAGCTTCCCCCCTTGCTTTGGCTCGCTCATGTGCAGGACCTCCGCATTCCCACCACTATTGGACCGAAGTAGTCGCGATGATAAACGGAAAGAATGCCAGGATGCCAAACCCTCTGCTTGCTGGACTGGTTTCCGACTGGAAGATTCTTCACTGCGGGAGTGACCCCGTACTCAGCTTCCATCTCGCTACGGCATTCGCCAGCCTAACCCCAAACTCTCCTCTGCGGCCTGGTGAAGATGACGAGGAACACAAAGTCGTGGCAGCCGCCCGGTCCCAATTCGTTGCATGGGTTTGTGCTTTCAAGAGTGTAAAGGACAGCATGTGTGTCCGCTTCGTTGTTGCAGACCCCTTCGCACTCTGCCATACCCTTCAACATGCTGATGCGGCCGGCAAGCTATCGGCAAACTGGTACAGACGACAATGGGACTCGAGAGTCCTTCGCCTGGACGAGGTCTCATATGGACATGGAGGTAGTGCACCAACTAGATTCGACGCGATCGACACGTCCACCTTGTCGGAAGATTTTGGACTCTACAATGTCCTTGTTTCCGCGGGACCATTGCTCGCGGCCAGACCCTGGGCAACCTTGTTGACCGAAAATCTCGTGGATAACTGCAGCTCTGAGAAGCAACCTCTTGACCAAGTACTGCACGGCTCGTCTTCCACAATCCCTCTTCTTTTAGGCTTCGTGCCCTTGCAGTGTTGGACAAATTCACAAGCTGAATCACCTCTTCGCGAAATTGTTACTTTGACCGTGCCCCCTCAGCTAGCCCCGACTCGGTTTCCCGTTTGCCTGTCATGGAAGCGCGATGACCAGCTTGGCGACCACGATGTAGAGCGACCCAAGATACACATGAACGCCAAAGAGGTTATCGACATGTCATTTCAAATATATCTGGACATGTTTGAAGCTGAGGTAGCCAAAGGTCTCCCCAGCCAGTCCGAAAACAAGTCTCAAAACCAACCCCAACTCCATCGCGGAAGCTTCATGGCTTTGCTCAAACTCATCCAGAGTCGAGTCAAGACTGACTGGAATGCAGTGATTGAAGGTCTACTCAGGAGGCTAGAGGAAGAACGGACTCTGCCTATGGCTAGAAGACAGGTACAGGATCTCCGCTTACAACTTTCGCTCTTCAATATCCATACCCTGGGGAAGACGGGTGCAGTGCAGATGTCCAGCATCGGACTCCTGAGCCGATGGAAACACATTCCGCCGGTGGTCGCCGTCACCCTAATTGTGCCCCGAGAAGCTCTCCGCGACTTCTTCCCCGAACCATACTTGACATGGCCCGTTCCGACCTTGGTAGGCACGTTGAAGTCCAGCGGCATCGTTTCACAAAGGAGGTGCAACGTGTTCGACGATGTTCACGTCGTTTTTGGTCAAGTAACGACAACAGGCGACATTATTTCGGGAGATGCCACCGTCAGCATAGAAGAAGATGAACTCCGTTGGTCGGGAACATCATCTTTGGTAGCGACTTTCTTGGTGCCGACAACTGCGTTGGCGGGACAGCCGGTGACAGACTTGGTTGGCCTGGACCTGAGTATGGCCTCTCCTAGTACCGTTTTCTTTACCGAAGTGCTAGGCATGTCTCATCGAACAATGTACGAAACCAGCTTCTCAAACACGACCGGCGTTTTTATAAGCAAACTGATGCCAGGAACCACTGCGCACAAGATAACAAGTGGTGGTGTGAGGCCCCTAAAAGATGAGGTGACCGGAGCGGAAAACGAGGCCCGAATGATATTGATGGCCGAGCTATGCCCAGATAAAAGGGGTATTGCAGCTTTGAGTGCGCTCATCCAGGTTTCCTCTGAGAGCTGCAAGAGGAATCTGCAGAATAAGCCGCCCTTTGAGATGTATCAGAACGACCCCTTCTCTATTAGCATCATACTTGGCAAGAACAAGTTCACCTGCCCCTTCAGATACCCAGTGCCCCTTACGAGCGTCGTCAGCAACACTGGCTTCAGTGGCGCCGGTCGCACGTCTGCATACATCAAGGTGGTTGCCTCTCTGGTAGATCCGAGGCGAAGCAGCGTCCTGAATGGTTGCCTTTCGCTTACTATGATTTCTCCAGGCGGTCTTCCCGTGGCTGTTGACCTGCCGCATCTCAATCTCGATAACCTTCCGGTGCTTGAAATGAACCAGCCTGAGCGCCTGGCATGGTTGACAACGCTGACGTCTCTGCAATTTCTCCCACATGGTCAAGGGGGACAGACGGAAGACGTGCGCGCCCGGTTCAAAGGAACCGTGTCCGCCATGTTCCGGGCTTGCTCTGGCACACTAAAAAGCCAGACATGCATATTTTCACTTAGTGGACGGCGACGAGGCGATGTCCAGGCCATGATTTTTGTCTCGGCGGTGCGATTGGATGGCGACACCGCATCGGTAGTACTGGATGCTGCCATCTTGCCGCTTGCGTCTCAATACTTGGAGTCTGGGGGCTTGGACGACTTCCTGAAGAAGTTGAAATGGCTGGAAGACGTGACGCTGAAAGTCGATGACGAAGAGATGGCTCTCTGGAAGAAGACGATGCCGTCCTTCATAGAGCGATGCCGTACTTGGAATCATCTTCCGGGCTGTGAGTACACAAAGCAAGGGGCCACTATGCCGCTGAGCCTTGAGCCAGGACAACAGTGGTTTTGCTCATGCGGTAATGGTCAGATGCCGACTGACTTTATCACGGTACCTCTATGGGACTTGGCCGCAAAGTATGCGGTGCGTATTGCAATCAGCCCCATGTATTACTATGCTCCCTTTGTCGAAGCAGCCGGGCAATGGAGTCGAACTCGAGACGAGTGACTTCATGGAGCATGGCTTAATGAAACAAACGATGTTGGTGCCCAGAAGGCTTGATGAGTTGGGCAGTTGCAGCAGTGAATATCTTGTCAGACTTATTCTGAGATGACTCTTGATCTGTACCTTATGCTTGGGTGTTTATTAAGTAAGGTATGGAGCAAAAGGGGGCGGATGATGGGGGCAGTTGAGATGAATGAGATATGTTTGGTGGGGAAGTGGTCGGGATCGAGGATCACTTCTGGAAACTATTATGAGCCAGATAAATGTCAAATTCTACTTCCCATCGAGCTCAATGCCAAATCATTGCTATTATTGTAATTCAAGCGTTGAACAGTCCCCAATTTGTCTCGGAGCAGGTGAAGGTTGACGAGAGGTGACGAGGGGAGTGACGGGAGTACGTACCTTCTTACACAGCATCCCCCTCCACACCGCCTTTGCGCAGCGCGGCAGAAAAAAGAACCCAGCCCACCACCTCTGACTGCGGGTCGGTGCCAGGCAGAGGGAAGCTTGTCGAAAGCACGACACTTGCCCGACACAAGCCCACGAGATTGATAATCGAACCGGCAAGCTCAGAGCCATCACAGAATGTCCGCGGCACAACTTCTCAACCCAAAGGCCGAGTCCCGAGTGCGTGTCCCTGCTGTCCGTCTATCCTGTGTGAGCTGCTGGCGTCTAACCGGGTGCAGAGGAGGGGTGAAGCTCTCAGGGTCAACATCAGTGCCGGCGAGGGCCTGCAGGATGTGCTCAAGTCCAACCTCGGGCCGCGAGGCACGATCAAGATGTAAGGACAGAAGGAAAAGCTGCATCCCCTTGTCTCGATAGTGCTAACCAACTGCAATGGCCAGGCTCGTCGACGGCGCCGGACAGGTACGCGAATGCCCAACTCTGTACCCCTCAATGACCGGAACCCCCTATTCCTAACCGCACCTCGTCGCCCACAGATCAAACTGACCAAGGATGGAAACGTGCTGCTGAGGGAGATGCAAATCCAAAACCCGACCGCCGTTATGATTGCCCGAGCGGCGACTGCGCAGGACGACATCTGCGGCGACGGCACGACGTCGGTGGTGCTGCTGGTGGGCGAGCTGTTGAAGCAGGCAGACCGATACATCTCAGAGGGGCTGCACCCACGCATCATCACCGACGGCTTCGAGATTGCCAAGGCTGAAGCTCTCAAGGTAATAGAGAGAAAGGCTAATCAGATGCATGGATCTTGTCTTGGCTGACTGTCTGCTTCGCTAGTTCCTCGACTCCTTCAAGCTGTCCAAGGAGGTCGACCGCGAACTGCTGCTCAACGTCGCCCGAACATCCCTCGCCACGAAGCTCAACCCCACACTGGCTGCGAAGCTGACCCCCGATATCGTTGATGCCGTGCTGTCCATCTACCAGGCTCCTGCCAAGCCCGACCTGCACATGGTGGAGATTATGAAGATGCAGCACCGCACTGCCTCAGACACGCAGCTCATCCGAGGACTGGCGTTGGACCACGGTGCCAGGCATCCAGACATGCCCAAGCGACTGGAGAACTGCTACATCCTGACAATGAACGTCAGCTTGGAGTACGAGAAGACCGAGATCAACTCTGGCTTCTTCTACTCCAGCGCCGAGCAGCGAGACAAGCTTGTCGAGAGTGAGCGCCGGTTCATCGACGCCAAGCTCAAGAAGATTGTGGAACTGAAGAAGCAGGTGTGCGGTGACGACGGGAAGAAGAGCTTCGTCATCATCAACCAGAAGGGCATCGATCCTCTTTCCCTCGACGTCCTGGCCAAGAACGGCATCCTCGCTCTGCGGAGAGCGAAGCGGAGGAATATGGAGAGACTGCAGCTCATCTGCGGCGGTACTGCCCAGAACACCGTGGATGACCTGACACCCGAGGTCCTCGGCTGGGCCGGCCTTGTCTACGAGCAGACTCTGGGCGAGGAGAAGTACACCTTCATCGAGGAGGTCAAGGACCCCAAGTCTGTCACCATCTTGATCAAGGGCCCCAACCAGCACACCATTGCTCAAGTCACGGATGCTGTCCGAGATGGTCTGAGAAGCGTCTACAACATGATTGTCGACAAGAGCGTTGTCCCTGGTGCCGGTGCTTTCCAGGTTGCCTGTGCTGCCCACCTCAAGAGCGATGCCTTTGCGAAGACGGTCAAGGGCAAGGCCAAGTGGGGCGTGGAGGCGTTTGCTGATGCTCTTCTTATTATCCCCAAGACCCTTGCTGCCAATGCAGGCCATGATGTCCAGGATGCTCGTAAGTTTGCAACTAACATGAATACTAGTTGGAGATGCATTGCTAACGCCGGTAACACAGTTGCCGCCCTGCAAGATGAGCACGCTGAAGGCCAGACGGTTGGCCTGAATCTGGAGACTGGAGAGCCCATGGATCCCGAGTTGGAGGGTGTCTTTGACTCGTTCAGAGTGCTGAGAAACTGCATTGCCTCAAGCTCAGGCATTGCGTCCAACCTGCTGCTCTGCGACGAGCTGCTCAAGGCGCGACAGATGGGCAGAGCTGCTGGGCCGGGCCCGGGAATGGACGGCCCTGAGGATATGTAGATGAGTGAATCTGTTGTTTAGACGTGTAGTAGACAAAACTATCCCGGAGCATTCTCAAATATTGCACACTGACGTCTTCCCAATGCTTCATATTGTTCTAGTTGTTCACTGTGTCTGGTAATAAACTTGGTCCTACAATGGTTGACACAATGGGGAAGCCTGTAGTAGGTAGGGAATGTCATGGTTGGTACATGATGCTTGCTTGGTTCTATCAGGGGACCAGCCGATAAGCCCCGCAGCCCAGAGATTATCTCCCACCTACAAAAAAAATCTTGACCCCACCATCGACTAACTTACATACAGCATCACAACCCATCAGTTTTGCGACAATGGCCGACTACGCTTCAGACTCGTCAGAGGGCGAATTCACCGAGACGAATGTCCTTCTCGGATATGCCTCCAAAGAGGCCGAAGAAGACACGATAAGCAAACTGGGAGGCACTCCGGTAAATTACTTTTCGCCTCTGCACTATTCATTTCTCTTGAGATTCTTTTCAATGGCGATGACTTGCGCCTCGAAGGCCTTTGTGCTAATTTAATGCTTGATGATGGTTCCAGGACTGGCTCGACGCAGACAAACCTCCCTCAGCGGCACTGGCAAGATGTAAAGTCTGCAAAGATCTCATGGCGCTGCTCCTCCAGCTCAACGGCGAGCTCCCCGAGAAATTCCCCTCCCACGAGCGGCGGCTGTACGTGTTTGCCTGCCGCAGGGCGACATGTCGGAGAAAGGCTGGAAGCGTTCGTGCGCTGCGAGGCGTGAGGGTGTGGAAAGACGGTGCCGAGGCGACAGCCGAGGTTGAGAAGAAGAAGCCCGAGACGAAGAGGGAACCGGAGGAGAAGAAGAAGGAGGAGAATGGGCCTGGCCTCGGGGAGTCGCTGTTTGGAGCGAAGCCTTTGGGACAGGCGGGCGGAAATCCGTTTTCGAGCGGCGGCGCGAATCCTTTCAGCTCGGGGTCGAGCAATCCATTCAGCACTTCTTCATCCAACCCGTTTTCGAGCCAGCCAGCCAAGCCTGCTACAGCCCCAGCCGAGAAGCCTGCTGCTGCTTCAGCTTCAGCAGCTGCAACGACGAACCTCTCCAAGACCTTTGCCGAAACTCTTGCCCTGAACACCACGCCCGCGGGCCCTCCTCCTCCTCCCGAGCCATGGCCCGAAAAGGCGGCTCAGCCAACTCCCTACCCGACGCTCTACCTCGCCGACGCCGACTACGAGACGCTGGACCCCACGTCGACGACCAACAAGCTGCCCGCCAACGTGACCATTGCCGACTCCGACGCCCCGGAGCCCTCGGCGCTCGACCGCGAGGCCTTCGAGTCCGCCATGGACGCCACCTTCCAGAAGTTCGCCGACAGGATGGCCCAGAACCCGGAGCAGTGCATCCGCTACGAGTTTGGCGGCGCGCCCTTGCTGTACTCCAAGTCGGACGCGGTGGGCGAGCTGCTGACGAAGCGGACGATGCCGGGGTGCCCCAACTGCGGCGGCCGGCGGACGTTTGAGGTGCAGCTGACGCCCAACGCCATCACGGAGCTGGAGGAGGGGGATCTGAGCCTGGACGGGATGGAGTGGGGGACGATTATCGTGGGGGTGTGCGAGAGGGACTGTTTGGTCAGGGGGACGGGGGTTGAGGAGGCGTGTTATTTGGAGGAGTGGGCGGGTGTGCAGTGGGAGGAGCTGTCCAAGGGCAAGTAATGGGTTACTTATGGGGGAATAAAAGAAAGCGAAGGTAAAATAAGAGGATTTTTAGATAGCCTCAACGAGTTCATGATATAAAATTGCGAAGTACCAATAGATGTAATTGTCTTGATGCCCTACTCTAACGCAAGCCATAATCTATATGGTTGACTCCCGGATCGCTTTCTTCAAATGAACAGTTCAAAGGGTTATTGTATTCCTATTAAACGCCTGAGCTTTTTCGGGACCCCCGCACCAATGCCAGTAAATCTTTTTGAAGAAAAATTTCATTCCGCATCACGGGGTTTCCGGTCGACATTATCCATCTTGTCAAAAAACCTCTGTGCTCCCTGTATATAAGCAAATACTTTGGTGAATCAACGCCCCGTCCCTTCATTCCTCTCCATCTTTCGTCATTGTTCGCCTCGCCCTCTTTTCCTCTTTTCCTCGTTCCTTGGAAACTTTCTTTATACAGTCTCCTCCCACGCCCGTCGAATCACTCGCGCAAACTGGTCGACGTTGACATCCTCGCGAATCTCCGACTTCTTGGCCTCGTTATCCGGGTTCGAGGGGATCTTGACGATGCCGTCGTCGTCAATCGTCCAGCCGGCAACCTCGGTGATGAACTTGCGCGTCTTGTCCTCGTTGACGCCCAGCCAGGAGACGAGGTGGGTGAGCTGGATCTCGCGGAAGGCCTGGGCGACGAGCGAGGCGATGCGCTCGCGGACGAGGTCCTCGAAGCCGGAGATGTCGGCGATGAGGTCGGCGCAGAGGTCGTCGCCGTCGAGGTCGGCCCAGAAGTCGGCGTACTGGGCGCCCTGGAGCTGGGAGTTGAGGGAGCGCAGCTTGGTGATTGCCTCGTGGAGCTCGCCGGAGGAGGCGGCGGACGGGTTGATGAGGTGCAGGGCGAGGGTGAACTGGGACGAGGGGAAGTTGGTCATGGCCTTGACGAGGATGTTGGTGACGACTTCGTCCTTCATGCGGTCGGGGTTGAGCTGGTAGCTAGAGAGGTTTGGCGCAAGATTTTTTTGCTTCTGATTAGCTTTTTGCTGTGATTTGTATGCGCGAATGATGTGACAGATGGCGAAAAGGAGGCAGTTATGACATTGTCTTTCGTTCTTTTCTTTTCAGACACCACTAAAGTTGACTTCAAGTGACAAAGGGCGGTTTAGACCCCCGTCTCAGGTAATAGGAAACGTTTACAAAAACGGTCATCATGTAGGTAAACAGAACGCAGCAAAGAAGATAGATAAAGAGATCCAAGAGCAAAGGCCACTCACAGCTTCAACAGCGTCCGGTTCGCATTGCAGTCGCTAAACTTCTGCTCGCACTGCTCCTGGAGGTAGGTCTCGAGGGTGCTGACGGCCTCGGGGTTGTAGCGCTCGAGGCCATTGATCACGGCGGTGATGTAGTCGGGCCGTTCCGCGGGGTCTTCGCCGTTCATCTTGGGCTGTGGATTGGGTGAGGAGGAGGAGGAGGTGGAGGAGGCGTAGAAGGAGGAAGAGAATAGGTGTTGTTGGGGTCCTGGGTGAGGGGGATAATGGCTTCGATGTTTGAAGTTCGAGATGGTGGGGCTGAAGGGGAAAGATTTCGCATAATTGCGGGTTGCTGGTTGTGCGGCATCGAGGGGCCGAAAGGGGCTTAGCGGGGGAGAGACGACGGGGTCTTGGGAGGCTTGAGGCGCGGTCACGTGCTGTCGTGTTGGAGTGCGTCATGGACGACGTGAGGGACGAGCCTGAAGCACGACGGCTGGGCTGTTGCTCGGATATGACGCGTTTTCACGGCAGGGCAGGGATGCAGTTGTGTCTCAGAGGACCATTTCATTCTGCTCAACGGCTGTTCTTGATGCTGAGGAGGGGAAAGCCCCCAGCAGATGCTTGCTGGATCATGATACAAACGACATAACGACATACAGACATCATGTCGAGTCCGGCCAAGGCGAGAAAGCTCAACAATGGCAGAAAGCAGCCGGCGGCCCAGTCAAAGGGACTCGAGTACTTCTTTTCCAAGCAGAAGCAGCCTGGGACGCCAAATCCATCCACCGGAGAAGATGGCGCCCCAAGCAGCTCTTCCGCCGGACTCTCAGACGAGGAACTGGCACGCAAGCTACAGGCAGAATGGAACCAAGAGGTAGCAAGCCGGCGTCATACTCCTTCCCAAGGCCAAAGTTCGGCATCCAAGGACGCAGACGTGGCAACCATCTCGAGGGAAGAAGAGGGCGATTCTACGCCTGCTTCCATCGGCCAGGCAGAGCAACCGGCTGCTGATGCGGCTCCGAAGAAGCAAGACACCAAGAAGACGCTGTCTCTGCAATCTACCGGCATGGTGGATGACGCAGTCACAAACTCCATTCCTCTCGATGAATCTCCCCTCACCTTTGAGCCGTCAAAGTACGTAAAAGTACTACAGGAGTGCTGGGCAGCCGAAAAGGGGGACGCAACGTACGCTCTCCTCACCAGATGCTTTGTCCTAGTTAGCGCGACGACAAGCCGTATCAAAATTGTCGATACTCTCGTAAACTGCCTGCGCATCTTAATCGAAGGAGACCCTTCCAGTCTCTTACCGGCTGTAAGTGTTCAACCTCATCACTGATATCGCCCAGTTCTCATCAATCTAGGTCTGGCTGGCCACAAATTCCATATCGCCTCCATACATTTCCATGGAGCTTGGGCTTGGTGGCTCTGCCATTTCCAAGGCGCTTCGTCAAGTCTGTGGTCTGGATAACCGGTCTCTCAAGGCCATCTATGACAAGTACGGGGACCCGGGCGATGTTGCTTTCGAAGCAAAGAAGAAACAGAGCTTCACATTAAGAAAGCCAAAGCCCCTCACGATAAAGGGGGTCTATCAAGCCTTGGTCAAGATTGCCACCACACACGGACAGGGGAGTGGTGAGGTGAAGCAGCGAATCGTCGATCGGCTGTTGCAGGACGCGCGAGGAGGGGAGGAGAGCCGTTTCATCGTTCGAACCGTCTCCCAATATGTGCGTATTGAACAATTCCCCTTTAACCCTCTTGGTACCAACTTCACAGCTAATCCTGTATAGCTCCGCATCGGTGCTGTCAAGACTACTATGCTTATCGCATTATCCAGGGCATTCTTACTGTCCAAGGCCCCTGGCACTGAATACAGCACAAGGGATGTCACGGAACTGAGTAAGCTGAAGAAAGAAGAGTTGGCAGAAGTCTGGAGCAAGGCGGAAGAGATTGTCAAAGCCAGCTTTGCGAGACACCCCAACTACAACGACCTAATACCCGCCCTCCTCGATGTTGGGGTCTGCGAAGAGCTTCTTCTGCGATGCGGCTTGACTCTCCATGTACCGCTGCGTCCCATGCTGGGAAGCATAACCAGGGACCTCTCAGAGATGCTTACCAAGCTCCAGGGGAGAGATTTTGCTTGCGAGTACAAGTATGACGGACAGCGCGCACAAGTCCACTGTGACGAGAAAGGCAAAGTCTCCATTTTCTCCAGACATTTGGAGCTCATGACTGAAAAGTATCCCGACCTCGTGGACCTTGTGCCCAAGATCAGAGGAGAGGGCATCGGAAGCTTCATCATGGAAGGGGAAGTGGTGGCTCTCGATCGAGAGTCGGGCGAGCTCAAGAACTTCCAGACGCTCACCAATCGTGCGCGAAAGGATGTTGCGGTCGGGGACATCAAGATCGACGTGTGTCTCTTTGCATTCGACCTCATGTATCTGAACGGGCAATCTCTCCTGAACCGACCATTTCGAGAACGGCGAGAGCTTCTTCGATCGCTATTCACCGAAGTACCTCATCACTTCACTTGGGTCAAAAGCCTGGACGCTACTTCGGGAGACTCCGAAGCAGTCCTCGAGTTTTTCAAGTCTGCATTGGAGAACAAATGCGAGGGTATCATGGTGAAGATACTGGACAATATACCCGACCCACCTTTGGCGGAGGAAGAGGTTCAGCAGCCCATAGAAGAAACGGAGAAGCTGTCACTACCAAAGACTAAGTCAAAAGGCAAGGGCAAGCCGAAGAATTCTGCAAAGGCCGATGGCGAAGAGAAAACAGCAAAGTCTCGAAGGAAGCCGCTCTTGGCGACTTATGAACCAGATAAGCGGCTGGACTCGTGGCTCAAGGTGAAGAAGGACTATAATTCGAGTTTCGACACGCTGGACATGATTCCCGTGGCTGGATGGCATGGACAGGGTCGAAAAGCCAAGTGGTGGTCTCCCATCCTGATGGCGGTGCGCAACGAAGAAAGCGGCATGCTCGAGGTGGTGTGCAAATGCATCTCGGGATTTACAGACACGTTCTACAAGGCGAACAAGGAGTTTTATGATGATGGCGAAGAGAGCGGAGAACCAAAGAACACCAAACTGCAGAAACCGAGTTTTATAGAATACCACGGGCCGGCGCCAGATGTCTGGTTCGAGCCGCAGGAGGTGTGGGAAATGGCATTTGCGGACATTACGCTCAGCCCGGTGTATACGGCAGCCATTGGGCTTGTGAGCGACGAGCGAGGCCTGAGTTTGCGATTCCCGCGGTTTTTGAAGAAGAGAGAGGATAAGAGCATTGAAGAAGCGAGTACGAATGAATTTCTCGCTAATCTATGGAGGAAGCAGGAGGCCAAGGCGGCATCAACGGCAAAGGATGGTGAGGCTGAGATGGAGGATGCTCCTGATGGTGAGCAAGAGGTCTGAAGCTTGATTGAGGTCGGTTTCTATGAGGCAATCCTACAGGTAACGAAGCAGGCTTGAATAGAAGGCCTTGGATCAACAACTTGGGGCGTGTCCCGCAAAGCTTCATTTTCTAGCATTGAGTCTTTGTGCAATCAGACTAAAGACGGCCACTGAACCCATGAACAGGACAGCATGATAGAACTGCTACCAGTCAGACAACGATCCATTTAAGCAATGGCATGTGAAGGTACACACGGCTTTTCGGGAAATGTTCCTCTCTTCGTCTTCTGTCCGGGCCTCGATGAACAGCCTCCTGAGGTTGGGAAAGCTTGCCTGCGACATGTTGACTTGTCAGACAAGGAAATCTCGTGGAATCATTGCTCGATGACTGCTGTTCGGCATGGGATGAATTACCATGTCGGCGGAACGGAAAGAGTGGAAGAGAGAAGGCTCAGAGGCTTGGTAGTAGGTAGTGAAGAGATGAGAGGACGAGCTAGTAGAAGAATAAAGTTTATGGCGTCGATGGCTGTTGTTTGGCCTGGAGGAAGAGGTCCGTGCGGGTGGGATTGGAGTGGCTTTTGTTTTTTTGTTCTGGATGGAGTTAACGAGGTTGAATGGCGTTTTTTGTTGGTGTATATATATGACGATGATTGGCGATGCTGCCTGTTAGTAGCTGGTAGTTGGATGCGATGGACTGTTGCTATCGTGTGAGTTGAGAGGTTGGATGACTAAGTCGAATTGCAGAGGTGAGGCTCGTTGAAAGAGGTTGATGTGGATCATGCTTTACTACTTGGCTTGCTCATGACCTAATAAAAATGCAGTATGACATTGAATGTATACCGAGGGAGGAGATACTATCATGATGGGTCGTATGATTTACTCCATCAGAAGTAATATTTCTTATAGATAGTACAGCAGTGCTGGTGTGTGAACCTCCATGTCGTTTGCTTCTGTCTGGCTGATTCGCTCACTGTTGGATGATGACTCAGCGTCGCTTGGCCTACGGTAACCTGTAGGGAGGCTGTCGAGCAACTGCTAAGCTCATGCCTGGCCTGTAATCCGCAACATAAGCTGCAACTCTTCAACCCCTCGACAGCCTGACTCGCAACTCCAGAGGCCACGACACGGAGTCCTTTCTGGAGGCTCTGCGGCTCGCGATCCCCTCGACAGCCTCTGCTATCCGTTTCTCGCCTCTTCTCCTCACAGCTGCTGTCCTCGACCAGCTCGCAGACGCCTCCGGACAGCGAGACGCCAGCGTCAACCCCAGACCCGGGACCACCACCCTCGTGCCCCTCCTCATCCTCCCACAAACTCCTCGACGATGGCGGTGAATCGCATCCGGGGCGCCTTTGCCGCGCCTCGGAAGGGAGAGACATTCGAGCTGCGGGCCGGCCTGGTGTCGCAGTATGCCTACGAGCGGAAGGAGTCCATCCAGAAGACCATCATGGCCATGACGCTGGGCAAGGACGTGTCGGCCCTGTTCCCGGACGTCCTCAAGAACATTGCCACGTCCGACCTGGACCAGAAGAAGCTGGTCTATCTCTATCTCATGTATGTTATGTGGCTGCAGATAATGACTGAGAAGTTACACACGGATTCCATGACGAGAGTCTATGCGGTGCTAACGGGAAGCGCGATCCCAGGAACTACGCAAAGACACACCCAGACCTCTGCATTCTCGCCGTCAACACGTTTGTGCAAGACTCGGAAGACCCGAACCCGCTGGTGCGAGCGCTGGCCATCCGCACAATGGGATGCATCCGCGTGGACAAGATGGTCGACTACATGGAGGAGCCGCTGCGGAAGACGCTGCGGGACGAGTCGCCGTACGTGCGCAAGACGGCGGCCATCTGCGTGGCCAAGCTGTTTGACCTGAACCCGGCCATGTGCATCGAGAACGGCTTCATCGAGACGCTGCAGGAGATGATTGGCGATCCCAACCCCATGGTGGTCGCAAACTCGGTCCAGGCGCTGGCCGAGATCAGCGAGACGGCGCCCGAGACGAGGGCGCTGCTGGTGACGCCCCCCGTCCTCAAGAAGCTGCTCATGGCCATGAACGAATGCACCGAATGGGGTAGGATCACCATTCTGACCGTGCTGGCAGACTACGCTGCCACCGACGTCAAGGAGTCGGAGCACATCTGCGAGAGGGTCATTCCGCAGTTCCAGCACGTCAACCCTAGCGTGGTCCTGGCTGCTGTCAAGGTGGTCTTTATCCATATGAAGTCGATCAACCCGGAGCTCGTGCGATCATATCTTAAGAAGATGGCGCCTCCACTCGGTACGTGCTGGGACTTTGCAACAACTACCTTATGATGTGGTTTTCTTCTAACGCAGCAGCTTGAACACAGTCACATTGGTTGCCTCTGCACCAGAGGTTCAATACGTCGCCCTCAGAAACATTGATCTGCTCCTTCAGGCCAAGCCCGACATCCTGAGCAAAGAGCTGAGAGTCTTTTTCTGCAAATACAACGACCCACCGTACGTCAAGATGCAGAAGCTGGAAATCATGGTCAGGATAGCAAACGAGAAGAACTACGAGCAGCTCCTCTCTGAGCTCAAGGAATACGCCCTGGAAGTGGACATGGACTTTGTGCGCCGAGCCATCAAGGCCATCGGCCAGGTGGCCATCAAGATTGAGGACGCCAGTGCCAAGTGCGTCCAGGCGCTGGAAGATCTGCTCGCCACCAAGGTCAACTACGTGGTGCAAGAGGTTGTCGTGGTTATCAAGGATATCCTGCGAAAGTATCCCGGCTACGAGGGTGTGATTCCTTCGCTCTGCAACTACATTGACGAGCTCGACGAGGCCAACGCTCGCGGATCACTCATCTGGATCGTGGGAGAGTACGCGGAAAAGATTAGCAATGCCGAGGAGATTCTGGAAGGTTTCGTAGACACCTTTTTGGAGGAGTTCACTCAGGTACGTCAAAAAGTCATGGAAAAGTTAGGGAATCCAGGCTAACAGAAGTGTAGACACAACTCCAGATCCTGACGGCTGTTGTCAAGCTGTTTTTGAAGAAGCCGAGTGGCGCTCAGGGCTTGGTTCAGAAGGTGCTGCAAGAGGCAACGACCAACAACGACAACCCCGACATCCGCGACAGAGCATATGTCTACTGGCGGTTGCTATCAGGAGACTTGGAGGTGGCCAAGGTAGGAGTTCATTGCGCCCCTTTTTGACCAAAGCTGCGTATACTGACGGACTTCCAGTCCATTGTACTGTCACAGAAGCCGACCATTTCAACAACAATGACGAGCTTGCCGGCTACGCTGCTCGAGCAGCTGCTGTCGGAGCTGTCAACTCTGGCATCGGTCTACCACAAGCCTCCGGAAGCCTTTGTCGGCAAGGGCCGGTTCGGTGCCGACGAGATCCAGCGAGCTGCCATTCAGGAACAGCGCCAGAACGCCGCGGAAAACCCCATCGCCGCCTCTGTGGCTGCCGCTGCCGCCAACGGCTCGTCGTCGGTGTCGCAAAACAACATTGAAAACCTGCTGGACATTGATTTTGATGGCGCAGCACCGGCCTCCCAGGAGCAGAACAGCGCAGCGGGAACCCCTGACCGGGTGTCGAGCCCGGCGACGGGCGGCATGGCCGACATGATGAGCATGTTTGACGCGCCTCCGGCTGGCAGCTCGGGAGGTGCTCCGTCTGGCGGCATGAACGATTTAATGAACGGGTTTGAGGGGCTCAACTTTGGAGCTACGACTGCGAACCAGCCATTGCCGGCGGCGATGCAGCTGCACAATGCGCAAGGCGGTTCTCAGCCAAAGAAGGATAGCGATGATCTTTTGGGCTTGTTGTAAATGTTTGGGGCCTTTTTATGCAAGCGGCAAGTCAAACGAGAGGAGAAAAGACAGGAAAAAGTCTGGATGGGGAATGGGGGGGGGATGGGGTTGGCTCGTGATGTTGGGAATATAGTTAATAAGTGATGCATATTTGATGTCTGTGGTATATACAAATTATGAAGATATAATACGAATCGTCCATGTCCCTTTGGTAGACTTTTCGTATTAATGTCAACGGAATCACCTTGACTCATGGAGTGCCCATTGTTGTTTCTCTCGGCTGATATTGAGGTTGGCTCGCGCTCGCGGTATATTTCCTCTTATTGTCGCCCGTATATCGTCATATATCGTCACATATCGTCCTCTTCCCCTCACCCAATCCCCAGCGCCAAATCCCTGCCTGAGACCCGAGTTCTTTCACGTCCCTCGTCCTCCTCTCTTCCTTGTATCATCACCAGAATTGACTTTTCGTCCGGCACCGTTCGTGACCCAGGGTATTGTCATTTGCATTGCCATATCTCTCAAAGTTGTGTTGTTTGTTTGGTCGGTCAAATAATCATCATCATCACCATCATCACTCGCTCGTCCCCTCAACATGCCCCTCCACGGTCCCCTCCATCGACGGCCCCACGGCCTCGGCACCGCTTGACGTTTTTGTGCCGCCGCCTTCGGCCTCCCACTCCTGCGGGGTCTGGCACTTTGCGGTCCAGGCATGGATGGCGGCGATTTCGTCCTTGAGGGCCGTGTTGACGAGGCGGTGCCGCTTGAGGGACTTGAGGTCCTGGAACTGGGGGGATACGATGAGGGCTGTGAAGGCTTGGCCGCAGCCTCCTTTAAACACACACAAAACACAACTGGTTAGCGATCTTGAAGAAAGCCTGGGGAGAGGAAAGTTGGAGAGGGGGAATGGGAGGTAGGAGGGGAGGTTTGTTTGCGTACCGGACATGTCTGTGACTTGGACGTGGATTGCGCCGAGACGCTGTGTGATTGCCTCGCGGAGGGAGGCTTCTGTTATTGAGGCCATTGGGTGCTGTTGACTCTTTCTTCTGCGAGCCCTGTTGTAGAGCTCAAGTGTCGAGAAGGGACAGTATGACAAATGCGACGGGATGGAGTGGGAGGAAAGAAAGACGATCTGATTGATTAGATAGATCGTGGGGGCGGGCACACACACACACACACACACACAGTGTCAAGCCATACAGTTTCGGTGAGCATCTATATACGGTATGAGCTCATTGGGAGGAATGGGATTGGTGGAGGATTTAGGTAAGGCAAGGTAGCTTTTAGCTTGTCAGCTTTGGCTTGGTTTTCTTGTTTGAGGCTGAAATACATCAGATCAGATCGACCTACATACATACTTTTATTTTACACATCAATCCGCATTCTGTTATACTGAACTGGACAAGTTGTTTTTGTCTGTGTTTTATGTTGGACAGATTGTGACATGCTATTGGCGAGACGTCTGGATAGAGGTCTACCGTCGGCACTCAGAGCAGCAGCATCCTTGCGTCCTTGTCCGCGGCCCGTCCGAGGTCCTCTCCCTCTGTCGCCAAGAGGCCTCTCTGCTACAAGCATCCGACTCGACAGCAGCAGCAGCAGCAGCAGCAATAACAACAACGGCAGCATGACCGAATATCTGGACGGCGTGGGCGCATGGGGCGCATGGCAGGTCGAGTCGTCCAAGTTTACGCAGCTTGTCGTCGACTCCATGCGGACGCTGTACGTTTTTGCCCTCCCTCACTTGGTTCCCCATTACCAGACAGACAAATTGCTTTGAATCCGGCTAACTAAAAGTCTTTTTTTTGCAAAAAAATATACAGTTACCCCGAAGAACTGGCCGACCGAAAATGGGACAATGTCGGACTGCTCGTTGGCAACTCCGAGAGCGACGCAAAGAAGCTCCAGCCCACCGTCATGGTGACAAACGACCTCACCTTCCAGGTCGCGGTGGATGCCATTGGCCAGGGGGTCAGCGTCATTGTCAGCTACCGTGCGTGACCCCATCGACTGTCTATATCTACACCTTCCATCGACTGTCTATATCTACACCTTCCATCGCTGAATGCTGACCATGTCGTTCCTCCCAGACCCCTTCATCTTCTCCGGCTTCAAGTCCGTGACCAACGACGACCCCCAGCAGGCCACGCTGCTGCAGCTGGCCAAGGCGGGCATCGCCGTCTACTGCCCGCACACAGCCGTGGACGCTGCTCCCAAGGGCCTCAACACATGGCTCGCCAACATTGTCGCCGGCCCGCACAAGAACACACAGTCGGTCGCCATCCCGTGCGCCTCGGCTCCTGAATCCCACTCGCCGGCGGGTTACGGTACCATCGGGCGCTTTACCAACGGCGCTGCCGTGCCGCTAGCCGAGATCATCAAGCGATTGGCTCTCAAGCTGGGTGGGCTGAAGCACATCATGATCGCGTCTCCCGTTGGCGCCGACATCAGGACCACCATGGTGCGCAGCTTCGGTGTCTGCGCGGGGAGCGGATATGACGTTCTCAAGTCGGCCGACGTGGACCTGCTCGTCACGGGCGAGACGAGCCATCACTCTGCCCTGAGGGCCATCCAGCAGGGCAGGACACTCATCCAAGTGTTCCACAGCAACTCGGAGAGAGGGTATCTCCGAGAAGTCCTCAAGCCCAGCTTGGAGAAGCTGCTCAGGGAGGCCCAGCCGGACGCCGAGGTGATACTGAGCGAGTACGACTCGGATCCGTTTAAGATACTGGACGTGAGTACCTTGGAGGAGGACTGAGAGGCGATACACGGCGTCAGGCAGACTCGGCTCGTTGCATATACATAAGATCAAGGGAGGGCGGTCATTGCTTCATGGCAGGCGGCGTAGGAGAGACCAATGCGCCGTATCGCCCATCCCTTGACGCTTCAGGTGCCGGTGATCTGCTTCGCGTCAGGGCAATGGCTGCGTCGCCTTGATCGATGCACGCCTGCACGTCGTCTCCGCCCACTCCCTTTTGCTTCCAGACTTCCAGCAACTTCCTGGGCATCTCCCACTGTCTCCTGGCCTCCTCGAACCTGCCTTCCCTGACAAGAGCCTGCAGGCGCTCTGGTGTCGCCAGAACCTCAATGGCCAGCTGTCTTGTGCGTTGGCGTCGCTGCTGCGCTTCGCGTGCTTTGCCCTCTTCTGAATCCGGAGCGGGAACTAATTTTCGTAATGACTCCTGTATGGCGGAAGCCTGGCTGTAGATGTGCGCAATGGCTGGATCGAGCGTCGTGGCCATAGGGTTCAAGGGGTCCATATTCGCTCGCATCTAGAGAAATCAGACAACATATACGAATTAGCAGCTGTAATACCATCCTGTCACCGATCCTCCCCAGGCCATGGCGGAGCTTCATACCTTTCGAATGGTCTCCGTCGCAGTGATGAGCTTGCTGTAGTTGTCGTACACGAGGGCCTTCTTCTCCGCATCCAGAGCCCGTACTTCCCCGAGCACTCTCGTATACAGCTTCAACAGCTCCTGCAAGCTGCTCTCGGCAACAATCTTCTGGAGGTACTCGTCGAGGTTGAAGTCCGGCGCGTCAATCTCGCTCGCGGGGACCTCCGAGTCGGGCACCTCGACGATGCGCGGCGTGGACGGCGTCGAGGCGGAGGCGGCGGCGGCGGCGCGGAGGTTGTAGTATTCGCGCAGGGCGGCGCGGTTGTTGGAGCGCTTGTTGGAGCTGGCGCCTGGAATCGAGCTGCCGGTTGCGGGCTGGGAGGCGCCGAGGACGGGGGAGCTGACTGCGGAGCGGGAGACGTCGAAGGAGGGCCGGGCGGAGGAGGTTGGCGTTCCAGAGGGGGTGCGGCGGAGGGGGGGCTGGGGGTTGCGGGAGGAGGCGATGGTGGACATGGTGAGGGATTGGTGTGAAGATTTGTTGGTGACGGGGGTGGGGAGGGAGGAGGAGGAGGAGGAGGAGGCTGGAGTTGGGGAGTGTTTACACGGTGACAGGTTGGATTCAATGGGGCTCCATGGGCTGATGTGACAGCCTTGCGAGGTGAGCACAGGCTACAGGGGGGGTTTCGGAGCTGGGGCCACCTGGGTTACAGCGCCCCTGGGACCCTGAGCTTATCGCTGTTATCGGTTATAGCGGACGGGCTGCGGTACGTCATTTCTGCCAGCAAAAAAATAGAGTAGCTGATAGCTTCAACTTCAACTTGACATACCTAAGATACAAAGAGCACAGCACAAAGGTCAACACAAAACAATGGACCTCATATCTCAACTCCGCCGCTCCATCCTCGCCCTCTCCCTCCCCGCCCCCTCGCAAACCCTCCTCACAACGCTCACGACGTCCCGCTCGCCGCCGCCCCCGATCCAATCCCTCGTCGCCACGGCAAAGGCCCGGCTCCTCGCCTCCGACCTGACGAGCACCTCCCTCATCGACCCGTCGTCCATCGCGACGTTTCCGCCCGACATTGACTCTGCGGGTGTGGCGGAGGCGAAGCTCCCGCAGAACGTCCACGTGCAGGTCTTGGATGTGGAGAATCTGAGCGCGAGCCGGTGGGAGCAGGTTGAGGAGCTGGAGGCGATTGAGAGGGGGGAGAGGACGAGGGGGAGGGAGGTTATTCGGGTTACGGCGGAGGAGGATGATGATGGAGCTGATTCTTCTACGACGCAAGGCTCTTCTTCTTCTACTCGTGCTGGTGTTGGTGCTGGTGTTGGTGCTGGTGCTGGTGCTGGTGCTGGTGGGACGTCTTCAGGGGGAGCGAATGCGGTGCATCGACTGGTGCTGCAGGCTCGGCAAGAGAGTGTATGCGGTGGAGTTGAAGCGCGTCGCGGGGATTGCCGTGGGCAAGACGCTCATCGGGGAGAAGATGATGCTGAGGGCGGGCGCGGTGGTGGCGAGGGGGACGGTGCTGCTTGCGCCGGAGACGTGTGTGTTGCTGGGGGGCAAGGTGGATGCGTGGCATGAGGCTTGGTTGGAGGGGAGGCTGGCGAGGTTGAGGGAGAGCGTGGGGGCGGATCGGCCGGGGTGATGGTGGGATTTTGGGGAAGAGTTGTGGTTGTTGTGATACCCCCTTTTGCATGTCATTCTATACGTGCTCTAGTTGTTTTTGTACTCTACGTAGAGGTGTAGATTCTCCGTCCTTGAAGAGAGAGGAACAACGGTGAGTCTTCGTATACTCCTTCATTTCCTTTCCCTTTATATCTTCCATCATGATAAGTAGCCGTCCCTTCATCGCCATCATAGTTCTTCAGTTCCCATTGATATATCCTGCCCTCACATACCCTCCACACAAACCTCCAAAGCGTTCCACCCAGATCCCTCCCACGGCGCCAAAAACGCCGCCCTCTGCGCATCCGCAACTCTGCCCGTGCCCGCATACGCCTTGGCCAGCTCATGCGCCTCCAGCGTCCCCCGTGGCGGAATGCCCCTGGCCGCAACCCTGAGCGACACCTCGGCCGGGTAGTCGCCCTCTTCCCCTGCTGCCTCGGCAAGGGATGACCAGCCGTGTGGCAGGTAAGGGTAGAGCATGATGTCCGTCTGGACTTGCGAGATCATGTCCTGCTCTGACTTGCCTTCGCCGAGGGCGGCCACGGCTCGCAGGACTTGGCCGATGCGAGACTGCTCTTTGGCCGTCACCTTGTCGTTTGTTCGGAGCCCCTGGAGCTCTTCTACCACGGCTTCCAGGCTTGCCTCGTCTTGGTCCAGCAGGGCAATGACGCCCAGGAGCAGCACGCTCTGGACATGGTCTGGCTGCTTCTCAATGACCTCAAACAGGGCATTGCGCGCCCGTTCTCTCGCGGCTTCGGTGCCCTGGGCCCATAGAACCTGGGCGAGCAAGCACGTCGCGTCAGGATTGTTGTCGGATTCTTCCAGCGCCGACTCGAAGCACTTCTCCGCCTCGTCATATGCCTTGAGGTAATACTGCGCAAGTCCAGCGGTCAAGTGCGCCGATAGCCGGGCCTTTTTGCGCTGGTCGCTCGTCAGCTCGCTCTCGCTTTCGTCGCCGCTCAACCCTAGTGCCATCTCGCCGCACTCGACGGCCTGCTCGTATGATCCAGAGCCAAGGTACGCCCGCGCGAGGTCTGTGCGAGCCAGCGTGAACCTGGCGAGGTCCTCGGCGGACTTGGTCTTTTCGTAGTTGGCCTCGAGCTTTTCGCAAATCTTCTCCAGAGTGGCGACGGCGCGAGAGCTCTCGCCCGTGCGCTCCTGCAGCAGGGTTCCGAGATGCACAAAGGTCAAATCATCAGGCCGCAGGCTCTGGACTTGGTTCACAGCAAAGAGCGGCTGGATCAGCGATGCCACGTTCAGGTTGAGCGGTGCCGTCAAGATGTGGTCGAAGAGCGAAGACGAGTAATGGCGGCGTGCAGGCAGCGACGACGATTCCGAAATCTCCATGGCGTGCGTAAAGAGACCCCTGGCCTCCTTCGCCTCGCCAAGCAAGAGTGCCACGAAGCCCTGGCCGAGCCAGGCATGCGCATAATCCGGGTCGTTGGACTGGGCCCTCGTGAAGGCCTCGTTGGCGAGCTTCATGTCTCCGGACAGCAGTGCCAATGTTCCAAGGTTGGTCCAAGCCACTGGGCTGCGCTCGTTCAGGTGCAGGCTTCTGACAAAGGCATGCTGGGCTATGGCAGGGTTGATTTCGCTCGTCACCACACCCAGGGAGTTCCAGAAATCCGCATTGCTGGCTTCCAGTTCGATGGATCGCTTAAAAGCTCTTACAGCAGCCCTCAGATGGGGACTCGGCTTCTTCCGCAGCTGTGACGGCAGGCATGTGTGAGCCCGATATTCGGCCCATCCCAGGTTATAATACGCAACGGCCTGTGCGTGAATGTCGCCACTCGAGACGTAGATTGCCTGCTTGTAGCTCAAAATCGTGGCGTGTATGCATGCCGCAATCTCGAGGCCGAAATGCTCGTCTGCTGCGACCTTTTGATACACGACATTGGTGCTGATCTTGTCCACATTGGCGAGGATATCGAAAGCCTCCTGTGGCCGGGACTCCAGCAGCGGCCTGATGGAGTCGATGGGGAAGTCTGCCGTTCGACTTTGAACCGTAGTAAAAATGGAGCAAGCTTCGGCGATGCTCTTCCAGAAATTGAAAGTGTCCAAGACGCTGCCGCTCCTCTTCGTAGCAAAATTGATGGCATCAATGGCAAGATGAACCGCCTTTCCAAACAGGCCCCTATCCACGCTCGTGACGGCATTGTCCACCATGGTCTGCATCAGTGCGAGAACCACTCCCTCCTCTTCGGCATGTGTCTCCAGGACCGTCTGGTAGAGTGCGATGGCCTCGTCAAACTCGCCCAGTTCCCGCTTGATGTTAGCAAGCATGTAGTTGGTGAACCAGGTGTCGGCGGACACGTCGACCTTGGACTCTTCCTCCAGCTTCTTCGCGTTGAGGATGGCCTTGGTCGCCGCAATGTACCGTCCGGAGCTGTGGTAGCTCTCGCCGAGCCCAACCCAGGAGTGGTAGTCATTCGGCGAGATCCTGAGGGCGGCTTGGAACGATACGATGGACTTGTGAAAGTCTTGCTTGTTCAGTTCCGCAACGCCCAGGGCCGCAAATGGCCAGCTGATTCCCTTTCGCTTCGACCCCGGCGGAGGCTTTACCTTGCCAGAGTCGATGATGCGCTGGGCAACCAGTTCCACTCGATCCCAGTCTCCATCGTCTGCAAAGGAGCGGGCCAACCGCTCGGCCGCCGTCACTTCCGACGATGACAGTTCCAGGGCTTTTGTGAAGCACCGCCGCGACCGCTTCTTGTCCGATGCGTAGTCGGCGTAAAAGATGCCCAGGCTGGTGTACGTCGGAGCATGGTTCAAGGAGTTGTTCAGCGCCTTGAGCCAGTAAGCATAGGCACACTCGCCCTTCTTTCGCTTCCGAGACTGTCGATCCGTCTCCAGGTTCCAGATGCACATTCCGATCCGGTATTGGGTATCAGCCAACAGCTCTTTGGCTGCTTCCCCTTGCTTCTCCAACGGCGCCACACACTCCTGCAACTCGCCCAGAGCTGTTTGCCAATCTCCTCTAAGCGCTTTGACCCAGGCAGCCTCGGACTTGACACGCAGGTTTGTACCGTCTCGAGCCAATGCGCGGGTGAGGAAGTCGATCGCCTCTTCGTAGTCTTCCTCCTCCTCAAAAATCAGGCCGACGCCAATCATGGCAGGAGTTGATGTCGCATCATGTTCCAGGACTTTGTCAAACAGACGTTTGGCCTCCTGGTGGTGTCTCGGCGATTGATAGTAGATGAGTGCCGTCGCAAGAGAGATGGAGTACGCATCCTCTGTGTTTTGATAGGACAAGCCAATCGTTTGCTTCTGCTTGGCAAGGAAAGGCATGGCCTTGCGCATCAACTCTACCGTAGACTCATATTCCCCAGATCGCAGCAAATACTCTCCTACGAGTCTGTAGCCGAAGACGGATTCCGAGGTCGAGATGCCATCAGTCATCATGATCAGCCGGTCTTCCTCGGTCAAGGGAACCACAAAAGTTGGTGCGCCGCCATCCTCCTCGTCGCTATCCTCCGAAGTTTCAGTGTCAGGGGAGGCGGCCTTTTTGGGTTCTGCCATAGGTGCTGGGAAGGGAGAAAAGTGGCTTGTCAGGAATCCTGTGATGATCTTGTACAGATCGGTTTCCGGGAAGAAGCTGCAGTAGTTCCTCAGTAGATCCACGTCGTAGTCACGAATCTCCTTCTTGTCCTGCCAATTGATGGCAATCTCCCAGGCAAGTCGGAAGGGGTGCTTGATGATGACCATGTCATTCGCCAGTCCGAGCACCTTTTGCTGTTCGGCTGTCTTTTGCGGCCCCGCAGGCACCACGGCAACGTGGTCGTAACAGTACTGAATAAGTTTCTCTTCGTAGTTTCTCCTCACATCATCGTCTGTCGTCCAGTTGATGAGTTGCCGGTAATAGTGCTCCAGCTTGCTGTTTTGATAGACTTCGCGTTTCACGTCCAGGGTCACGTCGGTCAGTGTCGCACCCAGCCTCGTCCGCCGCTCTCCAATGAGTGTGTTGATAGTCTTCTTCTCATAGGCCTCGAGGATGAGAACGATGCTTTCGTACGTCTTGGCGGGGTGGGGGAAGCGGCCTTCGAGTATCGGAAACAGAGGACTCTCGGGAAGTCTAATCCGCAAGGCGTCGACATACTGTAACTGATCTCCGTGAGCTCGGGCAAAATCGACAAACTTGTCGACAACATCTTGGCACTTGTACATGTCTTCCGTCTTGTGAAAGGCTTGGGCCAGGCTGACGGCGGCTCTGTGATACTCCTGCAGCTTCTTGGCGCCTTGTTTCTCATACAGCTTGATCAGGCCCTGCCAAGCCGGTGCATCTTCAGGGCGCAGCTTAGCCGCTGCTTCGTAGATGGTCTCGGCCTCATCAAGCTTGTTCTTCTGATCTAACGCAAAGGCCAAGAAGATATGCCTGGAATCCATAGTCAGCTTTCTGCACATGACGAGTTCAGCCTAGGATGCAGCCAACAGCCAACATACGCCTGGTAGTGCTTGGGGTCTTTTTTCAAGAAGTCTCGGGCTTTCTCGATGGCGCCGTCATAGTTCTTCTCACGCACCGCATCACCGATGCCTTTGAGAGCTGCCTTGTTCGACATGACACCTGATATCTCAAGGAAACCCTAGAGGGGGAGGGGCATGCGTAGAGAACTGTAGAAGTTGCAAGGCTGCACAAAAAGAAGAAAGAAAAATCTGTTACAAGGAATCTATGTCATGATAAATTGGACCTCTTTCATCAGCAGATATCTGAAAGCAAGACTGACGTATCTGGCGGATCTGAGCGAATGACTAGGTGGTGATGGATGAGGCAGGCCTGAGATTCAGTGATGCAAGCGATCCATGAGCCTCCACTTGACAAGCAACACACTGAGCCGAAGATCTACCGATCACCTCTATGAGCACTACTACCTAGTAATGTAGGTACACCAACTGAAGTCATCATGAATCAACACCCAGACATGAAACTCAGTCATCTGTACAATCGTCCACCATTCTCCCGACATACACCAGAATCACGTATAGATGTGGTCAAGTATCTTGAACAGAGTGCAAACCATGATGTGCAGCTCAAAGGGCCAAAAGATGTTCGAGAAAGGGCTGTACCCTCTCTTCGGGGCAGCAGACCAGACTGACGGCCAAAGGCTCAGCAGCAGGATTAGCGACAACAGGCCTGAAGAATCAAACAAACAAGACCAGAAATATCAAAGTAAACAACGATCGCGTTTCCCTCGCCATGAGCGACACAACAAGTGTGGGCGCATCTACAAGACCGGTACTAGCAACTCCAACGAAAGTCAGCAGAGGGCGCGTGATGCTTTCACCCGCCACGTTGTCTTTGTTGCTACTGCAGACAACAGCGGTCTCCAGGGACTAATTCCATCCAGACCACATGAGGATAAGAACGAACCAGGCTTGGTAGCTTGCTGGAAGATCAATTGATGTCAGCCAACCACTCCTCTACCAAGTCTCGATGACATTCGCCAAGTGGGCTACAGCAACTCCCCTCTGAACAAACAAGCAAACAAACGGTTCACATGCAGGTGACTTACTTCGTAGCCATCCCAGTGCAAGTCTTCAGATCCGGAACTTCTTGAGATTGCGCTCAACTAACTGCTTCTTGTCACGATTATGAGTTCTGACAAGCCAAGATCAAGGCTGTCCATCAGAATGAAGCTCTAGAACTTCAAGGCTGCCTGTTGAGGCAGCCATCGGCTTCATGCTCCAAGGCCCGAATGCCTCTGAACGGCGTTGAGTAGACTCGAATACCCGATTTTCGTCCAAGCTCAGTCGCTTTCTCCAACCAACAAAGCTTGACCCCAGTTTCATTCCTCAGTACAAGTGCCGCAGCCTCATCTCTTCTATGTCATCTCTGAACCAGGATCCGCTTCCGTGGATAGCCACAGGCCAGATATTGCAGCATCTCATTGCATCTCGCCTTTTTGCGAACAATTCATTGTTCCTTCTCCTTTGGCGTCTTCCTTTGTATTCAAAGCATGACAAGTCTTCTCGCCTTTCTATGAATAGAAGCTGAGATGCTGATGCCTAGTTTCGCGAGCATGCGGCATTGCCTCGTAGGAACTGTAATTAAACCATGATCAGTCAAGAATGTGACTTCGAGGCAGGCAACTCTCTTCCGATCTCTCTCTGTGCATACAAGTATGTGATGCATCAAACAGGCGGTGTTCAAGCTGTTAGGAATGCAGTCATATGAGGCGCCCGGTGTTCATGGTGTCTCGAGCGTCTTACGATTGCCGGCACTCTGCCCGCTGGTTGACTGACGCGCATTTTTTCCCTTTTTCCTAGTATAATATCGTCTACTTCGACCTTATAATTGCTTTTTTATTCAAGAGATTTATGCCATTCCATAGTTTCTGGCTTTCATGATGGCTTCAACAGGGCGAATTACTCGGACGTCGACCCGCAATGAGGCTCAAAGCCGAGGCAGACGGGCCAACGGCAATGCCATTATCGAGAACGCTCTAGGTATGACTGCAATCTGGAAGTCAGAGGAGGAGGACTGAATTCTAGAGTCGGAGAATGCTGACGGAAATAGCACACCTCACGGATGAAGAACTGGAGAGGGATGTCCAGTCCTTTGTCGACAATCACTTGCCATCTGTCCGCTATGAGGATCTCATTCGTGCCGCTCGAGTTGCAAAGGACATTCGTCTGTATGATGAAGTTGCGAGGCAGAAAGGCTACAACTTCGAGTCGACTCTGCCGGTGCAGCTGACGGCAGAGGAGAAACATGCTCTGCGACGAGAGAGAGATGTTCCTTTCAGTGAAAAGGGCATGCGGATCGTCATTCTCACAGTTTCCATTGCGGCCTTGTTGCAGGGTGAGAAATACTCTTACACGCACTTCTTCTCCTCTCCTCCCGTCCTTCACTAAGCCAATCATCTCGAAACAGGCTTTGTCCAGTCCTCCTTCAATGGCGCTTCGCTGTACAGAGAAGAATGGGGGCTTCGTCGAGATCTCGGACCCGACAGCACGAGTGCCGACAACTGGAAGCTCGGGGCTGCCAACGCAGCGCCCTTTTTCTTTGCCGCGCTGATCGGATGCCCTCTTGCGCTGCCAATCAATTACTGGTTTGGCCGACGGGGAGGCATCTGTGTTGCTGCGCTCCTGATATTCGCAAGTTCTCTAGGTGCGGCATATGCAAGGACTTGGTACCATTTACTCGGGATACGGACCATCAACGGCGTCGGTATGTCTGGTCAAGGATCTGTAATCTGTGAGTAAGAGCTAATTGCTTGCTTAGGGATGGGCATCAAGGCCGTCAGCACGCCGATTCTTGCCGGAGAGACTGCTGTTGGATTCTGGCGAGGCTCTGCCATCCTGGCCTGGCAGTTGTGGTAGGTCATGCCTCCCATCATCTTCTTCATGCCGTTCAGTAACTTACGATGAAAGGGTCGCATTCGGCATCATGCTTGGCTTTGCCTTCAACCTCGTCTTCACAAAAGCGCAGTCGAGCGTGACGACACTCTCACTGATCAACGCAGCACCCATGGTCCCGAGCTTCTTCCTCTTTATGATCACACTGTTCCTTTGCCCAGAGTCGCCGCGATATCATCTTACCAGAGGCCCAAATTACAATGTCCAAAAGGCATTCATCAGCATGCAGAAGCTTCGAAATACCGAGGTTCGCCATCCCTTTCTTCTTCACTGATAGGCCACTTACAGCTGACACGATGATAGCTGCAAGCGCTGCGAGACATGTATCTCATCTATAAGTCGCTCGAACAGGAATCCATGGCTCTGGGTAACCTGGACGCCCATGCGTTTCGGTCACCAGGGTTTGTGTGGGTTATTCGGGACTTTTTCAGACAATACGCACAGCTGTTCCAGCAGAGGCGTCTGTATAACGCTGTCATCTCGACTTCGACCGTCAACTTGGCCCAGCAACTCTGCGGAAGTAAGCCAAACTTTCTGAAACCTCTTCCTGTATGACATCTCCTAACCCTCTTGCAGTTAACGTTCTTGCATTCTATTCGGGTAAGTTCCGTATCAACCAGATATATTCGACAGAACGCTCATAGAGTCTAGGATATCTGTTCAATGGCGCCGGCAGCGATGCGAGCTCCAAGCTCATTCCAATGGCATACAGTCTTGGCTTCGGTAACTACACCCTCTGTCTTCGTCTGCTCCTTAAAAAAGTACTAATTCCTCGATAGGGGCCATCAACTTTCTGTGCGCGCTACCGGCTGTGAGGAGCATCGACACGCTGGGTCGGCGGAAATGGCTGCTGGCAACGCTGCCTTTCATGGCGCTCTTCATGTTTGGTGCCGCTCTGGCCTTTACGATTGAGCCTCGGAACATCAGAGTCGGAGTTGCTGCCTTCTTCCTGTTCGGTTAGTAAATCGGCCAGGCCTCTTATTGAACGTCTTCTTAACACCCAATCAGTTTTTGCCGCCGTGTACTCGCCAGGCCTGGGGCCGATTCCCTTTACTCTTGCGTCAGAAAGCTTTCCCCTATCTCACAGAGAAGCGGTAAGTCAAATCAAATCTTCTTCAGCCTCCTGCCAGTCTAACCGCATGTCAGGGCACTGCGTGGGCTATTTCAATCAATCTGGGCTTTGCCGGCCTACTGTCCATCGTCTTCCCGAGGTAAGATTGAGTCCGAGGCTCCAATCACCGGTTGCTCTGGGCTAACCATTGCAAAGCATAAACGCAGGCCTCACAGAAACCGGCGCCTTGGGCCTCTTCTCCGGCCTCAACGTCGTCGCTCTGGTCATGGTTTTCTTGCTCGTAGAGGAGACAAAGCGCCGGAGTCTCGAAGAGCTGGACCACATCTTTGCCGTATCCAAGAGAAAGTTTATGCGCTTCCAGCTGTTCGAGTACCTTCCGTGGCTGGTCCGATACTACATCTTTGGAAGCCCCAAGCCTCGTCCGGAGCTGTACGAGGATCTGATCTGGGGTCCATCAGAAGGCGAAGACCTTGCGCCGTTCCGAGCTGTTGATTTGGTTGGATACTATAGCGAGCCGTCGGTTCCAGAGCCGGTGGAGTTGGCACACAGTCGCTCCCGCGATGGTCCTCAGGCGGAAGAACAGCATGGATCCGTTCGATCCAAAGAGCTGGGGGTGAAAGTCGCAACCGATCACGGCGATGATTCGGAGATGCAGGCAACGAACAATGACGGGCCGGTGAGTATCCGTTATTGACTTGACCGGATGCTGTGAAGGAATGAGCGTGATGGGAAACGATTTGATTCGACAGATATGAGACTTGTCTTGTGGGATACGTGTAATGTTAATGGCAGCTGGGAACTGAATGGGATGGCGATATCTGGGCGGATGAGTTTTTTTTTTTTTTTTTTGAGCCTGTACAATATTGACGTTGGGATATGGAAGCTGCTGTTCTTGATCATGTTCATTTCAATTGTTACCCTGTATTGTTTCGAAGGAATATCAGTCAAGTCAGTATACCTAGTAGTTTTTAAAGAGAGAGACGCCTTGTTCCGTAGTATAAACATGTGGTGTGTTACGGCACGGCTTGGTTTCGGCATGTTGATGTTTACTTCGGCTCCCAAGGTCACTGATTCCTCCAATGCCGGCACTTATGTACATACATACTCTCGTATTCGCACTCGCCATCCATCGCCACCCGGATCTGCCGAGTTGGTGCAGGATATCGGAGAATCGAGATCAGGGAAGCAAATGGGATGAGATCGAGTCAAGCGTCTCCCGCTGTGGGGAAGCAGCAGCGCTAGCCGGCTCCAGTTGCTCGAGACCGCTGTCCGTTAGTGGAATCGGGCGCTGAAACCGCTGAACCGGTGACATCCAATCCATGGATCCTACCTTATCAATCCAGGGCAATGCTCGGCTCAGCCAAGTCGGTCAAGTACCAGACCTTAGCGAAACGAAGCATCTGCATCTTCCGTCATCGCTCCCCAGCCCTCCCCTCCCTTCCATTTCCTGCGCTGGATAGTCCATCGAGACAATTCTACCCAACTTCATCCAGCTCGGTTCTACTGTCTGGCGAGAAGCATGGCTTCGTTTCGCCTCACCATCGAGGACGGCCAGTTCCGCGATGCCCACGGCCGCCAGGTGGTCCTTCGCGGCATCAACGTTGCCGGAGACACGAAGCTGCCCAGCGAACCCAACCAGCCCTCTCACGTCGGTGACGACTTCTTCGACGGCGACAATGTGACGTTTCACCAGCGGCCGTTTACAAAGGAAGACGCCCCGATTCACTTTGCGAGGATCAAGCGGTTTGGCTTCAATACGATTCGATACCTGTTTACGTGGGAGGCCCTTGAGGCGGCTGGGCCGGGCATCTACGACGAGGAATACATTCAGCACACCATTGAGGTTCTGAGGATCGCAAAGTCGTATGGTTTCTATGTCTTCATGGACCCTCACCAGGACGTCTGGTCCAGGTTCACCGGTGGTTCGGGAGCCCCAATGTGGACGATTTACGCTTGTGGGCTCAATCCCCAGAGCTTCGCTGCCACCGAGGCGGCCATCGTTCACAACACATATCCCGACCCCGACAACTTCCCCAAGATGATCTGGTCGACCAACTACTATCGACTCGCTGCGGGGACCATCTTTACCTTTTTCTTTGCAGGCAGGGATTTCGCCCCGAAGTGCATCATCGACGGCGTCAATATTCAGGATTACCTACAGGATCACTTCATCAATGCCTGTGCCCATCTCGCGAAGCGCATTCACGAGGCCGGGGACCTTGAAAATGAAGTTGTCATTGGCTGGGAGAGCATGAATGAGCCAAACAGAGGCATGACTGGCTATGTTGACTTGACCGTCATCCCCAAGGAGCACCCTCTGAAAAAAGGCACATGCCCAACCATGTGGCAGACTTTCTTGACGGGCATGGGCAGAGCTTGTGAGATCGACACATGGGAGATGGGAGGTCTCGGGCCTTACAAGACGGGAACAAAGCTGGTGGACCCGCACGGCGAGTTCGCTTGGCTGCCTGAAGGGTATGACGACTCGAGATACGGATGGAAGCGTGATGCTGGGTGGAAGCTGGGCGAGTGCGTCTGGGCCCAACACGGCGTGTGGGATATCGCAACAGATACCCTCTTGAAGAAGGACTACTTTGCAAAGAACCCTAACACTGGAAAGAAGATTGACTACCCAGAGTTCACAAACACCTACTTCATGGACTTTTGGAGGAAGTACAACAAGGCTTGCCGCAGCATCCACAAGGATTGCCTCATGCTCATGCAGTTCCCTACCCTGGAGCTTCCTCCCCAGATCAAGGGCACAGAGGATGATGATCCAAAGCTGGTCTTTACGCCCCATTTCTACGATGGCATCACCCTCATGACGAAGCACTGGAACAGCAGTTGGAACGTCGACGTCGTCGGTGTGCTTCGGGGCAAGTACTGGCACCCTGCTTTTGCCATCAGAATTGGCGAGACAGCTATTCGAAACTGCTTGCGGGATCAACTGGCAACCCTTCGACAAGAGGGTATTGACCGGACGGGCAACCATCCTTGCTTGATGACCGAGTTTGGTATTCCATATGACATGGATGACAAGAAAGCATACAAGACAGGAGACTACTCGAGCCAATCTGCGGCCTTGGATGCCAACTACTTTGCGGCGGAAGGATCAGGAATGGAAGGGTATTGCCTATGGGTGTACTCTACGACAAATGATCACGAGAGAGGAGACCAGTGGAACGGGGAGGATCTGTCCATCATCTCGGTGGACGACAAGCTCCCCGAGACATCATCAATGATGAGTGAGCCCGCGTTGGATCAATCGACGACGAGTCTTGTCAAGAACGGCTCCACTGTCGTTACGGCGGACGCTCTAGATGATGCAGGCGTCCACCCTGGAAACCTCCAACGCACACTTACGAACCCATCCATCAGCTCTGCTCCCTCCGACAAGGACCCTGAACTGGCGAATACCCCGGGCTACCGTGCCGCAGAGGCCTTTATTCGCCCAACACCGACGGTCGTGGCGGGAAACCTCGTCTCTTCTGGCTTTGATCTACGCAAATGCATTTTTAACATCAAGGTTTCAGCTCCACACGCTGCAGCCGACGATACACCGACGATCATATTCCTTCCAGAGTACCACTTCCCCAAGTCGGAATGTGAGATCACCGTTTCGGCTGGCAGATGGGAGATTGGCCTTGATAGCAGCGAGGGCACACTCGTCCAGCTCCTACGGTGGTGGCATCCCGAAGGAGAGCAGACACTGACGGCCAAGGGCATAGTACGAAAGTACAACCTTCCTGAGGGCACGTCTGACGAAGCAGGCTACTTGGAGCAGTGCCAGGCAGGCTACGGCCTGAACCTGGGAAGCTGCTGTCTCATGTGAAGCTGTTGGTATATGCTCTTGAAGCGGCGAAATTTGTAACTGCATTGAGCTTGTGGCGCGCATCATCAGACGCCGTTGGGCAGGCGTGCATGACACGGAGTTAGGGTTTCTTTTCTGTTCATTGTATTCATGCTCCTCTGGCCCAGTTGCATGAATGACCTGGGGTACCATATGTTGGCCCGACAAGGATCCACGCATATCTAGGCATATCACCGATCATTTATCCATTACCTATTCACGTCATATCAACCGTCTATCATTGGGCTTGAGATGAGCGGATCAGCGATAGTATTGACGAATGATGAGAGGACCAAAGCAAATCCTCTTTTGGTCCGGGAGTTATTTCGATCCAAGCGCTGACACAAACGCTAGCTTCCGATCCGTGTGGACGCACTTACAGTGAGGCGATATCCAACATGCACCTTGATGGAACATGGCTGGCCACCTTGATGGCCTCGGATGACTTTGGGACATTGTGCCATCCATGACTTGTGATGTACTATAAAATGGAATTTTGAAAGTGTGCAAACTTTTCCTGATCACAAACCTGAATTTGCCAATTTCTGGGTTTAGAAACTGCTTTCTCTTTGTTTCCAGAGGCCTGCTTCATCACGATGGCGCCGCTACGACGAACAACGAGGTCAAAAGCCAAGAAGGCAAAAAAGACGGACGTCTTGGTGCCGTCTAAGCCGGTGCCCGTGACGCTGTTGTCCGGCTTCCTCGTGAGTTTGCTGTCCTATTTTTATCTGGTTGGGTTGTCCTAACCGAGGATCCAAATATAGGGTTCAGGCAAGACGACTCTGTTGCAGCATATTCTGCGAAGTGAACATGGACTTCGCATTGCTGTTGTGGTGAATGACATTGGAGCGTATGTACATGATGCTATTGTACCGTGGAAGTAAAAGGCCAGTTTGCTGAGATTATGTAGCATCAATGTCGACGCCTCTCTCATCAAGCAGACTCACCAACTTACAAAGACTGATGAAAAAGTCATTGCGCTGCAGAATGGATGCATCTGCTGCACCCTGAGAGGAGATTTGCTCGAGGAGCTCGTGCGGATCTCCCAGCTCCAGCAGTTTGACTACATCATCATCGAGAGCAGCGGCATCAGCGAGCCGGAGCAGGTTGCCGAGACCTTTGACGCGCGGCTGGCAGACCAGATGAGCCTCATGACCGAGGGTGATGGCATGGCTGGCCTTGACGAGGACATGGTCAAGGTCCTCAACAAACTGTAAGCTTCCGAAGATGTTGCAACTGCTATATCCGGCTGCTGGCATCAGTGCTAATAGCTGTGTAGGAAGAAGGCTGGTGGGCTGCAGAAGTTTGCTCGTCTGGATACGACGGTTACCGTCATTGATGCCTTTACGATGATGCATGACTTTGACACGGTGGATCTGTTGTCTGCTCGGAGGGATGACGTTACTCCAGAAGATGAGCGAACGGTGTCGGATCTCATGGTTGATCAGATTGAGTTTGCGGATGTGATAATCCTAAACAAGATTGACATGGTGAGTTGGCCTGACTGAATGCGTGCAGACTGGGAACTGACGATGGTCATGTATCAGATCAATGACGAGACCAAGGCTCGAGTGATTGACCTCATCAAGAAGCTGAACCACCGGGCCAGGATCCTCGAATCCAAGTACAGCAGGGTGGATGTCAAGGAGCTGGTCAACACGGGGCTTTTCGATCTTGAAAAGGCGCAGTCTGGATATGGCTGGTTGCAGGATTTGCATGCCATGACCGTACGAGAGGTGAGCTTCCCTATGCCTCTAATCACCCTAACCACATGAAGTCTCGGTGAGGCAACGGCTGACAAAGGTCATGGTACAGGTGAATGGCCGCAAAGTGGTGACTCCTAAGCCGGAGACGGAGGAGTACAACGTGCAGAACTTTATCTATTCTCGTCTTAAGCCTTTCCACCCCAAACGACTCTGGGCACTGATCTACGACAAGTTCATCTTGCAGATGGAGCAGCCTGATGACGATGATGATGACGGCGAAGGAGAGGAGGAAGAGGGAGAAGACGCTGAAATGGTCGACTTTCCAGACGTCGAAAGTGTCGGCTCCTCCTCAGGAGACAATGCCAGCTCGGCAACCCCTTCTCATCCCCCTTCAACTCCCGCAACTGCGACCTCTCCCACTCATGATGACAAAGAAGGCGATGAGGACATGGAAGTGGATGGCATGACGCCGCCGGAAAACGACGTGATCCTGGCCAACAAGCGCGCCCACCCGACGCTCGCCCGGCTGTTCCGCTCCAAGGGCGAGATCTTCATGGCGACGCGCCCCCACCGCTGCGGCGAGTGGTCCCAAGCCGGCGCGATGCTGACCCTCACCGGCGGCCGCTCCTGGTTCTGCACGCTGCAGCCGGAGGAGTACACGACGGGCAACGAGGACGTGGACGCCATGGTGAAGCACGACATTGCCAAGGGCGGCGAGTGGGGAGACCGGCGGCAGGAGCTCGTCTTCATCGGGGAGGGGCTGGACCACAAGGCGTTGGAGGAAATGCTTGACGGGTGCTTGCTTACGGACGGGGAGTATGAGGCGTGGAAGGGGGTGATGAGGAGGGAGGGGGTGACGGAGGGGGAGAGGAGGGAGATGCTGGAGGAGTTGTTTGAGGATGGGTTTCCGGATTGGCCGGGGGATGATGATGAGGAGGGCCATGAGGGACATGATCATTAGAGTGGTGGTTGAAAAGTACGTGATTTTGAGTCTGGCAGGACAATGACGAGAAAAGAAGGTTCTGCTGTTGTTGCCTACTGTCCTTTCGAGTCGATTGATACGTTTGCTTGAGGTCCTCGGTGTTTGCTCGATACTTGCTTCGTTGTAAGCCAATATCATAGGGCTTGTTCCAGTGTTGTCCAGTGCTTGGTCGAGCCTCTCAGCAACTTCTCAAGACCCTTAGTGTTTGCTTGATATGTTCCCGGGATTTGCCCTCTGTTCTTGGCGTTGCTTTATGGCCTGAGTGGTTGTTTAACATTCTCAGTGTCACTTGATATTCTTGGACGCTTCTCAAATACTGTTTGCTTGACTTTTTGCTATATTACTTCATCGTCTCGGCGTCTGCCTGATACGATGGTGCTTGCTGAGATATCTGATGTTTGCTTAGATGTTGTCGTGCTCCAGGAATAGAACCTCTGTCCAGCGAAGTCAGCACAAACGAGGTATCTCAACAAACAATTCAACCCAAAATAGCAGAGCTCTAGGTATATAAGACTCGCAATTTCTTCCCTTCAAAGGATTCTTTTTCTCGCTCCATCCTCATCACACAATACCCATCCAGTCTTCGTCACCAAGCAAAACAACCACCAAGTTCTTCTCTACGCTCCCACAACTTTTCAAACAAAGACACACAGTTCAGCAAGTAACCAGCACCACTCATCTTTCATCATGGCTGGCAACATGAACGGAAGTGCAGCAACCAACGAGGCCTCGTGCCCTGGAACGTGGTGCGGCTGTCCTGGACGCAGGCCCTTGATCATTGAGCCTGTGAACATGGCTTGCGGCTGTGGCTGTGGCCAATAAAAGGCTTGCAAGCTACGATGATGGCTCTGGCTGTAAGTGCATCTGCGCATGGGCGTTTCTCTGAGAGGAAAGTCGCTGGGGGATTGTTGAGTTGCTGACTTCGATATAGGTACACGGGGTCTTACTCCAGCCATCGCTCTGATCACTACCTGGAGGATTTTTATTCAACATGACTGAAGCATCCATTCAACATGGACCGAAGCTTTCATCAAACGTCTCGATGCTTTCAAGGGCTTGCACAGATTGTCTTCCGCGCCCTTTTACATTTCTTTCTTTATGAGGATACCTACTGCCCAGGTACCATCGGCATCATGACAACCAGCTCGACACGGTAGTAGCCAGTATCACGTGTTCACAATAAACATCTTATTTTAGCACTTGGCAAATCTCCTCCGTCTTGTGCATGCTCTGTGAAGGTCATGATGTAGCCCCTGCAGAAGTTCCCCGGATCTGTCAGCTGTAATCTGGAGCTTATTGTGCGCTGTCAAAAGGGCGGATGGGGGATCCCTGTGCAGTGCAATTTCGCCATGGGACTGTCTTTGACTCGACTCTGAATTTGTTACTACTACCTCTACCTTACCATCACACCTATATCCGCTGCTTGTGAGTTATCCCACTGCATCACCAGCTCAAATATGGAGAGCTGCAAGACATCGCATTTGAGCGACAGTTGGGTACAAGCACATGTACCAGCATCAGGCACCAGACGTCAAATCAAGGTACCCGTGGAGGGCATTTCTGCATTCTGACAAGATCCGAGGTATCCAGTACCCCCTTGTGGGTGCATCGTCCGAGCGGAGTCTGAGTACTGTCTACCGCTGCAATGCCCCCCCCTGATTTGCATGTGAAATCGGAGTCCATCCAACTGGAGTCTCACGTGGCCAGACGCCGTCATCCGTCTGCTAGCAGGTGCCCTGCCCTCGGCTCCTGCCAGAGCAGCATCAACGGGGATGAAATGCAGCCAGCTGACCCTTTCCTTCTTATTCTTTGTTCGTATCTTCTCCTGTAGACTCTCACCAACTTCTTCTTTCTCTTCTTCTTCTCCCTCTCTTCTAGAAGCCATTTATTCGCGCCTCTTGTTCGGCGCAGCTTCATGTGAATCCAACAAGCATATTCGCCCGTTTGCAGCCTAAACAACCCGCGGCTCGACCAATGACGTTTTGGGCTGGCGGAGACGACGGAACCGCTGCCTTAGATGGCTGCCATTGTGAGTTGCTCCCTGGTTTGCGCTGTGCTTTGCCCTTGGTGCTCCTGGATGCCTTCCTCTGCGAAGGTGTCAGCCTTTTTGTTCCCTGCTACTGCCTGATACCCATGACCACACTATAAACACATGCGACCAAATTGCACCCTTTTCCATTTTCCATGCGCATTCGCCAGTTTCGAGACAAACGAGGACGCCTGCTATTGGATCGACGTGCCACAAGTGCACAGGGCTTGGCTTGGTAGGGTGATGTCATGAAGACACGCACCTCGGCCTTGCGTTGGCTCGTCGTGCTCGTCTCTCGTCAGCCTTTCCTGGCGCCACGATCCCAGCTCAGCTCAGGCCAGATGCCTCCCTCTCGTTACGTCGTCGATTTGCTGCTGCCGCTTCCGCGCCTCTGCCATCGTCCCCTTTGACCCTCCCGCCTGCTAGTGCTTGCGCCTGACTGTTGATGCGCGCCTGCTGCGACTTCTCTGCTGACCATCTGCGCACCTCGAACCCCAGGATCTTCCGTGGATCTCACAGCTTAACCGGCCAATGTCTTCCCGCGATGGCTCGTCTCTCGGCGCGTCGCCGCCGTCGTACGACTCCAACACAACCCTAGGCGCTGCTCCTCCCCCGACATACGCCGCCTTCTCCCCCGTCACGCTCTCGGCCACGACGCCCTCCAGGAACAGCCGTCGATCGACCGTCCTCGTCCACCAGAAGAGCCCGCTGCTCCTTGCCACCCCTCCCCAGATCACGCGCGCGCTCGCATACAGCCACCCCTTCCTACTGCCGCTCAACACCTTTGTCGGGCTGCTCACATGGAGCACCGGAGACCCATGGCAGAGCTTTCTGCTGCTGTGCTCCTTTTGGGCCATCGTCCTCTATGGCGATGTCGTGCTCATGCGAGCCGGCCCCATCGTCGTCTCCATGGGGCTGATAGCGGGCATGTACGGGCGACGATATAGTCCCTTGAGCAGCAGTGGCTGGACGGAGCCTGCGCGAGTGACCAAAGATGCTGCCGCCTCCAAGAAGGCTGCGGCCAATGGAGGCGGCAATCCGGAGGAGACTCCCAACGGGAAGCAGTCTGGCCATGCCCGGGCCAAGTCTGAACTCACAAACACCAAACACCAGAAGACGCTGGATGAAATCGTCGACACCCTCAAAGAGTTTACCGGCAGATGCAATGTCCTCATGGACCCTCTTCTCGAGATGACCGACTTCCTCAGCACCCAGCGGACCCCGACCAGCGCAACTACCAGACCGGCACTCACTGCCATGTTCATGCGGCTCCTCATCATGACGCCCTTTTGGATCGTCCTGACCATGTCGCCGTTTAGGATCATTACGACGCGACGAGTTGTGCTAGTGGCGGGAACAATCATATTGACATGGCATGCGAGGGTGATGCGGGTTACGAGGACCATTATCTGGAGAAGCAAATCCGTCCGCAAGCTTGCTGGGGCCATTACTGGTCTCCATTTCGATAGCCCGCCGAAGACATACCATCTCAGGGATGGCGCAGATATAAATGAGTCACAGATGAGCAAGGCATCGTTCTTGGGAACCTCTAGCCTGCAAGTGAACCGTCGACGAGACGGCACCGCTAACGGCGGGAAGAGTGCCGGCGTCAAGTTCACTTTCATTATATATGAGAATCAGCGGCGGTGGATTGGCCTGGGGTGGACGTCGAATCTCTTTGCCTACGAGCGGCCTGCATGGACAGACGAGCATAACAACGCCGTGCCACCGCGAGATGAGTTTGAGCTTCCCGAAGTTGCGGATGGAAGCCGGATGAGGTGGCGATGGGTAGAGGGCAGCCGATGGCGAGTAGATGGCGTACCAGACCCTGAAGATCAGGGCGCGGTGGATTATGATGGTCCCGAAGGGAAGAATGGATGGATATACTACGACAACAAGGTAATTTGCTCTCCTGTCCCAGCGGTGTTGCTTGGCTAACGTGAGTTCGTCAGTGGCAAAACGGCCGCCGGGGAATTGATGGCTGGGGCCGGTGGACGCGGCGCAGGAAGTGGTATCGCGATGCCGAATTGGTGGAGGTGGACGAGTCTCAGCTTCCTCAGGAGCTGGATGCTACCGAGAGGACACCCACGCCGCACACAACATCGTATTCCACAGCCAACGAAAATATGCGAGTCGAGCCTCCGGATCCCACACCAAACGAGGATCAAGACCAGGTCTCGGATGCGTTGAGCGTAAAGGCTGCAGATGATACGGCCTCGCTACATTCCACGTCGTCGCGGTTCTGGCCGACCCTGAGGAGACGGACTACTGATCGTTCCGGGGATAGTCTCCGTCTGGACAGTCAGAGACAGGAGAAGCGACGAAGCGGCAGCCAGAGGCCGAGGAGAACGAGCGACGTTGCTAGCGACATTGCCGGAGAGGACGACAGCGCACTGAATCTTGCCGTCGCGCTTGAGCTGCAGAAGTCGGGCAAAGAGGGCGGGCAGTGGGGGATTGGGGATGAAGCGCGCATGAGCTTGGAATGACTCGGATGAAGCTTTTCGGAGCGCCCTTGGTGTTTTCATTCTAGAGCTGGCCTGCCTTGACTATGGCTGAAGTGCTCGTCTTGAGATTTCTTGTAACAACATATCATCATAGTAGCATTGACTAGCAAGTTTACTGGATTTGGCGGGAGTCGCGGACAGGGTATTGGGATGTTATGGATTACTGCTGTATGAATATGAGTACCTACTTATGCTATTGCGTTTTGCAGCTGAACATTCAGGCGCCAATGTGTGAGGAGACTGGGCGAAGACTGACCCTGTCTTGTGAAACTACTGAAGCAAGTTGGTGATGCGTCACCTCGAGCCAGCTGGCAGTTTGAATTACAGCTGGCGCGGGACTCCTGACTCTCGCCAAACAAAATCCGTTTGCACTGCGTGTTTTCCCATTCTTCCTCATTTTTTCATCCTCCTCCCACAACATTCTTTTCCTTTTCCTCAAAACTCCTTTCTTTTGCGTTCCAAGAAAGAGATTCATTTCTCAACCTTGCATCTTTCAGTCGGGGTTTGGCCCCTTATCGTGTTCCTCCTTGTTCAACGTTTCTCCAATATCATCGATCGAAGGGCCTGGGAAAAAGCAGCTACAGAGTGAAAACGCAAGTATCAGCATTCAAAGCGAGAGCGATGCCGCAGCTTTCGGACATTGAAGAGGGTTCCTCGAGCGGAAGCACCGTCGAAGCGGACGAGGACCATCAAAGGAAGTCAAAGAATGATGAATCCAGGGATGCCAAACTCGAGTCCTCTCATCTTTCTCCGAGAAGTGACACCTTCCGGTCCATAGGAAAAGCGCAAGGGCTCAAGCTTCGTCAAACTTCTCACACCCAAAGCCTACCGACTTCCATGACGGTCTTTTCGCCTGCTCTCCCACCGCCGTCATCTTCATCACCAGAATCTTCGTCGTCCTCCTCGCGATCGATTACGCCTCCGCACCCAAGCCATCGCGTGTCGTCCTCGGGAACGGTGCAGATTGTCTCCCCTGGGGCGATGACGTCGTCTTCCGCGACGTTTTCGGGGGGTGGTTGGTCGCCTTTGGGGAGGAGGATGGTGAGCGAGGGGGTGGTGGTGGGTTCAGAGACTTCTTCGACGGCGGCGAATATTTCTGCGTATCGTAATCACCGCCAGACTCCGGATCATGGCGATGGCCAGCAGCAGCAGCGGCGGCAGAGAGGGCAGTATGGCCTGGGAGGAGGTGTTCCGCCTGAGGGAGGTGCGCCGTTTTGGTGGATGGATGGTTCGACGGTGGATTTGTTACCTCGACAGGGCGATGATGAGTGTGAGAGAGGAGACTTGCTGGGCGGTGCTCGGGCTGGTAAACGAGGGGAGATGAGGTGGCTTGTCCATGTGGTTGTGCATGGGGTTGTGTTGGCGATGCAGAGCGGCGTTGCGGTGGGCGTGTTGACGGTGTTTGCGTGGATGGGGATGTGGAGGGATGATAGGGGGGATGTGGGTGGTGTTTCTGGAGACATGTGAGTTGACGAGTCCTCGATATATATCCCCTTTGTTGTCACTTTTCGATATGCTGATGATGATGACGCTTTACCTAGGCTGCGCAGTATTCCCTCTTTGGCGACAACTTCGGTCCTCATCCTCTCCTTTGCGACCCTCATGATGCACGAAATCTATCTCCTCTCTGCGGTCGTGCTGCTCTACTTGCAGGCGGCTATTCTCGCGCTCGCGACTGTTGCTGCGATGAGCTTGTGGATGAAGGGCGTTTGGGAGGAGAACGGCGTGGCCAAGTGCGTCTTGATGAGTTGCGGGATGATGTTATGGGGGACTTCGGGATTGGCGTTTTTGAGGGCGGTGGTGGTGTGGAAGGTGACGACGAGCTTGGTGGGCGAGGATGAAGGGGTGGGAGAGGGAGGGAGGAGTGGTGAGGTTGTTCAGGGGGGGTATGCGACTTTTCGGGGATCTGGGTCTGCATGATGAAGATACTGGATGGATGGAGGTAGCTGCAGGGATATGGCCTTGATGATTCACTTGCTGCTGGAGTCTGTAGTTGATACTTGGATTCAAGTTCTTGGGACTATCTAGGCTTTGATGTGCTCATATGCGTATCACCAACCTCTCCTAGTCAAATTTCTACCCCTATTCAACCTGCTCGCATCAACTCCGCACGCTCAACCACCTCCCCTCAATCAATCTTGTACTTCCTACTGCCAGTTCTGCTGACTCCACCTCGGGCAATCCTGAATATTCATCAGCACCACAACCTTGTTATTCAGATCCTTCGCCGCCGCAAACCGATCAAACTCGTCCATAAAGTCAAGATCGCCCAATACATTCACCCCGTTCCCCTCGTGCGCCAGCATCTCTCTAAACGGAGGCCACTCTTTGACAGACTCCGGGTTCGCAAACTGCAGCACATCCCTCCAGACTTGATTCTCATCCGTATGCGTCGACCAGTTGCGTCTGACAAAATCCCCGTGCATGCCGACGAGGGCGCGCATGACATTCGCGATGTCGAAGCGTTGTTGGCCCTGCTCGCGGAGCATCTGGAGCTCAATGTCGCGGCCGGCCTTGCTGGCCAGCATGTCAGGCTTCCATTTTGAGTTCTGGGAGACCAGCCAGTCTTTCACATGCTTTACGTAGGAGCCGGGGATCCACCCCTTGGTGAGGGGATGGGGGGCTGTGTCGTGGTCGAGGGGGAACTGGGACGACATGGTGGCGTTGATGTTTGAGCTTTTTGTTTTTGGACTCGGAAGTGTCTGTACTGGAGTGTGATGTTGTAGAGGATGGTACAAGCGAGATTGAAGGCTTGGTTGGAGTGTCTTGTGGGAGAGAGGTTGAGAGGAGAGGTCGAGAAAGGGGGTTATATAGGCGTCTGTTGCAGTGATGATTGTAAGATTTCCATGCCAACTCATAGCTTCATTGTGCCACAAGAGATAAACAAATACTTGAATCACTTTCAACGACTATCTGAAGCAACATTTACTCACAGAGATTAAAAAAAACATGGCGTCCAGTGTGAACCTCCGTGGCTACATCGGACAACAAACTCAGCGTCTTCTCTCTCTTCCAAGCCATACAAGCAAACAGCAACATAAACGCCATGTTTGTCCCTCTTGTGTCCTCCCTCCCCTTATTCAGTACTCGGGAAAGACCTCTCCCATCTTGAGCCCCCAATTGTCTTCACTGGCAAGCCTCCTCATCACATCCGCCAAGTCGTCACAGTATCCGTCGACCTGCTCCGCGTTCAACTGCGCCGTGTCCCACGAAGCGATGAATAGGAGATTCTCCCTGTCCACCATGAAGGCACTCCAAAATAATCCGCTGCCCATTCAAACCACACGTCAGTTCCGTGCATGATCAAGCCCATGGAGGAAAAAAAGAAAACAAAAAAAAACTCACCAATCTGGCCAGTCATATCGAGCCACAGGCTCCAAACTCTCGAAATCGCTGCGGAACCCCCTGGACGCAGCAACGCCCATGCTCACATCCCACACAAACGACTGTCTGAATGACGCGTCCATGGCCACACTTGCCTCCTCGCGGAGCTCCTGTACGACCTTCTCCCACGGGACGTGCTCGTGCCGGCGAATCTGCTCTTGCTCACGCACCATGCGCTGGATGAGGTCTTCCAGCGTCTCTTCGCGGTGGGCTTCGTACATGTTGAGGATCCATTCCACGGTAGGCCCGTCGATGCTCATGGCCGGCTGGAGGGCGTCAGACACCCAGTCCGGCACAAACGGCCACGAGCGGGCGCTCTCCCACGAGTTGAAGACGGCGACGGGGGACTTTGTCTGCAGGACGTTGAAGAGGATGAGGGCGCACTTTGCGAATAGGACCGGTTCGAGACGGTATAGCTCGCGGAGTTTCGCCAGGGCGGGCAGACGGACGATTCGGCTGCGGCGAGGGAACCGGAACTCTTGTGCTCTGTCTTGCCATTCTCCGTTCCATATCTGGTCCCTGACGGCGTCACGCTCGGCTGCGAAGAAGGAGCTTGAGTCGCTTCCGATCATCATCCCCGGAGAGAGCTGCTTCGGCCAGAGCGCCTTCTTGTAGCGGGAGATTCCTCGCAGACGTTGAACGTGGAATGAGACGGCCCTCTGCGCCGGCAGACTGTCTTGGTACTCGGCGAACAAGTCTGCAAAGAGGCGGTACGACGTCTGCATGGGGATGATTGTGTCGTTGTCATGTATGAGCCGGTCTAGATCCCGATGCCACGGCAGAAGAGTCAAGGCATCGGCAATCGAATGGCTGTACGTGAGACAGAGGAGTCTCTGCCCCGTCTCCTTGACCTTGATGATGACCGCGCCGAACATGAACGCGAGAGAGTGGCTCTCGGCAGAGCTGTCCTCGTAGAGATCCCTCGCGTGCTTCTCCGTGTCCGCCTCGACTTCGCGGACCAGCTTCTGGAAGAAGAGCTGGCTGTGCCGCACGACGGTGTGGTAGAGCACTCCCTGCACGCCGAGGAGGACTGTCCGGAGAAGAGGTCTGAATGCGAGCCATTGGAACAGTCCGTCGTAGATCTGCGAGATGGTGGCGTCGTGGATGCGGAAGACGACGCGGATTCGGTAGGACTGGGGTCTCTGGCCGACGATTGTGCGGTACATGGAGCCCCTGACGGGGATGACATCTTGGACGTCGGCTCCGTCGAGGCCGAACCTTTCGACTTGTTCTCGGGCGGCTGAAAGGATCGCATCTGCGGTGGTGTTTGGAACGGTTGAATATTGGTGTTGATGTTGCCTCGAGTCGTGAAACTGGTCTCTTGGGATGAGAGAGTTGAAAGCACCATCTGCTCTCGGATGGATATGCGAGATGCCATCCTTGCCCAGTGCCGCGTCTGCTTCAAGAGGCGCATCTCTCGCAGCCAAAAGCCGAGCCTGCGTCTCAATCGTGGCGCATCGACTCAGATCCTGAAGATAGAGCCGCCGTCCAAGCCCTCGAAGAATCGCGTCGCAATATCGAAGCAGCGTGATGCTGTCGGCCAAAGCAAAGATGTCGTCCGTCTTGTTGGGACGGACGCCCACCAGCTGGTCCCATATGACCCCCAGCTGCTCTTCCAGCATCGACACTTGGTCTCTGTTCTTGTGCATCTGAGAGTGTTTGGCCTGGTCTGTTTGCCTCTTTCTGGTGACAATGTCGGCGAGCATGGCCCGCTTGGGCTTTCCAATGGCAGTTGCTGGGACGCTGTCGAGGCCCAGGTCTTCCAGCGTGTAGACGGAGTCGAGTGCGTAGTGAGAGCCCAAAAGCCTCGATTTCTCCATGATGATGGACTTGGGTGTCTTTGGCGCGAGCTTGACGATGGCGACTGGGATCTGGCCTGCAATCTCATCCGGCACTCCCACGACAAATGCCTAGTATATGTCTAAAAGTTAGCTGAAATCCCCTCGACATCTCAAAAAAGGGGTAGGCGATTTCTACCTGTAAGAGCCCTGGAATGTCCGATAGGGCAGTTTCAATCTTCAAAGGATCGATATTCTCCCCTCCGCGGATAATCAAGTCGTTGTATCGTCCAAGGATATAGACCACCCCCTTTTCGTCAATCATCGCCTGGTCCCCCGTCCTCAGCCACCGTCCCGCCTCGTCATCATAAAACCTCCCATCATCGTCCTCTTCATCCTCGCCGAAATAGCCGTGTATCACCGACGTGCCCGAGATATGCAGCTCTCCCACCTCCATCCTCGAAAGCACCTCCCGACCTCCTCCCCAGCGACAAACCCGCACCGCCGCCCCCGGAAGCACCTTTCCCACGCCGGCATGATACCCGTCCACCAGCATCCCGTCCTGCCTCGACCAGCTCACAATCGGCGCGCCCTCGCTCATCCCGTACGCCTGGATGGCATCCCGCGCCCCCAGGCCTTCCCTGCAGAGCCGGATGTGCTCCGCCCCGATCATGGTCCCCGAGATGGACACAATCGACAGGCTCAGCGCCTCGGGGCTCGGGAACGCCGCGTGCGACAGCAGCGCCCGGACGAGCGTGGGCGTGGCCGACATGACGGTGCACTTCTCGTCGACCAGCGCCCTGAGCGTGGCGTCGATGTGGAAGGACCGCGCGGCGAAGACGACGACGCCGCCGTGGCGCCAGGCCCGCAGCGCGTTGTTGATGGCGAAGACGTGGCACACGGGCGTGTGGACCAGCCAGCGGTCGACAAAGTCCGGGTCGGCGTTGGCGTCGTAGTTGCTCGTCTGAGACACCAGGTTGCGGTTCGTGTGAGGGCATCCCTTGGGGCGGCCGGTGGTGCCGCTGGTGAAGACGACGAGGGCGGGAGCATCACCGTCGCTGCCGCTGCCGGTGGGCCGGGGCGGTCCTTGTTGCTGATCGTCGTTTGTGTCTGTGTCTGTGTCTGTGTCTTTGCCTGTGCCTGTGTCATCTGTGTCACCGCGAGCCTCCAGGTCTAGCCCCAGCCCCAGCCCCAGCCCCTGAGGGGAAGAGGAAGACGACGACGACGCATCCCCATCCCCGCCCATGAGCTCCCCCAGGCTGATCCAGCCCTCGGCCGACCCGCCGCAGAAGACGCGCAGAAGAGGCCGTGGAAGCTCGAGCCTGGCCATGTCCGCGTCCAGGCGCCGCGCAGCCTCGGCATCCTGGACGACCAGCACGCGCGGCGCGGCGGTCTCGAGCATCAGCGGCACGTCGTCCGTGACACGAGGGTCCAGGGGTATGAAGACGGCCCCGATCCTGACGCAGGCCCAGAGCAGGAAGCCCCATTCCGCGCAGTTCCAGAGCACGGCGGCGACGTGCATGCCGCGTCCAGGCCCATGCCCAGGTTCAGTCCCATGCCCATGCCCATGCCCAAGATCAGGCTCGATGACGCCGCCCAGCATCTTCTTCTCCAGAGCGTCAGCCAGCCGCTCAGCGCCGCGCCGGAGGTTTCCGTACGAGCATCTGAGACATTCCGATCGCGCAGTCGAGGTGGAGGGTGCGGGTGCGGGTGCAGGCGCGTCGTCGTCTTCCGATGATACGAGTCTGGTGTCTGCAGGCTGCCAGAGCGAGACGAGGGCTTCTCGGTCGGGGTGGGCGGCGGCGGAGGCTGCGAAGAGGTCCCATAGGTCCTGGTCGAGGTCCGTGAGGGGGTCGCCGTGGATCTCTGCGAGGGCGGCGGCGGGTTTGTCTTTTTGATGGGCCATCTTTTTACTTGTCTTCTTCTGATCTTGTCTTTTTTTTTTTGAATATCCAGTGTTGATTCTGCTGCTGCTGCCGTTCGTTTCAACCGTCTCCTTGGTCTTGATCGCAACAGCTGTCAATCTTGAATAGGGGTAAAGAGGTAATCAGTCCACAGTATCGTTGGCAGGATGCCGATGGGATCAACAGGATGTTAAAGTCCAGCTCAACTGTTCCGTCTTATACAGGAATATATCAATAATATTGCTCTTGTGACCTTGCCTCGTGTTATCCAGCATATCACATCACGTCTCTTCTCCCCCCTTTTCCTCCGCGTCTTTTCCTACTCAACACAACACAACACAGCACAGCACAAGCCAAGCCCGTCATCCAGGCATCGCTCGCTCCGTTCCGTAAAACAGACTCATCCTCCTTCGAGCCCGTTACTTTGTGTGCCAAAACAACAGACACACACGCAGACACACACACACACACACACATGCACACAACACGCGAAGCTCAAGTTTCACCTCGTCCCAATGAAGCATGCAAGCCTAGAGCACAACTCGATCACCCGTGCAGCTGTTGGTTGAAACCCAATCGTTTCCCTCCCTTGTGACACCAAACGACCCAGCGTCCCTCCCCAATAACGTGGCCGGGAAAACGCCACCTCGCCCTGGCAGCGAGCCAAAAGGGAGGAAACTCCATCTTCTGACTTGTATGTTGTAACACCATCAATATTTTTGTGTGCGTGAGAGAAAGAGAGAGTTATCCGGCAGGCGGCGTACACATGGCTTTTTTTTTCCCCATCCAAGACATAGGACTCGGATCCAAAACACGGCGTGCTGCTGAATCTCTGGCGGGAAGCCGGACAAGGGGGGGAGGGATGGGGGACCAGGGGAGGGAGACGGCATTGTCTTCGCACAAGGTAGGAAATAAGCTCTCGAGAGCCATCAGGTTTCTGTTGGTCCGGAGTTACACACATCTTAGATGTTGTCTGAGACCTTTTGGAGGCCCATTTGAACGCACAAAGAGTCTGGACGGACGATGCTGACGTGCTTCGCCTCTCGCTGGCAAAGTCAATGTTCGCTTGGTATCCAATCTATTTCACTGGATTACCGTCAATGCCAGGATCTTCCATGTAAGTCGTCTCCCGGCTGGGTAGCCTTTTGGTGGAGTGTGTGAATGGACGCGACGAAATCGACACTCATGACATCAACAAGGGTTGCGCCAAGTATCGTCGTATTGGCAACTTGGTCACTTGAGCAACCTTTAGTGAACAGCCAGGAGATTCGCTCACTGCCTTCAGTCGATGAGAAGAAGGGGGACAAGGAAGCTCCTCCACATCCTTACCACAACGACGAGGCTCATAACGTGCATGCTGTCACTGTCTCCTTACATCATCGAATACTTTTTGCTCAGGGGTAGTGACAGAATAGCCACGAGACTACCTCATGCAGAGTACCAAGCATCCTGAGCCAAATCCTTGGCTCCCCTTCGATCTGCGAATACGACGTGTGCCATGTCATTGAGAAACGCCAGCCCAGCTCTGGGCCTGATCCAGCTCGTCCCAAGGCCCGTTGTCTCGAGTGGTTGCATATCCGTAATGTCCTCCAGCATCTAGTTACTCATGCCGTCGCCCATTGGCTCGAGGCGTGCTGCAGCTAACCTCGCCGGCGCGGTATTTCCCGTGCAGAAAAGGGGAAAGGGCCCTCTTCCTTGTTAGCCCCAGGTGTTCGGATGTCTGCCTTGTCCCCCTCCTCCACACGATCCTTTTGTTTCTGCGTCCGGCTGCGCCAAGGAGGCACTTGTCCGATCGGCGTGTTGAGCCGTCTGAGCAGCACGATCCTGTACGGTTGCGAGACATACAGCTGTCAGCATCGGCTCCCATCCTATCTGAGATGCTGGAGGCAGCAGGGCATGCGGGCATGTGGTGTGTGACTGCATGCTGCGGAGGAAGAGGCGGCGGTAAGGGCATGAAAAAGGATTACGGCCGTGGCCATCCTCGAGCAGCTGTCAAGAACGATGGAGAATGGCTGGTCACTCCACAAGTTATTTCGCTGTCAGGCAGAAGAGGAACAACCTCATCACAGGACTGGCCAAGAAACAGCTCATGGCAGAAAGCGTTCCTCTCTTGTGGTCCTGAAGATTCTATTATTATACGCTTCCGTCGTAATCACAAACCAACAGTCGAACCTCTTCCAGTCAATGAGAGCTTCCATCAGGCCCCGGCCGCTGCGCCCAAGAGTCGCACAGCAGAGAAGAGGAACACGAAGGAGCAGAGACTATCGATATTATTCGGTCCTATGTATGCAACGCATTGCAGCTAGATTGAAGCCTGTGAAACCCACCTTGGCCATGAGTGATGTGACGTTTATGAAAAGCTTTAGGGCGCGCACCCCCCCCCCCCCCCCCTGCTTGCCTTTCCCTCTTCCTTGGATCTGGCGTGTCTTGTCCGCATGATGCGAGGCGTGTACCGCCCAATGGTAGGGCCTTGTACGTATTCGTTTCCATGCATTATCTTGCGGGATCGTGTGTACCTGCAGGCATGTATATATGCCAGACAGTCAAATCAATCAATGAATGACCTGGACGTGTCACCAGGCGTCCCCCTGACCTGGAGGGATGTGGGAGGCTTCATTGGGCTGGGCTTTGGGAATAAGGGCCGTAATTGCTTTTCTCTCCTTGTTGTCGATATTCTGAAACTTCTCCTTCCATAGCAGATCTAGTACCATTCATTCCCTTGTCTTTGTCCGTGAACAGCGTATGAGCCATGTCTCCTTTACTTGAGAGCCAATACCTGTTACTCTACTTCTTCATCCCTCTCCTTCCCATCTCATACGTACTTCGCAGTATATGCTCTCAAGTCCATCAGTATCGCGTTTCACGCACCAAGGGGTGCAGAGATGCCCAATCCAAGGCCCCAGTCAAAGACCCCTTTATCGGACTCGACTTCATCTGGGACTGCCTCTTCGCCAAGCCCGTCGAAAAGTATCTCGATTCAACATACAGAACCTTTCAGCAGCTGGGAAACACATATGTCTGCAGACGATGGACGTGGGAGGCCGTCTACACCTGCGACAGCCGCAACATCAAGCACGTCCTCGCCTCGGGCTTCGACGACTTCAAGCTCCCTGGGCTACGGGTCAACGCCATGACGGGCATGCTCGGAAGCGGCATCTTTACGCTCAACGGACACTCGTGGTCGCACGCCCGCGGCGTCTTGCGGCCGTGCTTTGCGAAGCAGAACAAGGAGAGCATCGTCAACATGCTCGAGACGCACTTCCAGGCCTTGCTCAGGAGAATCCCTTCGGATGGAACGGCCGTCATCGACTTACAGCCGCTCTTCTTCTGGCTCACAATGGACTTTGCGACAGACTTTCTCATGGGCCACTCAACGCACGTTCTGAACCGAGCTTCGAGCCACGCCAAAGAGAAGCAGTTTGTCGACGACTACTTGACGTGCTCGACGGAGATTGTGCGCAAGATGCAGCTCGGTCCGCTCCAGATGTTTTCCGTCAACTTTGCCGCCATGAGAGCACGCAGTCGTGTCTTTCAGTACATTGACGACTTCATCAGCGCCTCTTTGGACACAGTGAGGGAAGACGACGAGTCTTTGAACGCGGGCTGCAATGTGCTTCAGGGGCTTGCCGCCGTGACGACAGACCGGAAGCAGCTCCGGGACCAGATCCTCCACATCCTCGTGGCGAGCCGCGATACGACGGCTTGTTTACTGAGTAACTTGTTCTTCGTGCTGGCGAGGAAGCCGCACATTTACGAAAAGTTGAGGCGAGAGGTGGTTTCCATTGCGGGTGTTGAGCCCGCGACAAGCACGCAGCTGAACAATATGGAGTATCTCAAGTGGTGCGTTCAAGAGTGTAAGTTCATCAGCCTCCCGCAAACTTCATCGTTGCTCGAAACTAACCGCTCAATGAAGCGCTACGGCTCCATCCCGTCATCCCGACAAATGCTCGCGAGGCCTCCAGAGACACGGCGCTCCCTTACGGCGGCGGTGAAGACGGCAACTCGCCTCTCTTCGTCAAGAAGGGCAACCTCGTCATGTACAACATCTACGCCATGCATCGCGACGCACACGTCTTTGGGCCCGATCCCGAAGAGTTTGTGCCTGAGAGGTGGAATGGCCTGAGGCCGGGTTGGGGATATTTGCCCTTTAACGGCGGACCGAGAATCTGCATTGGTCGTAAGCAACCCACTCTGTGTTTCTTTGGGGGCTGTTTTGTGTGGGTGTGTGTGCTAACTGTTTTGAATGTAGAAAAGTTTGCTCTTCTGGAGACGCATTATCTGGTGTCGAGGATGGTGCAGACGTTTGAGACGATGAGTGCGAGTGGCGATGCTGAGTGGGTTGAGCTTTATGCTCTGGCGACAACGTGCAAAGATGGAGTGAATGTCAGTCTTAAAAGGTCTTGAGAGGTGTTGAGGGTGTTGCTACTTCTACTTCTTCTTCTTCTTCTTCTTCCTCTTCATCTTCATCTTCTTCTTCTGCATCTAGGGATCCATGGCGTTTCATTACAGATATTATAATACCTACTGAGCACAAGAATACTTCAATCACATTCCCACTATACACTCTAAACACGCGTGTATATAAGTCTGGCCCCTTTTATCAACCGTCTTGGTAGGGTATCAACATAAAATTTCGAATATTCAAACCAATAAACGCCATGGGTATAGCCAAATTATCATACCACCCCAACACCAAGCATCAGAATCTCATCATCCTGAACATCCCAGCGGCATCAACCCGGAGACTTGAAAAGAGCCTATTCCGCAGCCGAACCTCGACATCGAACTTGACCTCGCCATCGGCCACCGCAGCAGGATCCATCGCCTCCCACAGAACCAGCGTCTGCTCTTTGCCTCCGCCGCGTCCGCCGTCCAGGAGGATATACTTGGGCCGCCGAGTCGCTTCTTTATAGGCCGTCCACTTCATCCGGATAGACCATTGATTGCCTTCCGAATGCAGCTTCTCAAAGTGTGCGGCCTCGAAGCCGTCGGACCACAGCGCTCCCTGCGGCTGCCCGCCGAGTTGGGCGCAGAAGATGCGTCTGGCATCCCACGCCAGGGTGCTCCAGCACAGCTTGGCGAAGACGCACTGCTTCTCCATCAGCAGCAGTGCCGCGTCCAGCTGCGCCATCATCTCGTCGTGGCGTCTCGCGAGCTTCCAGGCGATGCCTTCCCACCTGTCCGCCATGGCGACGCCATTCCTCTTCTTGGGCCTGAGCTTTGCCCTGGACTCCTGCATCTGGAGCGCGAGGATGTCGACGGCTGCCTCCTCAGCCTCGTCCACCAGCTTCGTCATCAGGGTGTGGAGCTCCCTGTATCCGACGACGGTGTCCATGAGGGCGCGCTCGTTGCCCTCCCGAGTCGCCTCCACCACCTCGCTGCGGAGTTGCTCGAGACCCATGAGCCCGCAGTCGAAGCGCTCCTCAAGGGTCTCGCAGTCGTCAAAGTCCCAGGCCTGGGACTGGTCACTGAAGACCTCAATCTTGTTGAGGGACAGGAAACTTTGGATCCTGTCCCTGGTTGTGCCGTCCGTCCTCGTGACGGGGACGCTCATGGTGGTGGCGGAAGCGTTTGTGTCGGTCTCCAGCTTGAAGGCGTCCATTGTTGGGTAGATATATATGTATATGTGTATATATATCAGGCGGTAAAGATGCTTAACAACGGCGGAAGTATTGATGAGGGTGAGGGATGAGTGTGAAGTGAGGAACTGAGGGATGAAAAGGGGAGAAGGGGGCTTTATATAGCCGTGAAAGGAGTGCCTCTGGACAGATCGTTCTGAGTTGCGGCACTCAACAGATCTCTCAGAATTAAGGTTTACGGCTTCACTCGAGAGATAACAATTTTCCGGCTGGTTAAGGTTCGAATAAGGTTGGATGGCTTCATGAGCCTACATGAAGGTTATCTGGGGGCTTGACGGCGACTACTGTGAGGACACACAGGGACGTACGGTCAATAGTTCAGTTGGGGGTAGATATTTCGAGAGTGTGGAAGCGAGGGGAAGTGGGCGTGAAGTTGGTTGTTCCTTGGCCGAAACGAAGGATGAGGTGTGCGCTCTTAGGGCAAGTGCAATAGTAAAGCATACTCGGTCTTCTGACACCCATTAAATGGGGAGATAGCTTGCCTCTGTAGTAAAGCCTATTGAAATCCTTTTCTAGCTACATTAGAGACTCTGACGAATATCCTTGGGATTGAAGGTCCGTGGCCTAAAACAAGAAAGGGGTAGGTAGGATGTCAACGTTCAAGCCATGCTTTAGCTAGCAAACAAGTCTCCTGTCCGCGCAAGAGCGAATATGGCTCTCCTCGGAAGTTGTAACCTGTGGCTTTCTGAAGTGATAAAAGTGCCATGACTCAACAAGTCCGAGGAGTAGTCCGTTTATTTTGGCATTGTCAGCTGCTTCGTTCTCGACTACACTTGCGGACGAGGCTCGAAGCTTGTTGAGAAGAAACCAGCGCTGGATTTAGAGCCTGGCCTCTGATTGGCCTTGGGAATACCTGTGTGAGTGAAAAGGGATGTTACTCTACACATACAGTATTTTGACATAACTGGCATATAGGGCGCGTTGGTGGGAAAGGATACATTTCTGCTTAGGAAAAGGGGCGTCTAGACTAAGCCGCCTTGTTCATTATTTGTGAGATTTTATTACAAGGCTTGCAAAATTAATTGAAATACAACGCATAATTCACCCTAGGCATTGATTTCCGTGAATGCATATACTTCTTTTCACTGACAAGGACGACAGCTGGTTGATGTCGATACGTCTTCCGATATGGTTAGCATAAGACTGAACCGTTTGGTCGGGCTTAGAATCAACCAGCTGGCGGCAGGTTAAGATATCAACCGGGTTATCTTCAAAAGCAGAGCATGATCTAATTAATTCCACTAATGTGCTGTATGTCATACAGTACGCAGCCATTCCTGCAAGTTGACCCATTTCTATTGTCTGCAACCGACCATTCTGCTGGAGCCTCAATGGGGCGACGATGTGCATCATGATATCTACCTATGTGTCTGAGGATCAAATACTGGGCTACTTCACGGCATGTAGTTGATGAGATACCCTGCTAAATTCAAAGATGAAGGTCATGATTTGAGTCCGCCACTCTCTCATCTTCATGCTGCTCGTAAGCCTTCTTTGCTGATAGATATCAGTCCTGGAATAGGCCAACAACAGAAACTGATACGCACGCCTTCGATAGGATTCACCTTACCCAGACGGCAGTGGATCAATATAGCTACTAGATGTCAATGACGCTCGACCTCGGCAAGCAAAGACGGCCATTCTGCAATTGGCTAGTCGTGATTGAGTCACGCCGCGACTTTGTTCCTTCAGACGGATCATGGCCAAAATACAGACCGGCAATAAGTGCGCTTCGTATTCTGTACAGATGATGAGCCTCTTGTCTGTTCAGAGAGGCCAGTCAGCTATCCATCTGGACAAGACACCGACCTGTTCCCAGTGTCATCTACCGTATCTGCCTGTCAACGCTTATTCCATGTAAGACATCGTATGACTGAAGCGGCTTGTGTGTCTCACGTATACTCGTACATCATCAGTACAGAAAATCCTCACACAACCCAGGCAGAACCGATCCAGAGATCGTCTAACCGAAAAGAGCATTGCTTGCACTTGAGTGAGACGTGAAGTTGTTCATTGATTCACAGTCAGTGACGCAGCAACAGTGGTGGGGTGAAGAGAGAGAGAGGCGCTTATTTGGGCTGACCCAAAAAAAAAAAAAAAAAAAAAAGTTCGAGCCATCGGAAGCCGCCGAGAGAGAGAAGGTACGAAGAAGGATTGTGTGTGTGATGAACTTATTTTGCGCTTCCTCCTCTTTTTCCCTTTTCTCTTCCTTTCCTTTCCTTTCCTCTTCCTCTTGGGCATTTTGCGCATCCTGTCGAGCTCCCGTGGTCGCTGGCCTCGTCAACAGCATCTCTTCTCTTTCTCGTACTACTGTATTCTTTCAGAGTTACAAGCCATCTTCTTACAGCCTTCCTTCGTGATACCCCTCGTTAAGCCAGAAAAATTTACATCTAAATCCGTCACAATGGTTGAGAAGCTCTACGTTACCTACAACGACGTACGCCACACCTTCTACTCACGGCAGCATCTCCATCTACAGAGACAACTAACACCAGCCAAATCCAGGTCCACAAGCTGTGCCAGCAGGCCGCGACCAAGATCCTCGATGAGTTCAAGCCGCAGCTCATAATCGCCATCGGCGGCGGCGGCTACGTGCCCGCGCGAATCCTCCGCTCGTTCCTCAAGCGCCCCGGCTCGCCCAACATCCCCATCCAGGCCATCGGCCTCTCGCTCTACGAGTCCCTGGGCGGCGACCCCCAGGTCGAGGAGATTGGCACAAAGGTCACCCGCACCCAGTGGCTCGACCTCAGCGCCCTGGGCGAGATGCAGAACCTGGTCGGCAAGCGCGTGCTGATTGTCGACGAGGTCGACGACACCCGGACCACGCTCGAGTACGCCGTCAAGGAGCTTGAGAAGGACGTCGAGATTGCGCGCCAGAAGCTGGGTGCCGATGCCCCCAAGGCCGAGTTCAGCATCTTTGTTCTCCACGTACGTGCTTTTCGTCTGTCCCCCTCTTAGGAGAGCGACAATTCGCTAACTTTGTCTCTAGAACAAGGACAAGCCCAAGAAGGGCCAGCTGCCCGAGGACATGCTCAAGAACCGCTACCTGGCTGCCGTCACCTGCGGCGATGAATGGATCAACTACCCCTGGGAGGCCATCGACATTGACGAGCACGACCGCCTTGCCGCCGAGAAGAAGTTGTAATGCTCTGCGCCTTGCCATTTAAGCCTGCAAATCCGTAAAAGTTGGAACTAGAAAAAAAAAAAAAAAACGACGAAATGAGAACATAAGAAATGAACTCCAAGAGGCCAGGGATATGGTCGCCCTTGGTTCTAAATCCGCCTTCTGCCGTCTATTGTAATGCTACATGATGAAATCTATGTCTGATGTCACGTCCAAGAGGCTCTTATGACTCTAGCAGTATGCTAACGCTCCCGAAAACTCCACGATGACTCTGCATGCCGTTTCTTCACACGTCTCAACCGCCCAGTGTCCCTTCTCTCTGGTGCCGTTCCTTCAAGCGCTTCTCCTGCTTCATAAACTCGCGGATCCCAACAGGGACATTCTTGAAAGCCTCTTCGTCCCACAAATCCTTGGAGATGTTTGCCGTCCAGGCCGTCTCCGACCCGCCGCCATCGGCATCCATGGTGCGGCTCCCAGCCCTCAGCCTCGCCTTCGCCTCAGCCTTGGCCGCCGTCCACTCTTCCATGTCGTCCCTGTAGCGATCCCACACGCAGTTGACGCACCCGCTCATGCAGCAGTTGTCGGGCTCCTCCGGGCGAGGAGGTATCAGGACGCCGGCGACGTACGTGGACTTGGCCTTCTTGAGGGCGAGGCGGTCGGCCTCTTCGGCGGGGCCGAGCAAGCGGGAGCCGAATATCACGCGCGCTCTTGATTCAGGCGATGTCGTGGGTGGTTTTTGCGTGGAAAATGTCTTGGCGGCACTTTTGTCTTCTTGGGGTCGCTTTTTGTCGGCTGGGCTGGAGCTGGGTGGTGTCTTCTTTGGCGATTTGGGAGGCGTATAGGCGGTAGGGTTGTCGTGAATTGTTTCGTAGTAGGATCCGAGGGGTGTTCGTTGCGGCCATTGCTCCTCTTGCGATGTTGTTGCTTTGGTGGATCTGGTGAGGCTGGCAAAACATCGTCGACAGCAGGTTGCCGGCGGTAAAGCTGTGCTGCGCCGCACGAGGCCCAGTCGTGATACAGCGTTTCTTGACAGCGACATTGTGACTACCTTATGCTTTAGCTCATGATGCGACGGAATGCGATGCGGTGCGATGCGAATGCGCAGGAATGGTTTGTGATATAGGTAGGTAGGTAAGGTACAGAGAAGCGCGGAAAGAGATCGGATGAACGAGGAACTGGCCGGGAATTCGCACTTCGGCTTCGCCAGAGCTTTTGTGGGGTGGCAAGTCGGACGTCATCGGCGAAACCGGCATTTCAGGCGGGAGCTCAGCAGCACGTGATGGTTCCTTGATTTCACTCTCAATCTCAGCTCTCAGATCTGTCTCTTTGGGGGAGAATGGATGGATGGATGGATGTATAGGTGCATGTATAACTGTCCAATAGGAAAAATTAATATGATTAAAGGTATTCATTTACCGCCGTTGAAGCGGTTATTGGGAGCCCTCCATGTTGTTCCCGCGGGACCTTCACTTGTCCAAGACATTGCGCCGCAGCCAAGCGCTACCGCCTACCGCTTTTGTCCAAGCCCGCCTTGTTTAGCTGCAGCTTGCTGTGACGCGCTCCGTCCGGCCCAAAAACACCAAAACCACCATCCCGCATTGCCAAGCTGTCCGTCCAAGCAGCCGCCGTATTGCTACAACTCTCCTGTCATTTTCCCTACATTCTTCTTATCGTCGGATTATAGTTCGCTACCTGTATGAATGGTGTCCCCTTACCGGTCCCTCTGACTCTTCCGCAATGGACGGGCCCGCGTCAAAGAGACGCCGGGTCTCGCCTCGCACCTCCTCCGTCAACATTGGCAGCTCCAGCAGCGACGACGCGATATTGTCATCGCAGCACTCTCCCATCCCTGCAGCGAGTCGCCCGCCCAAATCCACGCAGACGAAGGCCGGCAAAGCGCGCCAGCAGTCGCAGACTCTAGACGAAGAACAGCCTGCGCCGCCAGCGACCGACGAATCAGGACGGAAACCTGTCGAGGAAGCTACCAACGCGCCCACAGCAGCAGCGAATGCGTCAGCGCAAGAGGAGGATGAAGCTGCGCAGAGCCCTAGGTCACTACCATCGGGACAAGCTGAGGGGAGCTCGGTTGGATTGCCCATCAGATCGCCTTTCAAGCCGAGGCCACGGCCGCTACCTCCGCCCGCGCCCGAAGGAGACGACGAGGCAGATTCATTCCTGGGGAGAAGACAACGGAGATCGCCAAACAGCGGTCGGCCCATTTCCTTCCCAGAACCTGAGCTGCCGCCTCCTTCTGCCCCCGACTCCGCCTCCTTCAAGCCCCCGAAAGGCATACACAGCAGTCCGTCGCGATGGAGAGACAAACCGAGGCCGAAAAAGAGCTCACCTCTGAAACCGTCTGCAAGCCAACCGCTTGGAAAACCCCGCAGCAAACCTGGATTGCCGATGCACAGCTTTGAGCTTCCGCCAAGGGACATCGATAGTACCTCAGGAGAGCGTCTTCTGCACGACAAGGCCCACCCAGCTCGTCAAGTTAGCGCATTTGATCCGAATGGAGCCAAGAAGAAGGAATTAGAAGCTCTTGACGAAGAGATTGCACAGTTGAAGCGAGATCTGCAGATAGTAAGCAAGGAGAACGATCGGATACGGCTGATGCAGTCTTCCGGCCGCATCCTGAGCTTCGCAGACGAGGAAGAGGTATTCGACGTGGTGCGGCGACACCTCATTGACTCCGAGGCAAAACCCCTACCTCCACCGTCGCAACAATTGTTGAAAGCGGCATTGAATCCGTCAGCGTTGTTGCCGTTTGGAAGGACAACGCCGGTTGTCGCCACAACAGAAGACGAGGTCAACATTGCGGACGTCAGGTCTCACCATCCAGTGAAGATGACGGCGGAGGAGGAATTGCCATATCTACAACTCTTTAGCCCATTCGAGGTTTCTTCGACCATGGCTGTTTTGCATGCGGAAGGTGACCAGCCTCTGCGGCAGCGACGTGTCATGACTTTCCGGTCGAAAGACGCTCCTGGACTCTTCACTTCCAAGGTTGAGATGGTGGTAAATGCCACCAACTCGAGTATCATGGAACTCAAAATACAATCCCTGGAGCCCGCAGCCAGGGCTGAGCTGGGACCTTTTGTCACCAGGATATGCGAGGGCGACTGCAACAGGAGCATGCAGCGCAACGTAGGGATACTGTCATGGGCCATGGGGGAATGGTACCAGGCGGCAGTCCACAGAGCACAGTTGTGGTCCAAGCTGGACCGGGAGCTGGCCTCCAAGAGCGACTTCTTGCAGGCCGTTGCCGAGGCGCGGAGGAAAAAGCCGCTACGAAGGACGGCTGAGGAGATGGAAGAGGAAACGGGGAAGCAGCCGGCACCCGCCTTGTCCTTTAAGAAGGCTGAGCTGGTTCATTTCATGGGTCAGCAAGCGTTTGAGTTCAACATCCCATCGAAGACGCGGTCGGAGGCGACGTCGTCTGTTCGGCTGGAGTGGAAGATTGACTTCGATTGGATTGGGGAGGCACAAAATAAGGTGACTGTCATGGTTGGTGTTCCGGGAAAGTGTAAGAACCGCTCTCACAGCCCCCTATTCGCTCGAAAGAAGATGCTAATGAACGATGTATATAGGGCGCAAGGCTGATCAGCGCGGCGTGCTGGGGAAGCTCCCCAAGCTGTTCGAGGATCTTGTAGAGGGAGGGCAGGACCCGTCTCTCGCTGTCAAGACGATTGTAGCATTGGTTGTAGGAGAACAGTGAAGGGACTGTGACGACTTGTGACGAGACATCAAGGGGTGGTCAAAGAGGGTGCTTTCAGCCAAGCATGCATCACTCCAGTTCGAAATGGGCACCCGTCTTGAGCCCATGATACCATCATCAAATGGTAGAGAAACAAGCGCAGGATGGGAACAAATGACGAAAGAAAAGTCTACGTGTATTGATCCCACAGTGATATTGCACACCCGTATTTTTTACATTATCTATGGTCTCTACCCCTCTCCCAATTGGCGCCACATAAGATATTGCATCACCACGAAGCATCTAGTCCACATCAACGCCCAGCTTCCTCAAATCAACCTTTGCCATTTCAATCTCCTCCATCAGCTCCTTGTGCGCATCGGGAACGTCATTGAACGTGAAGACGCCCCAGCCGAGGCGGAAGAGCAGGAACGCGCCGAAGGAGACGAGGGCCCAGAAGGGAAGCTGTTGGGGGGGCGGTCAGTTCAGTCTTTTTTCGTATCGCTTTTTTTTCTTCCCCTCCCCGAGGGAGCGGCGCCCAGGTGTTGTTTGCGATTTCGGAAAAGGGAAAGGTTTAGAGACGTACGACTGGGACGATTTCTTGTTGGACGAGGGGAGGGAGGGGGATGAGCTCGAGGAAGAGCGCAAAGTAGAGCTATAATGCGTGTGATTGAGCGACGAATTAGCGAAAACGGTTCTATCTTGTTTTATGCGAATTGGGCCAGATAGCCATGGCATGCCCTGACATGACAGTATATGACGGGGGAGGGAGGAGATGGAGTTTTCGTACGGAAGAGACCAAAAGGCCAATGGAAATGGTCTGTTGCGCGCGCGTCATCCTGACGAAGTTGTTTGCTCGCGAGGTTCGTAATGGGAGGGAGCGAGGACGTATGCGAAATGGCACTTCTTTGAAGAAAGTGAAAAGGAGCGTGAGTTTGCGTATCGCAAAGAGAAAGAAAAAAAGAGGGCGGAAAGGCGTGAAGTTGAAGGTTTTGGGAGGTTTTCCGCGATCTCTCTGTAACCAGCCAGGTGGCGCCTCAAGCAGCAGCTTTGTAGCCCAGGCTTAATTAGGGGAGAGGCGGCTGCGGCAACGCGTTTGGTGGATTGGGAAGAGGAGTGTGACTAAGCAGAGGGATGGGAGGGGGGATTGGTTGATGGGAAGCTGCGATGGACATGGGCTTTTGCTCCACTTTTTGTTTGTGTGAGGGTCTTGCTTGAGGTTGAGCTTGAACTTGGACTTGGACTTGAGCTTCCTTTTTCTGTCATGGCATTGGATGGCGGACGTTGTTCCTCTATCATTCCATCTCGGACCTGGCCTGGAGCATTGTCTCTATGGATTGATAAGAGACTCTGTGGATTGACACCTGCATTCATGGAACGATGCCGCTCTTGAGGACAAGGCTCACGCACTAATCGAACGGCGCAGCCAGATGTCCGTCCGCCCTTTACTTGAACGACTGAATCGCAGAAGATGCCTCCGTCAAAACAATCATCTCGCGACTCAGCATCATCAAGCCCAACCAAGGATGAACAAAATTCAACAAACATCAAGAAGGCTCACGCATACCATATATGCAAGTCACATCAACCAACAACAACACCTCGCCTGTGCTACTACAGTACACCGTATACAGCACCACGAAGCTCCGCGCAGCTGAACCCTGGTCTTCAGCTTTCCTCTCGCAGGCGTGGCGTCCAGTCACGGCTCTCTTCGGCCATGGCCAGCATCCGTCGCAGGCCCCATCCGAGACGAGATTGGCGCCCGGCAGCGGGTTGTGCCTGCAAAGCTGGCCGCTGGCAGACGGGCAATGGGCCTGTCGAGCCGTCCTAATCGCCGGTCCCGTCCATTTAGAGCCCGGGCGCTAATGCAGGCCTTTGCGATGTGCCGGCCCGTTGGTGATGCTTTGCTCTATGTATTCTGCTAGCTGCTGCTGCAGCTGCTGCTGCTCCTTCTCCTCCTCTGTACTCCGTACTTTGTACAAGTACGCATGCTTGTGCGAGAGAAGCTGCTGTGCGGTGCCAACTTGCGCAGCCAAGGGCCTCTGCATCGATGAGGCAAGGAGCTGCTCCCTTGTGAGACAGCTTGATTCCCGATACGGCGTACAGACCAAATGACGGCAGACAACGGCGGGGAATGTCTCACTCTTCAGCTCACAATTCGCCGGACAAATTGACCTGCGGCAGAGCCAATGACAATTCGAGCTGTGATGATTGCTCTAGAGGTCAACTTGCAGAGCTAGCGGTTGCTGCATGGGTGAGCTGGCACCGCGAGGAAGCAGTGAGTACCAGGTATTTGCTATTGTGATTGCGGTAGAGTGAGGCCGAGCAGTGAATGTCTCACAACAGAACCAGGTGTCTGGACCACCCAAGGCTACGCTTCGTCGACGGGGGACGTCCGAATCGTTACATTGGTCCATGTTTGTGCATATATTACGTCTGTTGACTTACCAGTGTTAGCATGTGGTAGTCATCGCCCCGGCTTTTCTCTTCTCTTCTTCTTCCTCGCTCCCCCATCTTCTTCTCCTCCTCCTCTTCATCTCACTCCTTTCACGCCCACTGCCTCTCTCATACTCGTTTCCTGCGTCCAAAGACTACGGCATCATGACGACCCCAATCCCAAAACCTCCTGGCGTGCCGCTGCTGGGCAATATCTTTGACGTGAAGCCCGGCAATACATGGGATTCATTACGGAAGCTCGCAGACAAGTATGGCGAGATCTTTCAGATCAAAGTCCTTGGCCAAACCATTGTCTTCGTTGCCAGCGCAGCCCTGGCCGAGGAGCTCTGCGACGAGAAGCGCTTCCGCAAGTATATTGGCGGGCCCATTGTCGAGATCCGCGCCGCAGTCCACGACTCGCTGTTCACTGCATATGACGACGAGCCAAGCTGGGGCATTGCTCACCGAGTCATCTACCCCAAGCTAAGCCCCGATGCCACGAAAGGTCACTTTGAGGAAATGCGAGATCTGGCCACGGAGCTGTTCAATACATGGAGAGGCCTGGGTGACAAGAATACCATCTCTCCGGTGGAGCAGTTCAACAGGCTGAACCTCGAGTCCACCACCTATGTCTTGTTTGGCAAGCGACTCAACACATTAATCGGCCCTCCCCATCCGGAGCTTCAGGCAATGGAAGATTCGACCTCGGAGGCGATGAAGCGCCCGACCCGCCCAGGCGTGCTTAATTGGTTGCTGTATGGCCGCAAGTTCGACTCGTCAATCAAAGTCATGCGAGACTATGCCGCAGACCTGGTCAAGTACCGCCGGGAGAACCCAACAGACAGGCAGGATGTGCTGGCCGCCATGATGAACACGTCCGACCCGGAGACAGGCAAGAAGTTGACTGACTCACAAGTCATTGACGAGATTATCACGATGCCCATTGGCAGCAGCACGGCACCCTGCCTGGTGTCGTGGGCAATGTACTTCCTGCAGAAGAATCCGGAGACGATTGTCAGGGCCCGCGAAGAACTGGACCGGGTCATCGGCGATGGTGAATTCGAGCTGGAGCATCTTGAGCGACTAGAGTACGTCCAAGGAATCATGCGCGAGTCGCTCCGTCTGTCCTCGGCGGCACCAGGCTTCAACATTGAGCCACGGCCAAAGGAGGGCGACAAGAGCCCTGTGCTGCTGGGCGGAGGCAAGTACCAGGTCGCTCACAACCAGGCCATGATTATCATCCTACACGGCGTGAACCGGGATCCAGCCGTCTTTGACGATCCGCTGGCGTTCAAGCCCGAACGCATGATCGGCGAGGCCTTTGAGAACCTGCCCGCCGCGGCCAAGAAATGGTTCGGCAACGGCAAGAGGGTGTGCATCGGCAGATACTACGCTCTGCAGTGGAGCTTGGTCGTGCTGGCCAAGTTGATTCGGGAGTTTGATTTTGAGCTGGCGGATCCGGAGTATAAGCCGGAGCTGGATGGATGGTTCAACGTTCGGCCCATTGGCTTTTACGTCAAGGTGAAGCCAAGGGCGACTTAGGTCGAGAGCGAGGCTTCTGCGGACTGACTTGTTTATTCATGGCGAGATCATGGTATGTAATGAGGGTAATAGTTTGAATTGGGCCAACGATGGAATACCACTTTGCTTTGACTGATACCCCCCAGAGTCCATGACTACCGACCTTCTGCATCCATCTCCTCCGTCTTCTTCAGGGCGACATACTTTTAGCTGCTCGCATGGGGATCTCCCTGAACGGGTCCTTCTCTTTCCTCAACGCCGTAATCAGCAGCTGCAGCCTCCCGTCCACTCTCTCATCCAGCTTGGCGCACGCCTCCTCCGGCGTCATCCTCCCCCCCTCGCACATGCCCTCCACATAGTCCACAATCTTCTTCCGCACGCCGACGTAATTGCTGGCATACTTGATGTCGCTCACGCTCCCCGTGCGCCAATGCGTGCCGTACTCCTTCTCCAGGCTCTCGATGCAGCGGAACTCCTTGCCGCCGACGACGCAGTTGACCTTGTACTCGTTCCAGACGGAGCGGACGGTGCGGCCCATGCGGCGGAAGGTGTATTTGCCGACGTAGTAGGGGCCCGAGTTGGTGCGCTTGAGGGTGGTGCGGCGGGGTGTTGAGTAGCGAGGTTTGGAGGGGGTTGATTGTGACTGTGACTGTGATGGTGATGGGGTTTCTGGTGTTGGTGCTGTTGATTCTGGCGGTTTCGGTGTTGGCGATGACGATGGCTGTGAAGACGACGATGCCGCTGCTGTGATGGAGTCTGGTCCATTCGGTGTTGACGATGCTGGTGACGACGATGGAGAAGCTATTGTTCTTGATGCTGCTGCAGAAGGCAATCCCCTTGTCGATGTATTCCCCCGCGAAGCAGGAGAAGACGTGCTATCCTCCGGAGCCCAAGACGCGCTCGAAGCCGCGCTCGGAGACGAAGACCCAGACGAGCCCGGCCTGTACCCGGCATCTCCATCTCCATCGTCTCCATCTTCGCTCGAACAATGCACCTCGACATGTGTCTGCCGCCGAGGACAACACTTTCCTTTCGGCGGCGACGTAGCAATGCCGTGTTGCCGCCGAAGCAGGGCTCTGAGTCGCGGTGCGCCGTCGAGGATCTTGAGGGCATCGTCTTGTTGGGGGCTTCGTTCTTCTTCATGGGGGGACGACAGTGCCCTTGGGACTGGCTTGAGCGGTGATCTATCTGCTGCTCCTTGTCGTCGTAGGGGGGTGTGTGTTGCTTTTGTGCCGGGTCTTCGTCTGACGGCTTTCAGGCCGGTGCTTCGTATGGGTTGTCTTTCGCCGATGGGCGTTGGGGGGAGATCCATGTTGAGATGGCTCGGGGTTGTCGTCGCTGTCGTCACGTTCTCGCCGCTGCTGTCATCCCCACTGCCTTCACCTCCGCCTTCGCACGTACCATGGTCTTCAAGAGGGAAACCATCCACCCCATCACGCCCCTCACAATCACCAGCATCCATCATCCCATCATCAATCTCTCCCTCAGCCACTCCCCCCTCGTCTTCTTCATCCTCATCATCCCACAACCTCCCCACCAGCCCATCCACCCTCTCCCCCAGCCTCCGCAACGCACCCCCATGCCCATCCACCCTCTCCCCCATCCTCCCCAACGCATCCCCATGCCCATCCACCCTCCGCGCCAGCCCTTCCAACCTCCCCATCACAATCTTCATCTCCGCCCTGCGCCGCCTCCGATCTTGATCAAGCTCCTCCCGCAGCTCGTTCAGGCTCGAGGCATAGTGCTCCTGCATGTTGACCACCATCGTCATCAACTCCTCCTCCGGTATCACGCAGTCAGGCCACTTCTTCTTCTTCCCCACACCAGCTTGCTTCCCCGTTTCTTCTCCTCTTCCAGGCGTCTTCTTCTTCTTCTTGATCCCGCCGCCGGGACTGCTGCTCTTCCTCTTAAGTGCAGACGGGATAGGAATCGCACTTTTGGCCGGGCCGGGGCGCAGACGGGGGAGTTCGGGGCAGGTCGCTGCCGCGCCGCCGGGTGGATCCGCCGCTGCGCCTCCGGGGACTCTTTTCGGGACCGGATGCGGAGAGCCGGTGTGGAAGGCGGAAGGGTCCCGTCGGTTTCTGCGAGTTGTGCTTGAAGCAGTGGGAGCTGCTGGGGAGCCTTGGGGACATGTTTCGGTGCGCTGATGCGTTGTCTGCTTCTGTGGTTGGTCCATGGCTTCAGTGTCCCATCTCTCCGTATGCTGTCCACGCAGAATATCAGGTATGTAATAGAAGGGTTCTTTGATTGCGCCTTGAAGACTATGTAGAGATATACTGAGTTTGCTGTCAACACAGGGAATGACCACTATTTATCACTCGTTGCACGATGCCTACTGAATGTTGAATGTGAAAATGTGCTTTGATTGCTTCCTATCTAAAGCCGGAATTGAGGAACAAAGAGCCTGGCTCTGCTCGTCATCACGGGCCTCGGACGGGCCCTCGCCGCCCCAGTTGTTTGGTTGCATTCCAGTGGCAACGGCCATGCTCTTTATTCTAATCCACCAGCTCTATGGTATAATGGTCATTCATCTCGTCCACATCGTTGGGTTCCGCACCGTTCAGCCTGGTCAAGTGCAACCAGTCCCTCCGCTCAAAAGAGTATGCCAAAACGTGAAAGAAAAAGGGGGAAGCAAGGTTTCAAAGAACAGCTTTGAATCGATCTTCGCACTCCCCATGTCTATGCAAGTTAAAAACAAAGTATAATGTGAAAAAGGCAAGAAAATGCAATCGCTCTCCTGGTATATGCGCATGCTTGGTATCTCATCTCGTGCAGACCCACACGAGAACCTGAAAGACGGTGAAGAAAAAAAAAGAAAAGTAAAAGCAATCGGGTATATAGCGCCGAGTAAATGTGATGCGCCGAAATGCAAAATGAAAAGGTGATCCATAGATGGGGTATCAGAGGACGGGAAGTGATTAAACGGCAATGCTTTTGCGATGGATGCGGATGGAGAACCGGCTCTTGCGCGACGAAGAGGTGTTGCAGGCAGACACACACTTCTCCTCTGGCTCGTCCTCCAGGTCTAGCCTGTAGCGACGAACGCTGCCGGTGTCATCGTCAAAGGCGACGTGCCTGTTCTTGCCGGCAAAGCAATCCGGCAGCAGGTTCTTTCGAATCCAGCCCTTGACACCCTTGCCTGCAGCGTCAATGGCGGCATACTCCAGTCGACGAGTTCGATCACTGGTCCAGTAATGGGTTGTCTGGGGCGGCAAGAAGGTATTCTGGGCCTCCTGGCTTGTCTCCGTGACTTCGGCAAGTTCAGGGGCCTGAAACTGGTAGTAGGCCGTTGGGAGAGCGGTATCGATAGTTCGAGGTTGGTAGGAGACGGATGTTTGAGTGGTTGCGGGCCGGCGAATTTGAGGGCGAATACGGGATCGCAGAGACTGGGCTGATGCGGTGCCATACTTGGACATGCCCGATACACGCCGTGAAGGCTTAGGCCGAATGTAAGTGGCCGACGTGCGTGGCGAGGAAGCATGCGACTCGTAACCAGAATCCTTTCGCTGAACCCTGACAATGGTGGGAGACTGCTCTCTCGGAGACCTGGAAGAGCGAACGGGCTGGCGCCCCCGCGAGGCTGGAGGAGGCGAAGACAGAGGGTCTATCCAGCTCTGGTGGGAGATAACGGATGTGCGCCGTGAGGAAGCCATGTTGGTAGAGAGATTCGACAAGGTTTGCGTCCGGCGCCGTGTAAGTGATAAGTATGTTGGGCGGCTACCATACAAGCGACCAAGAGGAGTTGGTTATGACGAGGGCGTCACGGCCAGCTTAAAGAAGACGCCAAGCTATCAAAAGAAGCGTAATCTGAAGGTTGAATGTCGGCGGGAGCCAGATAGGAAGATGAAAGTATTTATCTGCAGGGCAGGAGAAAGAACCCCACGAAGTCATGAACTCGTAAATACGCCTGTGAGATTACGAGCGGCTCGAAATAAAGGATATCAAAAGACAAAAACAATGTGTGGTCTGGGTTACCGGCCGCAAGGAACCGCACAGGAGGACCGTCACGCAAGAGTTATAAAACACAGCTCTCGCGGAGGCGCCCGTTGACTCTCGAATCGATGAGGGCGACAAGCGGGATTGCGACTGGCGACGGCAGGAGCTTCGATTGGTCCGGTCTATGGCGTCCGATGCAGGGCCCACGGTAGGCGGGGACAAAGAAGAAAAAAATAAAAAGCCAAGGGGTATTGAGTAGGGATCCGCTGCTGGTGAGCCGATCCTTGCCCGAGTATATGCAGGGCCGGGGGTGGTTGAAGCCGGCTGTGGAGTTTAGAAAGGACGGGGTCGAATCACCAGTCAGCGGTGAGCAGCAGCTTGCTCAACCACGGCAGCAGGGGTCGGTTGGCGAAGACGAGATTCCGACTGATTTGATGGGCGACTATCTTTTGCCATGTAGTACTGCCAGTGGGCGGCAACGTGTTTTCCCTTTGTGTGTTCGTTCTCTTGCTCTCTCCTCTCCTTGGCGGAAACAGCAAGCGATGGACTGCAGACGTACGCCTGCCGTGGCTGAGGCCAAACAAACGGCTGATGAGAAGAGAGCAAAAGTCCTCGCGAGTCAACGCAAAGGCGTCGAGAGGGCGTCGATCTGCTTGTTGCGAAAGCAACCAGTCTCGTAATAAGTATTAGACGGCTGTGGTCAAGGGCAGGCTCTGTGCAGAGACGGCGTCGCGTGGCTAATCGATTGGACCCAAAATCCAGTGTCCAGGACGGTTTGGCGGTTGGCAAGGGCCCATCGCCAGGCAGCGGAAGCTGAGCTCCAGTCCGTTAAAATAGGTGCCAAGTGGAGAGCTGCTCAGGCCTCCTCTCGCTTCTTGGTCAGTCTTGAACGCTTAAACGACCAACAAAGTGGGTTGACGACGAGGGTTGGTAGGGGCTACAAGGGCGCTATTGCAGAGCCAAGTCGAGCAAGACCCAGGATCTTCTGCAGAGCAACTTGCGTCGCCAAAGGGGGAGGGACGATAGGTGGATGATATAACACTTGCAGGTTCGTGCTTTGAGCGGACCAGGTATGATGCACGTATCTGCGAGAAGGGTGTCCAACCGTCGAATGGAAGAATCACAGCCGAGGGATTATCAGTGAAAGACGTCGCAGCCGTGCATGTGCCCGCAGTGCAAACAGAGTACCAGTACCTGTCATGTGCGCAGATCAGCATCGGGGAGGTCGTCATGACATCGCCAGTGTCGAGTTTAGTCCGTACAAGTACATGCCATTTAGCCTCTCCAAAACCAGGCTTGTGCACATGCCACCAGCGCCAACAAATCACGGCATAGTCTCGCGTTTGTTACCGTGGGTTTTGCGCAGCTTTCGGGCGTACGAGGGACCAGAAGCCTTCGAACCTGCCGCTGCCTGTCCTTGGTACCTTGCTTGCTGCAGGCCAGGTGGGGGCGCTGCAACACCGTCCCGGCATGCAGATGCACTGATAGGCTGCAGCCTTCTTACAGGTAGGAACCTCGCAGATACGTATGTATGCAGAAGCAGTGTTTGCAGCATTTGCAAAGCTTGTCGGTAGCGTCGAGAGGGGGGGTCATGCGCAGCGAACCACAAGCAGGGCGAGTCGAGACAGAATGTGGCCTGCTACAGCGTGGTGGTTGGACGGCGGCATCCGATGTCGCTGGAGGTGACGCCTCGCCCGCGTCGCCATTGGCCACGGGTAAAAAGAAGGTTGCGGGATGGAACTTGGCTTCTGGTGATCATCAGGTTGTTTCTAGTCCAGCGTGGCGGCTTCTGTAACCGTAGCCGATGGTGGCCACGAGCACGAGGGAATCGCGCAAGTTGAGGGAACAAGACCACCACCACTATATCCGGCCAAGGAGAGGGGCGACTCGATCGGGGCAAAGTTCGGCTGTTGGAGATGCGTTGGAACATGGAAGCGTCTGGATTCGTTCTGTGCTCTGTGCTGTCATTGCGCATTGTCCTGTTGAACAGCGTTGGTGCGAGACCATCAGTCGCGATAGTACTCCGTAGCAAGAAGTACAATACTCTGAAGGCGCATGCCAGCGCCGCCTTCTTTCTCAGCCGTGCAAGCATCATGAGGCAGAGGCGCCTCAGCTGAGAATGCTAGACTGTGCACGGAGCAGCTGTTAGTACGTACTAATACTGATCTTGTATTGAGTTTGAAGCTCGACAATCACACGCATCACGCACGATTACAGCTTGTAAGCAGACGAACGAGACAAAGTATCAGACACGAGGAGGGGATGAAGTCTCGCATTCACATGTCATGGGAAGCTGCGACAGTCACAGTTTCCTTCCCGGATCATCTCAGGCACAGCTATTATTACGGCTCTTGCCATTGGCGACAGCAGTGCAACGGCAGGTGCAACAGCTGCACTTGCACAAGTGACAGCTCAGCACCAGAAGCCAAGCGAGAGGGCAAGCAGGACAGCCCTCGTGACTGCCCAATCGCGGCACCTAGAACTTCGCGCTCGCACAGCATAAAGCGGTGAAACTGAGACAAGCAGCAGCCACGCCCAACGGGAATGGTCTGAGCCACGACGGTGCCTTCCTCGCTCTCTCACACGCTCCTGCTTTGTTGTTCTGTCTCTCCCCTCCGTGTCTCCAGGCTGTATTCTGGGGAAGGAGCGAGGTATCTCGGTATAAACTTGCATGTGAAAGTGCAGATAGTTGTGCATAGTACTACTAGTACTATTTGCATGTGCCTGAACAAAGGTTTGTCCCCATTCGGGCTTCTCCGTACGGGGCAGAAGATGAAAGACGGGGTTTGACGACAGACTGACCACATGTAGTATTTCCTGCGAACCTAACAACTTCAACTTGACTCACGGGCACAATCGTCATTCACGTTTTTGCTTCTACATAGGCTACTGAGTCAGTAGTCCCAGCACTCCGTATTGGCTCTAGAGCTTCTGCCAAGCTGCCAACCGCGTGCTCTCCCCTACAAGCTGCCGCGCCGAGTGGGCAAGGTACCCTCGCGCCCAAGCATGGCGGCGGAGTACTTGCTGCTCCTGCTGCGACCTGGATGACATGCCTTGCCTAAAGTTGCTTCTACCCTGGCCTGGCTCTAACCTTGCATCATCATCCTGCCCTGGACCAGGACATGGTACAAGGGCAAACGAGTGCACCTGGAGCAGAAGCAGGGCTCCCTCTGCGTCCCATCATGCAAGGGACGAGCGCAACGCCAGCTTCCGTGTGGCCTCAGTCATTGGCATCTGCTCGCAATTTCGGCAGGCAAGATCCCAGCCCTAGGGGCCCAATTTCCTCCTATCCAGAATATTCGGTCGGCCTTCTAGACGAATCTCCATCGAGCGGAAAGGAGCCAGAGGGTTGGGACGGTCAATCGCAATCGCAATCTTCTCCTTGCCCAGCAGATGAGAATGGCGTGCCGTTCTGGGGGGGGAACTCGTTCGCTACCAAACTCCAATAGACAGTCCCGGCCACGGCCAGGCGGCGACATGGACAGGCATCGCGTATCCTGCCTAGATGAGTGCTAGCACCATGCACAATCAATCGCAGACTCGGCTCCTGTCCCGATGGTTCCGAAAGAGGCCTCTGAAGAGGTTGCGGCTCGGCAATGGCTACGAATGTTGCGTACAATCTGTACGGGCCTACTAGTATCCTCATTCGAAGCATTTGGCAAACTCGAATCGATTGGTATTGGATCCGCGCGGCCCGACGGCTCACGCCGCTTGCGCTGCTGGCCAATGGCTTTCCCCGGATTCCTTTGGCTCCAAAGGATAGCGGCTGCTAAGAATATTCATTGGCGCCTTTAAGCGCTTTGGACGTCGTTTCGAAGCATTCTAGACGCCTGTGTTTGGTGTACCTGGGACAGATTCGGCGCCAATCCGGTTACTCGTGCCTTCAGACATGGGGGAGCAAAATCCCTTGCTCTGCTTCCCTGTCCTATCCCCATGACAGTCGACCAAGGGGCGTCATTTCGGCAGGTGCTGATTCTGTTGAGCCCCTCTTCAAGTCGTGCAGAATTCGACGCCTGTCATTATCTGCGGGTCTCTTCACTCCTTCAAAAAAAAATTTCGCGGGGGGTTGACAGAAAGGGGCTTCTCCGGAGGATCATCCGAGGGATCGAGATTTACTCTGCATGGCCTGCCGCTCTCGAGCTCCTACAACGCTGATGGAAGCTCGAGGATGCTGGAGTATGCCACAACATAATCTGCTGTGGTCTATTCGCAGTGTAGAGAAAGCCAAAGAACCCACGATAATACGTGCCACAAGCTTCACATTACAACTCCAAAGGCCACAGCATCCATTGATACAGAGAAAAGAGGGATACTCCTCTGACCTCTATCGGTAGTTGGTCTTGACGATGACAAGCTCTATACCCGGCCTTGAGTGAAGCTTGGTCTAAGACTTGCCACAGCAGACGAAGCACGAGGCACACATCTCATATTTCGAGATCTTAATGATGGAGACTAGACTCTCACGATTCATATCCGTCACTGAACCCTCGGGTTTGGTGGCAAATGCTGCGTATGCCTATGCAATGAGCTTCTGCTCACCGCTAACGATCGCGAAACTCCAGACCCTAGAGCTAGAGTTGCTGTTCTTTTGACTCTCCCTCACAGGGAAAGGAGAAACTGTTTGATCACCTGCGCGGGCCGCAGCGAGCACTCCGACAACATTCCGGATGGCTCAAGACACGATGGAATGGAAACAGATCGCACCACCACACTCTATGGAACGCCATTGGCCAATTCGCCAGGGCGCGGAAATACATGATCCAGAGCTGTCTAAAATTAGGCAGTGGTGATTCTCGCTCGCTGGCAGGCTGTGAAGAAAAGCACCAGGCTGGCTGAAACTGTATTTGGTGCATTGTATGGAGATCAGTCCGGTGTTTGCTTTCCACCGCAAGGCTGGATACTCTCCGGTGGATGTCATGTATGAAGCCAGCCCTCAAGCCGGGCAGCAATGGTACCGCATTACCTAGGCTTAGCCCATCATGCGTGGGAAAGAAAAAAGCGACGCTTATCACATACAAGATATAGTGGCAGACCGGCGGCGTATTCTTTCCACTCCTTGCCTATCAATGATCTGTCACTAATCGTTGAATCTGTTGGCCGTTGGTCATCTCAGAGCATCCCTTATGTGTCTTAGATGTTGTCAAGATTCAGGAATGGATATTCACGTCGAGTGTCTCAGCGACGAGCCTGCGAGGCCGACTATGGCTCCGGCGGGATATCACGACTTTACACATTAGTATGTATATCCCTTAATTCTCGCACGACGCATTTTAGGGGGATATAAAAGACAAGTCAAGTTCCAAGCCGACTTCTTTCATCTCAACGAGTCGGATTCATATCTCTAGGCCTCTACATCTCCATCTTACCGAATCACACTCATCCAGATTGTAAAGTCGAGCCGTCAAGATGCAGTTCAAGCTTCTCTCCATCTTCGCCGCCGCTCTGACGGTCCAGGCCATGTCCTCCACTCAGCAAGGCCAGGCCATGCAGCAGAGCGAGCAGAGCCAGCAGGTCCACCAGCTGGAACAGCTTACCCACGACATCGTGGCTCAGCATGTGGCAGAGTTCCGCGAGCTTGATATCGGCGGCGCTGGACTCAACGCTACTGCCGTCACATCAACGCTGAACAGCGTCAGCGACGCGATCGCCATCACCGGAAACATCGTCAGCAATATCTCTTCCACCACTATTGCTCAGCAGTTTCCTGTAAGCTAAGTCTGGCGGTCTTGGGTAGTAGTAAAGCATACTGATGATATGAGCTTGCCAGGCCCTCGTCAACGGCCTGAGCGCCCTGGCTGGTAACGTGGTTACCAACAGTGGCAACATCGTCACCACCCCAGTCACCTCGACCTTTAACCAGACAGACCAGCAGAGCGTTTACACCGCTTTCGCCAACGTGCGTTATCTCCTCCAAATTAGAAAGCAGTCAAAGAATCATACTGACAGTCATACAGCTCGCTCAAGTCAACGACCAGTTCGTCAGGAGTTTGATCGGTCCGACCGGTGTTGTTTCCAGCTCCCTCCTCCGCGGCCCCATCGCCGTCGTCCTCAACCTGATTGAGAGGAGCATCGTCAACCTGGCCGGTGCCACGATAGCCCGTATACCCGCTTACGCCCAGCAGGCCCAGGGCCAGCTGAACACCATCCACGCCGATCTGGCTCTAACCGCCAAGGTCTCAGCCTAATTATTCTTGTGCTCTTTTTCAGATTTGGGGTACAAGCTGCGGATGAACGATATAACGGGAACTTGAGCGGTCAGGAGCAGAGATGGACCCCCAAGCGAGGCGGAGGGGATGAGATATGAATGATAGGACTTTACCAGCCAGATCTCTTTTGTCATTATTCGAGATAAGGATATGATTCGTATGAATGAACCATTTACTGCAAAAAAAAAAAAATGTTTTGATGAGAGATAATTCCCCAAAAAAATAAGTTGCCCACTATCAGAGTCGAACTGATCACCTTGTCATGTCAAGTAGTTTACTAGTGACACGCTATACCGCTTAGCCAAGCGGGCTTTCAGATGCGGAACGAGATTTTTAATTGAGAATATTAAGGTTTTGCAATGTCTCCACCTGAGGATATCTTTCTCCTCGGCAAAAAGTATGGTCTTCGTACCAACTGAAAGGTCAACCCAACTGTTCCTTCTTCTACGCCGCATGTAAAAGAGAGTAACTGAAGCTTCATCATATATCCGCATGATGACTTGTTGGTAAATGGGATCATGGATTATATTATACACACCCAGAAAAGACTATAAAGTCAGGCCAGACAGTCTATATATACACAGTTTGCGGTTTGGCGACGTCGGGGACGATATGCCGCCTACCCTGTAAACGAGCAAAAGTCTGGCACATGCATCCTGATTCAACCACACATCCAAGAACAGTTCGCTTTCAAGCTACACTCTGCCATTTCCATTGTCAAGAAGTAGAGACTAATAGATCAACAATGTGGCGTCTGAAACTAAATCCAGAGGCATGGTAAAAAAGCAAGCCATCTGGGTGTGCGGCCATCTCAGCGAATCCACAACCCAGGCTTATTCTTCCCAAGGGAATGGCAATATGTCGCTACGAGTCGCCGCAAGGTATGAGTCAAGATTCAGGCATAGAGCCGACATGCCTTCGTACTCTTGGACGGTCCGTTTGCAGATGCCACCTGTTCTCATCTACTCGGTCACAAAGGTTTCGCTGTATCACCGAGAAGGGGTACAGCCCGTGGCGCGTCAGCCTGCTTCAATTCTCCGACTGAATGTTTGTCCTCATCAGTGAATAGCAGTCTCGTTAGAGAGGAAACTGTTCTCGAAAATAGCCGGGCAATACATGCTTGACATGTACGAAGCCAGCGTAGAGCGCTCGTCAAAAGCAGAATTGACGAGCAACAGTACTCTTCACATTGTCGACATGTGATGTTCCTTGTTTCGTGACGGTCGGTTCAAGTGCTCGAGGAGGGCAGCTCTATATTGCACTGCATGCGACAATTGCAGTGGTTTGAGGAAAATCGCTCCGCAACCACGACAAGAGAGTAGCCCGTGAAGGGAAGAGTGTGACGACTCCCAGTGTTCACCTTGTGATACAGCATGCCAGGGCCCGGGGGTTAGTCGTGCGATGAGAATCGAAACCTTGTGCACATCCGATTAGCACTTCCAGTGGCCGGACCTCTTCGTCACAGCGCCATATCCCTGTTTATCAGTAGCAATGGGCATACGAGTACTGGTAAGCTTAAGCATATAGTGATAGCGGATCATCTTTCAACGTGGAGCCGCTCCCGCTCTCCGCTTCTGGGATGTAGAGATTTCCCCAGACTGATCGCTCGGCATCTGGATGTGGAAAATTGCTGATGAGTCGGCTGTTTCGGAGACTGGCGGAGGCCATCAGGACCTGCTCGATCGAGTATAGGGGGGCGTTGCAGAAAGTCGGACAGGTCAGGCCTGGGCAACGGTCAAACGGAACACAGCTGAACAGAAAGGCTGGCCGGTTCTTGTCTCGATTCATATAATTCAAGACCGGGGAAAGCTGCCTCTGCTCTCTCGTGACCAGAGCTCGCAACCCCGCGAGACCGGCATCTGATCCATTGCAGCGGAAGTTTTGCTCCCGCTTCTCTCGCAATATGGAAAACGGTATGCTAACAGGGGCGAGCTCGAGTGGTGGGGCGAGGAATGCGGTAGGACAGAAGACCGCGTGGGTGCAACCAACGAACCATAGACGAGACGGATGCCCGAATCCGTGTCGAGGGCCTCGTTGCTCTGCCCTTTCTACTGTGATACGATACGTTCTCTGCGCTTCGGGCTCCGTACTATGCGCTTCGGGCTCCGTACTCCATGTAACCGTTGTGCTCCCCTCGACCGCGGAAGGTGACAAGAGGCGAATACTATTTTGAATAGCACGATTCAAGCAAGAGATAACTTGGACTCACTGCCAGGCTTTCATGCCCTCTCGAGTCTCCCACGATGTCATGGCGTCTCTGACGCAAACAACACGCTGCTCTTGGTCGATTTAATTCACTAGGAGACGCCGCCGGAAGTGCTGAGATCATCCCATCGCTGAGGCAATCGAGTGGCGAAGGCGGCAGGGAGGTGCCGCTGTCTGGTTTTATTCGCAGCCAAAGTCGCAGCACCGGCTATTGACAACGATGGCGAGGAGCCGAAACAGCCACAGCCGGCGGCTGCAGTCGAAGCGAACTGATGGCCTCTTTCTGAGCCTCCATTGGCCTCGTCATGGCTGTCCATCAGCATTCTCAGGCTATATTCGATTCTCTTGCTGGGCTCGCATCCAGTAACCCCCAGTTGGCGTTGGTTCACGGGCCGATGTGACACGACACATGCAGCTTCACGATTATCCAGCTTCCCCAAAGCTGGCGTCGAGGCGGGTTCCTCGAGCACGTCGACGCTTGAAAATTTTATATTAAGCATCAAAAGCTAGGGACCTACCCGTCTGAGGTCGCATCCTGCGATGGGTTCATCCCAAGTTGATAGCCGGCAGGTACCGGCAGGTAGCGCGCGCAGCCAGGCGTGGTGTGCCGACTACCGCAGGGTACATGGCGCGTGGACAGGGTTGCCATGCAAACCCCGCATTCGCGTGTCGAGGAAATTGCCCATTAGGAAGCTATTGCGGCCATTAGCAGGATGACGATGGATGGTCGGGTGGATGGGAAAAAGGGAAAAGGGAAAGGCGAGGAGGGAGAAGGGGAAAGGGGAAATTGTGAGTGGTGAGTGATGATGGATGATTGAACGGCATGCGCGAACATGCAGTGGTTCGTGAGGGCTCGAACGCGACTCGCCTGAGCGCTGCGCCTGTGTCCGTGTGTGGGCAGCGCGATGAAGCGTCGCATTGCGTCCAATCCCGACCCCATGCTCGTTTCCCCAGGCTTTTGATGCTGATGAGGGGGAGGCAGACCAGGAGGCTACTGTATGTATGGACTAGCCGCGGAGGTTTTCTCTTCCCGCAGAATGGGCGTGAGTGTGAATGGCCTGTGGACTCGCAGCCTTGCCTTAGCTAATCGGCCGAACCCCATGCGGAGAAACGGCGCCTCCTGCTCCCCCAGAGAAATAAAAGTGGAGGGGCCAAACAGACAACAAAAATGCAAGCCTCTGCCCACTTTTCCTCCCTGTATTTGACCGTTGATAAATCCCCGTCTCGCCTCGAGCCTCCGGAAGACGCGACTCTGCCTGCGTTTCTCCGATCCAAGGCCACGGGCACAGGCACAGGCACAGGCACAGGCCTCAGCGATCGGCAAGCCCCCAGAGCCATGGCCACAGCGGCCGCGGCAGCAGCTGGCGGCGCGGCGGCGGTTGCTGCGGGTGCAGACACAGGTGCGTTCAGTCCCGTCACTTGCTCACGTTCCAGCCCGGTCCCTCTGCAGCCGCGTGGGTGGCACCAGACCGCCCCGGGCATTGGGACCAGTGCAGTGCAGCGCAGCGCAGCGCAGCGCATTGAGTGCACCTCAGTGTGGCCCCCTAACTAACGCTGCTGTGGCTCCTCGGCCACAGGCGCTGCAGGCTCTACAGGCCCTCCAGGCCCTCCGGGCACAGGCTCCATGGCGATGGGCTCAGCAGCTCCCGCGGGCTCAGTGGCTGCTGCGGCCACTGCAGGCGCTTCAGCTGCTGGCGCCGGCGCTGTCCACGCCCTCACCACCTCGCCCGAGTCGGCCTCAGCCTCCCAGCCCGCGTCGCCAACCGCCTCGACCACGCCGCCGCACAACTCGCTCGCGTCCGCTGCAACCTCGTTCCACCACCATCCTAGAGGCCGCCTGGTGAGCAGAGCCTGCGATCGCTGCCGCCGGCGCAAGGCCAAGGTCAGTCTAGTCCGTTTGATCCTGTTGTTGTTCACTGCCCCTCCTCCTCGCCGTCTCTCGATCCCTGGTCCCTGCTCTTCATATGTCCTCTCGCTGCCCGGTCCTCCTCCCCTCGTTCCTGTTCCCCCTCCTCCCGTCCCCCTCTCCTGCGTCTGTTGTGCGTACACAACATACATACATACAATACATCAGCATACATCACAAGCGTCGTGTCGTGCTGTGTTGTGTGTTGTGTTTTGTATTGTGTTCATAACTCGTTCACACTGCATTCTCGTCTCTGATGCTGCGCTACTCCCCCGTCTTACACTTGGATACTCTCGCCTTGCCACCACTGACAAATGCCCTCCCCCGTCCAAAGTGCGAGTACCTCAGCGCCGTCGATAGCTGCACGCACTGCCGCGATGCCCACGTGCAGTGCACTTTCGACCTCCCACTGGCCCGACGCGGTCCCAAAGCGAGGAAGAAGAGCGACCAGCCCGGCCAGCCGCCTCCTGATCCGAGCTCGCTCTCCACCGCGGCTCGACCCGGCCAGATGCCGCCGCCGCTGACCTTCGCCGGCCCCGCAGTAGCCGCGCTGCAGCCCTTCGCCTCGGCGTCGCTGTCGCCCGACGCGGCCTGGGAGCCCGTCGAGCCCCTCGGCATTGACAACGGCCTGCCCCGGCAGCCGCTGGGCGACCTGCCCGGCCTCTCCACCATCCAAAACATCTCGACGCGCCAGCGATGGATACACCTGGCCAACGCCATGACGCTGCGCAACACGACGCTAGAGCGCGTCTCGAAGCGCTGCATCGACCTCTTCTTCGACTACCTCTACCCCCTCACCCCCCTGGTGTACGAGCCGGCCCTCCGGGACGTCCTCGCATACATCTTCTCCCAGCCCTTGCCTGGGGTCAACCAACCATCGCCTCTGTCGCAGCTCACGCCCGACCCGACCACCGGCACCACCCCCCTCAGCGCTGCCGAATCGTGGGTCGGCTTTGGCCAGCCCAACGGCTCGCGAACCGTCGGCAGCAGGCTGGCTCCCTGGGCTGACTCGACCTTCACCCTGGTCACGGCCGTCTGCGCAGAGGCGGCATTCATGCTACCCAAGGACATTTTCCCCGAAGGAGAATCCGTCTCTGAGATCTTGCTCGAAGCCTCCCGAGACTGCCTGCACCAGCACCTCGAGGCCGACCTGGAGAATCCGACGGCCAACTCGATTGCAATCCGGTATTTCCACTCCAACTGCCTCCACGCTGCGGGGAAGCCCAAGTACTCGTGGCACATATTTGGCGAGGCCATCCGCCTGGCGCAGGTCATGCAGCTGCACGAGGAGGCTGCCCTCGAGGGGCTCGTCCCCATCGAGGCAGAGTTCCGCCGCCGCTGCTTCTGGATTCTGTACCTGGGCGACAAGTCCGCTGCTATACTCAACAATCGGCCCATCACCATCCACAAATACTGCTTCGACGCCGGCATCACCACGCTATATCCGTCGGGCATTGAGGACGAGTTCCTGAGTACGGCCTCCGAGCCTCCCCGAAAGAGCTTCATTGCCGGCTTCAACGCAAATGTGCGGCTGTGGCAGTCCGCGGCTGATTTGCTGCTGGAGATCCGCGTGCTGCAAGACCAGATGATGCAGCACTTCCGAGGGGCCATGCCCCCCAACCATGTGCTGCCCTCCGCCGACAGGCAGCACCTCGATTCTCTCTATGTTCGCTTCATCACCTGCTTGGACGATCTCCCGCCGTACCTCCAGTCGTGCACCTTGGCCATGGCAGCGATGGCTGAGGGCAACGGGTCTGCCGAGTCCAAGCAGTACGTGATACAGTGCATCAATCTGCAGGTGACGTTTCACTGCCTTCGCATGGTGATTACGCAGAAGTTTGAAGATCTCTCATATTTTGCTCCTGGCGTTGAGCAGGCTGATCTCAGGAAGTCGGAGATTGTGCGAGACATGCTGAGGGTGATGAACGAGGCGCCCTTTTGGGGCCTCCAGGCCAATGGCGAGCCAAACGTGAGTTGTTTCTTTCTCTCTCTCCTCTTTCCTGCACACCCTTTCCTGGATCCCCCTCCTTATATCCCTGCGGATATTTATACATTTACGCCTCGGCACTTGTTGTTGTTGCTAACCTGTCCTGCTTGTTATCTGGATGCCCACAGGTTGAAAAGATTCGCCTCATCGGAGCTAGTTTGCTGGCCATCATCCACCGCAACCAGGATTCACCCTTGGCCACGCGAGCCAGGAGCGACTTTTCCGTGCTTTTGGATATTCTCACGCGGCTGGACTCCAAGGCGTCGGACCAGCTGAGGAACACGTCTAATACCGTTGTTGGCTAAATGTGTGTGGAAAAATCATTGTCGAAGGCGGATGTAAATATGGCAAGGATGTTGTTACTTTTCCCTTTCAGCGTTGCTGGGGTATCTTCCTTCCCTTCCTTTTCTCTGTCTTTTTTTTTTTTTCCAGCCAGGGGGGACAAAAGGCGTTTCCTTTTTATTTTTTCCCCCTCCCAGTCAGGGCTGTTTGATTTAGCATTTGAGTGTACATCTGCCCTTACTTAATGAGAATATGGACATCTCCCGCCAGTCCCGGGATTTCATCCTGTTGGTGAATATATCCGTGGTGAATTGACTATAAAGTAAGGTAGGAATGGGGTTGCAATGCAGTTGATGACCCTTGTGAGAGCCAAAAATAAGCGAAGGATGAAAGTTCTCACAAGGATTGGATACGAAGTGAGACGAGTGTGATCGGGGAATTGCCGGGATCGTGGCGGAGAAACATTGGGACGTTGTTGTAACGCTGCGATTTTCTCCGTATTACTGCTGCTGCTGATTTACCTACATATCTACATCTTTATAGATCTACTTGTAAGGTATAGATATATCGTCCTTGATAAGGAAAGTTATATATATTCATGTATAGCATATGGAAAAAAAAAGGCATATATACAGGGCAAGATAGGAGGCTTTGTGCCTCTTGTCTCCCATTTGTTGTAATGAATGGCTGATATAGGTAGGTAGCATTGCATTTTCAAACATGAGGCTAAACTTGAGCTTCGTACGGCTGATGACTTGCTTGCTTGGTTGCTTGCGTGCTTGCGTGCTCGACTTCTGCTAGGACCTGTAGGTACCTAAGGAGCGAAGGGACAGACAGATACACACGGGCAGACAGACAAGAAAGAAGAAGGAGAAAAAAGAGGCAAAGAACAAGGGAAAGCACACAGACGGCATAAGGGCATAACAAAGGCAGAATTCGACAAAGGGGGGCCACGAGCAGGGAGCAAGGGATCATGGGGAAAAGGAGGAGAGGGTATTGAGGACATAGGGAGATAGAGAGGAAGAGAAGAAGATGCATAGAGGCTGAATGCAGGGTGGTTTTTGTCATTTTTCATGCCGCCACTTTAACCCTCTGCCGTGCCGCAAACATGTCCTTGAGGACCAGGGCGGACTTCTTGGGCGTGCGCTTGAGGGTGGTGTAGTCTGTGAACGTGACGCCGAATCTGGGTCCGTAGCCATCTGACCATTCTGTTTCGTTGGAAAATGTAAGGTTAGTTTTGAGGTTGTATCAGGCAAGGGGCAGGGGTGTGGGTATGAGGAACTGTTTGTCAGAGGGGAGGAAAGAGAGAGCTCATGGATGGCTTACCCAAGTTATCGAGCAAGGCCCACGCAAAGTAACCCTTGACGACGACGCCGTCCTGGCTAATGGCCTTGGATATCGAGTCCAAGTGCGAGTCAAAGTAGCGGATGCGGAAGGGGTCGTTGACGGCCTCCTCGCACGTCATCTTGTCCTCTCCGGGGCACGGGCATCCGTTCTCGGTGATGTAGATGGGCTTGCCGTACAGGCCGTACACCCTGGCGAGATGCTTCCGGAACATGTCCGGGCAGGAGCGCAGCCAGGCGAGGCCGCTCTCCTCGCCGACGGGGCTGCCGTCCTTGTTTTCCTGGTGCTCGTGGATGGCGCCGAGGTAGTCCGTCTCGGGGACGGGGCCGTCCATGTGGCGCGCGAACTGGGAGGTGTAGTAGTTCATGCCGTAAAAGTCAGTCTCTCCGGCGTTGAGGATGGCAAAGTCAGCCGGGGTGAAGGCCGGAAGCCTGTCACCCAGCTGTTTCTTCATACAGGCTGGATAGTCCTTCTTTAAGCTGGCAGACGAGTCGGTCAGTTACAGCTCATACTTGGCCTTGAATGGCAGAGCAGACTCACAAGATGGGATTGGCAAACCACCCAATGTGGAATTCCATCCGTCGCTCCGCAGCCTCCTTGTCCCTGGGGTCGTTGCTGTCCCAAGGCTCATAGTAATCGCCGTTGAGAGAGATGCCGATCTGGCCCTTTTGCGAGGGGCGAAAGTCTCTGCTGTAGACGGCCACGGCGCGGGCATGGCTCATAATCTGGGCCTTTCCGGCGAGCCATGGCTCAGTAGCAGTGTCACCCTCGGTGGAGTGCTTGTTTATGCTGCTCCTGCCCGGGGCGTTGCTGCCGGTGGCGTATCCCTGGAGTGGGATTAGTACCATGAGTGGGATGAGGAGGCGGTGCCTGAGATACAGCACTGCTAAAGGACTCACATAAATGGCCTGAATCCACGGCTCGTTGATGGTGATCCAGTTCTTGACTCGGTCTCCAAAACGCTCAAAGCACAACCGCGCATACCGCTCAAAGTCCAGCTGGACCTCTTCCACATTGAGCCAGCCTCCATAGCGATCGTGAAGCGCCTGAGGCAGATCCCAGTGGTACAGAGTGACCCAGGGCGTGATACCCCGCCTCAGCAGGGCATCAATCAGCTTGCTGTAAAACTCAATCCCTTCCTCGTTGACGGGGTCCAGCCTGCCGCCGAGGGGAATGATCCGTGACCAAGACAAGGAGAAGCGATAGGCCTTGGCGCCGTACTTGGTCAAGAGGTCAAAGTCCTCGTCGTAGCGGTGATAGTGATCGCAGGCAACATCACCGTTGGCGCCGTTGGTGCGCGAGGGCTCCAGGTGGCAGTACGTGTCCCAGATGGACGGCCCGCGGCCGCCTTCTTTGACGGCGCCTTCGATCTGGTAGGCGGCCGTGGCGAAGCCCCATTCGAAGTCGTTGGGCAGGGCTAGAGAGTCGGGCATTTTGGGCTGTTCTGTTTGTTGTTGTTGCTTTCGCTGCTTCTTATGACCTGGCTGATCCTTCTCCTTGATCTGACAGAGTTTGCTGGAGGTGCGTAGAGAGTACAAAGTATGTGCCCTGCCTCGCCTACGGATGGTTAGGAATTAGGGATAATAGCTCAACTCAGGCTAATCATGTCCAGGTGACAAGAGCCCGTTATCGAAACGGACCGACCCCGATGAGGCTCATCGTCGTGCCAGGGGGAAACGGCTTTATACCCACCTGTGAGCCCAGCGATTGCCTTGGTCCTCGCCTCTCGCTCCTCTCTCTCTCAGGGCCGGGTGGAGCCTATTATTCCGTCGAGAACGGTTCGAGTTCGTGGGGACGTTAATCATGGAGATGGAACGTGTCTTGGTCCCGCTCTTCCGTCGCCTGTTCCCTCCCAGACATCCGGCTCGCTGCCCTGGGCCTTATCTCGAGGTCCATCACCAGCCGCCCTCCCCAGAGAATGCAGCACATTCGCCCCCAGGGTCCCGATACCCCGTTGCCCTTGGGGAGTTGCCCTAATGGGGAAATAAGGACGGGCGTCGTGCGCCATCGAGTAGCCGGCGATGATCCGTGATTGGCTGTTGGCTCTTAGCCGGCATCTTTCGAATTATCCGCCCTTCTTCGAAGCCTCTCAGCTAGCGCTGGCCGTCGCTCTACGGACGCTGATTTCTCCGATTCGCCGGCTGAGATCAGAATTCGATCTTGTTGCCCCCCCGTGGGGAAGCGACTGAACCCTGGTCGCCCAGCTGCGCGCTTACCTAATTTCTCTGCATGCTTAGCTTTGTCTCAGTCTCTACCTTATTTGACCCGTCGATTGTCCTCATCTGTGATGCTGTCGAGATGTTCGTGAGATGGGACGATGGAGTTGCTTCTGTTGTTGAGATCTCAAACAATGGCGACTGCCCAACGGTTGGCCGTGGCTGCTCGCCTTCACCGAGGATGGACTCGCCCAGTGACTAAGCAAGGCCGAGCCGGCGCAATTTTTTTGCGCTCGGTGAACCTTGGTTCAAGTTTGCGGCGCGTGGCGTGACAAGCAGCTGATGAGCTGAAGCCGGGCTTTTGATGCGCCCAAACTCTGGCCCTCTACAACTCTGTCGCAATTCCTGGCAGAGACGATTCCAGATGATGTACGATGGCTCCCTCTGCGGCGCGCACGGCAGACGGGATCTCGTCGCCAATTGAGCTCGCGCGGATACCTCCCTTTTGGCGGCGCAAGAATGGCATCCTACTGTACTTTCTGCTCACGTCCTCGCTGCTTGCCAGCGCCGCGCTTGGGATTGACGGGGTGAGTCTCGTTTACGCTTGTTCCTCTTACGTATTGGGCAGGCTAACGGTGAGGAATCGTCGCAGTCAATGACCAACGGCATGCAAGTTCTCCCGACGTGGCAGGACCAGTTCGGTCACCCCCAAGGCGCAACCCTGGGCTTCTTCGGCGCATCGAGTGCCATCGGCGGCGTGATCCCCTTTATATTCCTCGGCTGGATCAGCGACCGATGCGGACGCCGCGTCCCGACTGCCCTTGGCTCGATTGTCATCATCGCCGGCGTCTTGATCGAGTTCTTTGCTACCTCGCTTGGCATGTATATCGGAGGCAAGATTGTGCTCGGGGTTGGGTCCTCGCTGATTCAGATGGGCGCGCCGGTTCTGGTGACGGAACTGAGCCATCCCAAGGAGCGGGTGCAAATCACCACGTTTTATAACACGTCAATCGTGCTGGGATACGTGATTGGCGCATGGGCAACATATGGGTGCTTCCGCATCCCCGGATCGTGGTCATGGAAACTACCAACGCTTGTCCAGATCATTCCCTCCGCATATCAGCTCAGTCTCATCTTCTTCTGTCCCGAATCACCTCGATGGCTCATTGCCAAGGGCCGGGTGAGAGAAGCGCGCGAGATTCTGGTCAAATATCATGGCGAATGCGATCCGAATTCCGAAATCGTCAACTTCGAGTGTATCGAGATTCGGCAGGTCCTCGCAAAGGAAGCGGATCAGAACATGACCTGGGTGGACTTTTTCTCCTCGATACCAAACCTAAAGAGGCTATCTCTCTGCTTTGCCACCGCCGTCTTTAGCCAAAGCTCGGGTAACCTGCTCGTGTCAAATTACCTCACGCAGATCCTCAAGGATACCGGCGTCAAGTCTGAAAAGGACATAACCCTGGTCAACGGCATGGTGACGCTCTGGCAGTACGTCGTGGCGCTCGCCGTCACGGCCTGCATCAACAAGCTCCGACGGCGCACCTTCTTCCTCATCGGCTCTGGAGGCGTTTCGCTCACCTTCGTTGCCTGGACGATTGGCGCTCAGCAGTATCTCGAGCACGGTTCTCTCGCAGCCGGCCGACTAGTCCTCGCATGCATCTTCATCTTTCAGGCCTTTTACACAATGGCCTGGACCAACCTGGTGGTGACATACCCCCTTGAGCTGGTCACGTACCAGATGCGAGCCAAGACGTGGGCCTTTGTCCTGCTCACGGTGCAGGTGGCCACCATCTTTGGCAACTATGTGAATCCGATCGCGCTGCAAAACATTGGGTGGAAGTTTTACATTTACTATTGCATCTGGGTCGCGCTGATATTCGTCATTGTATACTTTTTCTTCGTCGAGACCTCGGGCCCGACGCTGGAAGAGCTGGCATATCTCTTTGACGGGAGAGAGAAGAAGGAGCGGCTCTCTATCGAAGTACGAACGCAGGAGGACGAAGAGCTTCGCACGCAAACCGAATCCCTGGGGGCCAAGTCGGTTTCCGGGTCATCTGTATAAAAAGAAAACGGCAGACTGGAGGTGCTCGGTGTGCATACCTTACGAGGATGGGCGAGATCAGTTATAGAATAGGCATGGCGTTGGACTCGAATTCGGACAAATGGACATATAGAATAGATAGATACCTCGGTCAATTCAGCTCTTGAGAAACTATGCTCCAGCAATACTCCGAGCCATATGGAAGCACAGCAGAAGCATCCGATGCTGGTGGACTTATTAGGTAACTCTCGCCGGAGCTGCTCCGTCTCGCCGACAGGGGTTCAACCAGGCAGCAGCCGATCGAACCCCCGGATCTCCACCGCTAGAGAAAACGTAAAGAAAAGGCTCTTCTGGACTAAGAGACAAGCGAGTAATGTGGATTGTAGAAGGATTCGACCACGTTCAGGAACAAAGAAAAATGGCTCAAACGTGGCACGAACCGGTCCATGAGGCTACATCTAGGCACTGTACGTGATATGAAAGATGCGACTCTCTCCCAAGACGGACAGCCGGACCGGAATCCGCTTGATAGTACTTATATGTATTGACTCGCTGGTTCGTTGGTTGGGCCAGGTGCCGTGACAGAATCCCTCAATGTGACGCTATTCCAGGTGCCACAACCGTCGAGAGGCTAGAACCGGCACTTTTTGGCAGCAAAATTTTTCCATGGCTGGGGGGTTTTGAACCCGTGTGTGTGTGTGTGTGTGGCGTGGAGGGCACTTGGTGATATTTTCTCCGTTGCGCTTCATCTGCCGTTGAGATAACGAATGTACCTTAAGTTAGCCCGGGAGATGAAGTGGAGATGAAATTGCTAAGAGAGGTGCGAATGATATCATGGCCGTTTTCAGCTACAAGTGCCATGATTCAGGAATACGCGCCGTTTGTTTGGAGAGAAAGTGAGGAGATGGGGACCGGGGGTTTTGTATGGGGTATGGGGTATGTACTGTAGTAGTAGTACTACTATCACCAGACCTTTTCATGCCATGGCCGGTCGAGCAAGGCAAAACAGCATTTTCGGGTACGTTTGAGGGGTGAGAAGTTTTGAAGGCTGAGGGCGAAGGATGATACTGTGCCGTCTTCTAGAAGCAAAGTGGCGTCCAGGCTTGGGCTCGTGAGGGTTGTATTGCATGATAGGAGCTCTTTGGTGATGGTGTGGTCGGGCTGTTGTTGGCTTGTGATACTTCAAGTATTGCCGAGCTCTGACTACTGCGTTATCGAATCAGCACCTCTTCAAGAACTGAGAACCCCTGCAACTTTCAGCCAGGATGTCACCAACGAAGATAATCCGCGTGGCACCAAAGTCCGTTCACAAGAAACGATGAAAGCAAAGTACCCCAGCCGTCGAAGACAGGTACATACTTGGAGTGGGCATTTCTGCCCGTTTTATCTTCCACCTTGCGAACACGGAGGGAAACATTGACGTGGGCGTATTTTCGTACAGTATATACGCGGAGTTGTCCGACCCCTCCAACTCGATCGACATGGGGAGAGAGAGAGAGGTATTTTCGCCCCTCCATGTCTCCATTGCGATGGGGATGAACAGATGGGGGAAGAGGGAGGAGGGAGGAGAAGCTTCTCCGTTATGCTCACTGGCCCATGGGGTTCTCCCCCGTCATGGTGGTATTTTCCTGTGAAAGCGGAGGCAATGTGGGACGTGTGTAAGTGGCCTTGGTTTTGCGGCGATGATATCGGATGGAGGGCATGTTCAAGGAAGCATATAGTATATAACACAGGGTGCCGCGTGTGAGGGAGATGTGATATGCGATTGTCGGTTTTGTGCTCCCTTGGACTGCATATCGGGCATCTGCTCCTCAACGGGTCTTTTGTCTCACTTCTCGGAGAAAACTCCAGTCTCTTCTTACTTGGCACCCTCGAAGCTGTACATGGTCCAACAACAACAACAATAACAACACCATCACCATGTCAGACGACGGCAAGGAAATGACGGAGACCAAGTCTCACATAGACCCCTCCTCCTCCCCAATCAGCCCCCCCGACGCCGCCTCCGTCGACGCCCTCATCTCCTCCATGGAGGAGCAGCTCGCAGCCTCGGGCGGTCTCGAGACGGGCTTCTTCCAGGTGCGCTTCGCCGACCCGCGGCACTTTACATGGCTGCTCGTCGCCTTCGCCAGCATGGGCGGCCTGCTCTCGGGCCTGGACCAGAGCCTCATCTCGGGCGCCAACCTTTTCCTGCCAAAGGATCTGGACTTGAGCGCCAGGCAGAACAGCTTGGTGAACGCGGGCATGCCGTTGGGGGCTGTCGGGGGCGCGCTGTTGCTGTCGCCGGCGAATGAGTACGGGGGGAGGAAGTGGGCGATTATTCTGTCGATTCTGCTGTACACTGTTGGTGCTGCGCTGGAAGCAGGATCCATCAACTTTGGTGAGTTTAGCAGAACAATCGTCTACCTTTCTGTGAGCCAAACCTTGCTGATAGGGTTGTTTTAGGAATGATTGTCTCTGGCCGTGTTATTCTGGGCCTTGGCGTTGGTCTGGAGGGCGGCACGGTTCCAGTGTATGTCGCTGAGACGGTCGAGCGTCGTATTCGAGGCAATCTCGTCTCGCTGTATCAGTTCAACATTGCGCTTGGAGAAGTGCTCGGATATGCCGTGGCAGCCATCTTCCTCAAGGTCCCCGGCAATTGGCGCTACATCCTGGGCTCGTCGCTGCTGTTCTCCACGATCATGTTTGCTGGGTAAGCTTCACATACACCTCCTTTCACAGTGATACCATTATAAGGTTATAAACTGACGATGTTCTCTCGAAAAGCATGCTGTTTCTGCCCGAAAGCCCCCGGTATCTCATGCACAAGAACAAAGTCTTGGACTCGTACAAAGTCTGGAAGCGCATCCGCGGCACAGAATCCCCCGAGTCCCGCGAGGAGTTTTACATCATGGCCAACTCCGTGCAGCAGGAGAACGTTGCCGTGACCGAAGGGGCCAAGAACCAGCGCTTCCCCTGGATGGACTTTTTCACGTAAGTTGGTGAAGAACCTTGCGTCTTTTTGCATCTTGCTTCGTCAGCTAATACGGGAGAAAAAAAAAAAAAAAAGCGTTCCTCGTGCCCGTCGAGCTCTCGTCTACGCCAACATTATGATTCTCCTCGGACAGATGACGGGTGTCAACGCCATCATGTACTACATGTCCGTGCTGATGAGCCAGATTGGCTTCGACGATGAAAAGGCCACTTACATGTCCCTTGTCGGAGGCGGATCCCTGCTCATCGGCACCATTCCCGCCATTTTCCTCATGGAAACATGTGGCAGACGGTTCTGGGCCATTACCATGCTTCCTGGCTTCTTCATTGGCCTGGTCCTGATCGGGGTGGCTTATTTGATTCCCCTTGACAGCAACTTGCCCGCGGCAGAGGGTCTGTATCTCAGCGGCCTCGTCGTATATATGATGTTCTTTGGGTCCTACGCCTGTTTGACATGGGGTACGTTGAAAGCTACATATCTGGCCCTTGGTACCTTATGATGACTCGCTTACTGACGCATTGTGCAGTCGTCCCGTCAGAGGTCTATCCCACGTACCTCCGCAGCTACGGCATGACCACCTCCGACGCCCTCCTCTTCCTCGCCTCCTTCATCGTCACGTACAACTTCACCGCCATGGAAGCCGCCATGACGCGCACCGGCCTGACGCTGGGCTTCTACGGCGGCATCGCCTTTGTCGGCGAGATTTACCAAATCTTCTTCATGCCCGAGACCAAGGACAAGACGCTCGAGGAGATTGACGCCGTCTTCTCGCGGCCCACGGGGGACATTGTGCGGGAGAACTGGGCTGGCGTCAGGGAGACGGTGGCGGATCTGTGCAGCGGGCGGTTCAAGAAGGTGTTTGAGGGACAGATGCAGAGGAGGAAGAGTCTTTCCGAGCCCATGGCTTGATATCAGATGGGTGTTTGTGTGCGGCCTTTGTAGGATGATTGTTGGACGTGTTGTGTTTGGGGTGATATCCAATACGACAGGTCTGGATGTGAATTGAGCTTATTGAACCCAAGCTTGACCGAGTTAGATGCTTATCGTGTAAGCGAATGAGGCCATATCAATGTCTTGCTGGACAACGTGAAGATATCCGCCTTGCAGCAAGTCATGTTCAAACGTATCAATTGACGTCACAGCCAATTCGGCTATATGAACATCTCGACTCCACCACGAAGCTGTCCAATTAACCGAAAGTCAGCACCATGACCGTCTCGAGATGTTGTTAACGATACACGTCCTGCTGCTGATCAAGCGACTACCTGATAGTTAAACACTGAGTCTTCAAATCTACAGACCCATCCCGCCATGTCTCGTCTCCTCACCCGCCGGGCATGGCGGCCAACCGGCTCTTATAAGACGATATATCACACCATACCATCAAGGCACAGGAGCTTCTCACTCACGGCACATCGCCGCATCATGGACACAGCGGGATTCACCGAAACCCAGCTCACCGTCCGGCAGGCAGTCAGCCGAATCTGCTCCCGCTTCCCCAACACCTACTGGCAGCGCCTCGACCAAGAAGAGCAAGACCCCGCGGACTTCCACGCGGCCCTCGCCCGAGACGGCTGGCTGGGCATCGCCCTCCCGGAGCCCCTCGGCGGCTCCGGCCTGGGCATCTCCGAGGCCACCGTCATGATGCAGGCGATTGCCGAGTCCGGGGCCGGCATGGCGGGCGCGCAGGCCGTCCACGCAAACGTCTACGCGACGCAGCCGCTGGCCAAGTTTGGCACCGAGGAGCAGCTGCGGGAGACGATCCCGGGCATCATCTCGGGCAGGTGGCGGACGTGCTTTGGGGTGACGGAGCCCAACGCCGGGCTGGACACGCTGCGGCTGGCGACGACGGCGAGGCGCGAGGGCGCCGAGTATGTCGTTTCGGGGCAGAAGATTTGGACGACGTGCGGCCAGGTGGCGTCCAAGATGATGCTGCTTGCGAGGACGACGGCGTACGAGGAGGCGGAGAGGCCGAGCCAGGGGCTGAGCTTGTTCTGTATCGATTTGGATCCGAGGCAGCCGGGCTGTGGATGCTAATGAGGTCTTCTTTGACGGCTACCGCATCCCCTCGAGTGCGCTCATCGGTGAGGAGGGCAAGGGATTCGAGATTGTGCTGCACGGCATGAACGCCGAGCGATGCCTGCTAGCCGGCGAGGCTCTGGGTCTGGGCTACGCGGCGCTGTCCCGAGCAGCATCATATGCCCGCGAGAGGATCGTCTTCCAGCGGCCCATTGGCATGAACCAGGGCGTCGCGCATCCCCTGGCCGACGCCTACATGCACCTCGAGGCGGCCAAGCTGGCGACGTACCACGCGGCGAGGCTCTACGACGCCAGCAAGACGGACGTTGGCATCACGCAAAAGGCCGTGGGCGTGGCGGCCAACAGCGCAAAGTATCTCGCTGCCGAGGCGGCCTTTTCGGCGTGCGAGAGGGCCGTCTTGACGCACGGGGGGATGGGATACGCGGCCGAGTACGACGTCGAGAGGTGGTTCAGGGAGTGTCTGGTGCCGCGGATTGCGCCGGTGAGCCGGGAGATGATTTTGAATTATGTGGGGGAGAAGGCGCTGGGGCTACCCAGGAGTTATTGAGTTGAAGTAGACATGGCTGGGGTGGTGAGAGTGAGAGTGAGGTTGGTGGTGTAGTTGAGTTGGTGGCTTATAAGTGAGTCTGTAAACGATGAGGACTGTCGATGTACTCGGGCTGTCAAACGCTCCACTACCTGGTTGCACCGAAGGGAATCTGCATGTATCGGTCATGGTTAATTTGATCATGAATGATGAACAGTTGAGCCCGAAGAAATCAACAGCTCATCAAAGAAAGGGCGTCCGTCGTTCACGTCACCGTCAATGCTGCAGCAAAGCCGGAGACCACCGCTCACTCAAAGCCCCCACCAACATCTCCCGTAAGGTAGGCCGAGAACCGGGGCCCTTTCACTCTCACCATACAACCACCGTCTCATCACCAGAAATCAGCCACTCAAAGCCCGCGAGATTCCAGTCCCCGTCTCGCCCGCAATGAAGTCCTCCAAAACAGCATCGCCAGCGCCAGCCGAAGGCGACGGCAAGAAGTCGCGGGCCAAGCACGCCTGTCGCGAGTGCAACACGCGCCGAGTCCGCTGCGATGTCATGGAGAAGCAGCCGTGCTCCAACTGCCGGGCCGCTGGGGCGAGCTGCCAGGTTCTGCCGTCGCGGAGGGGGAGGTAATGAGATAATACAACGAGGCTGGACTTCGCCGAGTACATGGCTGATAACGTGCTTCGGTACAGATACCCTCGTAGGTCCCGTCGGCTGCTGCAGCAGGTGCGCAGTGAGAGCGTCACTCACGCCTCGAGCGACACCGGCCAGTCCACGCCTCTCGACGGAAATGCAGCATCATCTCATCCACTGGCCTCGGACACGCAGGACCAAGCGGCAGACCACCACTCGGGCCATCTCCCGGCCGTCTCGTCCCCATCGTCTCCCACCCCCGCGAACACGCCCGGAACCCGCTTCTACGGCGAGTCCAGCTTCCTCACCCTCGTTCCCGGCGAGGACGAGGGCACGTCCAGCCAGCCCAACGCCCCAGGCGGCGGCGGCGGCAGAAACAACCAGAAGCCCCGGTTCACGTTCCCCATGCCGCCGACGCCCCAGTCAGCCTCGCAGACGGCCCAGGGCGGCGCCCACGGCCTCAGCACCGGCCTGATGCGCTACCTCGCCGACGAGGGCGCCCTGACGCTGCCCGACCTCGAGAGCTGCCTGCCCGCGCTGCAGGCGTACTTTGCCTGGTTCCACCCCAGCTACCCGATCCTCGACCGGGCGCAGATCGCCCGCCGCCTGGCCTCGGCCACGTCCTTCTCCGGCGTCGACATGTCGCGGATGCTGCTGCAGGCCATGCTCCTGATTGGGGCGACGTACTGCGACGCGGCGACGATCCGGGCCATGGGCTTCCAGGACCGGTCGCAGGCCAAGACAGCCTTCTACACGCGCGCGCGGCTGCTGTTCCATGCCGACTGGGAGAAGGACGAGACGGTGCTGATCCAGTCGCTGTTCCTCATGAGCTTCTGGAGGGGGGCGCCGGCGGATGTGCGCGACGTGCGGTATTGGCTGGGGGTTGTGATTACGCTTGCCGAGTCGTATGGCTTGCATCGCTCGTGAGTCCTCTCTTTCGCTTTGCGTCTCTTTTGTGCTGCGATGTTGACGTGGGGTTTTTAAAGGTCTCGGTCCATGTCAAAGGATTCGTATACGGCTTGCATGAGACGACGGATATGGTGGTCCATCTACGTAAGTGCTCTCTTTCCTTTGGGCAACTAGCTACATACCTAGTATGCATTCGAGCTCATAACTCCCTCAATGCAGGTAAGAGAACGACAGGCGTCTGCATCTCTGGGTCTTCCTAGCAGAATCAGAGACGAAGACTGCGACATTGAACCTCTCACTCCGATGGACCTGGAATCTGAAGTTGGCCCCGTCGACTCTTCGTTTGGGTCGTGTCAGCCGGAGCACGTCACCTATGCAATCAAGATGGTGGAAATTGCCAAGCTACGTAAGGATGCTAACCACACATCTCCTCATTCTTCTGATATGTGATGTCTTTTTATACATTGACACTTGACCAGTCGGCAGAATCATCGACCTCCACTTTGTCCCCGGCCACGCCTCCTTATCCTCAACCTCCCCAGACACTCTCCACGACCTCAACGCCTCTCTCGAAGCCTGGATGGCCAGCCTCCCCGAAGACATGAAGTATTCTCCCGATCACGGCAATGATTCTGTCTGGGCGTGCCTCCTCCACCTCGCATACAAGTAAGCGTCCAGCCCTTTAATGTTCTGCTAATATCAGAAGAAGAAAAAATCTCTTCCCACTTGGGCGTCCTTTGACTAACCACGACACCGAAACTCGAAAACGTGAATGAACAAATTAAGCCATCTCAAGATTTTGATACACAGGAATAGCTTCCTCCGCCTCGAATCTACGACGCCCGGGTCCCAGGTCGTGATCAAGGCCGCGTGTCGCATCAGCCGCATCGCCGAGGACATGTCGACACAGGGGACCCTCCGCTACGGACAAATGCATCTGTATGCTCCCCTTTCTCCTCCTCTTTCTCTTGCTATAATCCTTTCTCACAAAAAGTGGCAGCATCACGAGCATCTTCTCCGCCCTGTGCATCCACACCATCACCATCCGCCGCGGCTCAGGCCTCACCAGACGCCTTGCCGAACACCGCGCAGAGACGTGCCTCCTCTGCCTGAAAGAGGTCCAGAAGTACTGGCGCATCAACATCAACATCCTCGACTTCTTCCTGCAGTACCTAGACCGCTCCATCGCCGCGCGCCTGCACGGCATGCAGTCCGACGCTCCGCCTCCGCCCAGCCGAGGGGTCGGAAGAGGAGGAGAAGCAAAAGCAAACGACGCCAAGTCCATCACCGTAGCTGACGCAGCCTCTTCCTCTGAAAACGCAAATCCTGGCTCAATGCCGTACCCTCGTGTCGATTATGAAGCGACCGCAGCAGCAGCAGCAGCAGCAGCACCAACGCTTGACCTTTCCATTCCCGCTCTCGGGCCGGGACACTATCTGGCGCAGGAAGAGTTCCGAGAGCAGTATCTCGGCCTCGTCAGCCAGGGTGACGACGTGCTGGGTGATTGGGATCTGTTTCTGCAAGGCGAGGACTTTTCACAGACGGGGAGTGGGTTCAACGTGTTGGAAAGGTCATTGTAAGTTCCGATGGTTGAACATTCTGACATTCAGCATCTGGTTATAGAAACTATTATACGCGCTACTCTCAATATACAGGTTCATAGACTTTGAATAAAAGACAATCATCATACTCTGCCAACCAGAAGGCATTTCATCCCAACATACCAACGTTGAACAAATAACAGAAAAAAAAAAACAGAAACTCCTTTCATTACAAGAACCACCTAAACTCAGGGGAGCTAGGACCGTCCCTCAGACGCGAGGTAGGAATGTCCCTCGGATCAATCTTGACGCCCGAGCGACGGTCGCGCCTCCTGTTGTCCCAAATCATAAACATGCCCATGCACAGGGTGATGAGCGCGCCAGCAGCGCCAAAGCAGGCCGTGGTGATGAGCGCAGGCTCGTACCGGGGCGCGTCCTGGGTGCGGAAGATGTTGCTCGAGACGAGGCCCATGACGTTGGCGAGGGGCACGCCGACGGAGGTGAGGGTGATGCGGCGGCCCTCGTGGGCAATGTTGTTGTTGTACCAGGTCGAGAGCAGGACGGAGGGCGCCGAGGTGCCCCAGCACATCATGAAGGTGGCGAAGTAGGCGACGTGCAGCTGCCTGGTGACGTCGTCGATGGCGGCGTAGATGATGAAGCCGGTGAAGGTGAAGACGTAGCCGAGGACGATGAAGGGGAAGCGCAGGCGGGTGTAGTCGGAGCAGAAGGCGAGGACGAGCAGCATGACGGCGCCGGTGACGTTGGGGGCGACGGTGTAGAGGTTCGTCTTGACGGTCGAGTACTGCAGGCGGGCGATGATCTGGGGCAAAAAGAGGGCGACGGACTGGATGGGGACGCCGAGGCAGATCTCGATGAGGAGGAAGCCGTAGGCCCAGGGGTATGTGAAGATCTTGAGGGCGTCGCGGAAGCTGAACTTCTCGGCCACGTCGGACGAGGAATCGACCTGGATGCGGTGGAAGGCCAGCGAGCGCTCGTCCTCGGTGAGGAACTTTGCCTCGGAGGCGCTGCGCGGGAGGTAAAAGTAGGCAAAGATGGCGAAGAGGAAGGTGACGCCGCCCTCGATGATGAAGAGGTAGCGCCAGACGAAGATCTTGCTGTCCTTGATGTGGAAGACGCCGAAGGCGAGCAGGCCGGAGAAGGCGTTTGCGATGTTGGACGCGGCGTAGAAGACGGCCAGGCGGCGGGCGAGCTCGCCGCGGCGGTAGAAGGTGGTCAGGTAGTAGATGACGGTCGGGAAGAAGGCGGACTCGGCCATGCCGAGGAACCAGCGCACGGCGAAGATGCCGCTGAAGTTTTGCGTCGCCGCCGTGCAGAGCGTCATGGCGCCAAAGGTGAGCATCATGAGCGGCAGCGCGCGCGAGGCGCCGAACTTCTTGGCCAGCATGGCGAAGGGCGGCGCGAAGATGACGTAGGGGACGAAGAAGATGGAGACGACGAGGTTGTACTGGTTCGACTTGAAGTGGAGGTCTGGGCCCTTTTTTGTCAGAATGGTTGTATGATGATTAGGGGGGGAGGATGAGGAGGTTCACATACCGTCGCTGAGGCCCTTGGTCTGGGCGTTACCCAAGTTTCCCTTGTCGAGGGCGTTGAAGAGGTCTGTATATATCAAAAGGCAACCGGTCAGACGCGTTTGCTTCTTTTTGTCAAAAACGCAGAACGAGAGAAGAAACACTTACACATGATGGCCAGCACAGGCAGGATGCGAATGTCAAACTTGAAGCACAACGCTCGCTCGGCAGGGTGGTCGACGACGCGCGCCGTCTCCTCGATGAAGCCCTCCTTCTGGCTCTCGATCTGGTCGAGGTGGTCGTTGGTGATGTCCTTGGACACGCCATTGTCGACGTTGGGGGCGGCCATGGCGACGGGCTTTTGTTTTGTGTCTTTTAACTTTTCACAAGTGATGATATTGTGAAGTAAAAAGGAAAAAGAAGAAAGACGAAAGATAAAAGAAGGGAAGAAGGGGAAAGGGGGAACGAGGCCGAGGTGCGTGAAAGAATTCGGGGGGATGCAGCCGGGGAGCCTTTATATAAGAAGACGAGTGGCCGTCTTAGCTTGATGCACACCGACCTGCCGGGCTGAGTAAAAGGGTCGTATTTGGCTGGCACACACAGCTGATCTTGGCTGACAAGACAAGCCAGAAAAAGATGATGGTTATGTTGACAACAGCCCCAGGATTCCCGAAAAAGAAGACGGCTGCTTTTTCCCTAGTAGATGAGAAGAAGAGGCAAGCAGGGGGGGATTGCTGAGGGGAGGGATGCCGGCGGCCTTTTATGATGACGGGAGAAATGTAACTCTGTATGAGCAAGACGAGGCAAAAATCTACTTGATTAGCTGTTACGGTTTCTGAAGTGATATACGGAGTTAAACGATTGATAGATAGGCGATCCATGAAGCCGGTCCGTCTACCAGGGGTGGGAATGGGAAGGGAAGGGCAAACCAACGGGCCCCATTCCAGCTGCGTTTCGATGGATGGCCCTATTCTCTGCATATGCCTTTCTTGAGAGAGAAGAGAGAGAGGGATAGCAAGAGAGAGAGCCTCAAGTGACCCCCCTTCACACGCACCCCCAAACAAGAACGGGACATTGTCGAACAAGCAAGAAAGACTTACAATAATAGTACACCTTCCGGCGAGACTAGTAGCCAGCCCAGAGACCCCAACCCAAACAAACAGGTCCCGGAGAAGTGGAAAGATTTCAGCCACCCGTCGAGGAAAAGGTTCTTACGGGCTCTGGAAAGATATCCAGCCGAGGGACTGACTATGTGGCGCGCGTGAAGTGTGTATGTTGCTGAGAGAGAGAGAGCCAGACGAGGCCAACCAGGCCACCTAGACAAGACAAGACAAGACACACACATACAGCCGGGGGGACGGACGCCCTTGTATCCACCAACCCCCCAAATCTCTTATCTCTCGTCTTTTGCTCACTCTCACTTCTCTTTTAGATCCACGCCAACGCAGAGCCGATGATGCGCGAGAAAAAAAAAGGTCGAGCAAGGCAAGAAAAAGATGCTATCTCTCTAATCTATCTTGCTGCTCGAACTTGAGAACAGCGACGGTGCGTATCGTCTGATTGTTCCAGAATGACTCGTGAGAGACAGAAAAAGGACAAGCAGACAGTTGGCCAATGGCCCCCCCTCCTACTCCTCCCCCAGAAATCTCTCCGCGATTTTCAATTCCTCTCCGTGGGGAAAGAAGACTGCAAGCCCAGAGCCAAAAACCTGGAGAAATGGCCAGCTCTACCCCAGTCTTGTCTCTGCACTCTCTGTCTGTCCCGTCGGTTCCTCTGAGTCAAGTGCATGTGAGAGCGAGCGGGTTGCAGTGCTTTGACTAATTGCCACTTACACAGAGGCCGGCAAAGGGGGCCCAAGCGCGCAACAGGCAAAAGTCAATCCCAGCACAACGGTCTATTCGGACTTTAGGTCGGTGGGGAAGAAGGAGGGGAGCTATCCGAAGAGTGGCCAGGGGGGGTGGTTGATTAGAAGTTGGTGAGCATCATCATGGATGGGAAAAAAAAAAGCCGTTTGCGTGGGAGTCAAGGTGAGAAGGCTACGGATCCATAGAGCTTTGATTCTGAGTTTTCAAACTGGGTTGATTGTATATCTGCTTCGTCTTGACATATGAGTTGCTATCGTATCTGACGATGGTTATCTTGTGCAATCAGTGGAACTTTCATGGGGGGTCGGCGAAGATAGAGACAAAAGAGAGAGAGAGAGTATCAAGACCCCCCCCCCCCCGCAGCCACAAAATGCTCCTTCTCGGCCAAATACAACCAACCTGACCGCCATTCAGTGGGGGAACAACAGGCAAGGGCTTTCTACTATAATACTCCAGCGCCCGATAGTTCCGTCTTTCAGATACGAACAAGAGGACGGGGGGAGGGGGGACAGAAAGTATGTGGCCTTACACGGGGGTCAAGCGGCGTAAACCCGACAGCGGGCTCGCCAGCCATCTCGGAAACTCCCTGCTCTTTGGTTCTAGTAGACTGGTAGTTCTGGAGAACGAACCGAAATCCGATTGGCGCAGCGCTTGGGCCAGGCAGAGTGTTATAACTACCTAGTATCAGCTGCTGGTTGGGGGTCAAGGAGGGGGGTCAGATGAGGGGAAGCGATTTGGGGAAGATGGTGGTTGAGCTTCAGCTCTGGGGCCCCCTCTCTCTGGGCTTGTTGCTATCAACCGTATGAGCTCAAGCCTTCTTTGCTTGGAGGTCACTGCTGGCTAGGTACATAGGAGATGGAGATGGAGATGACCGGTATGGACATACCAAGTACGAAAAGACTCATGCGACGAACGGCTGAGACGAACTAGTGGCCTTGTCCTCCGCTCTCAGGCGGGGAGCTTACTTACTTACTTACTATATCCTACCATCGTCTCTTCCCGCTGCTGACCAGCTATAGGCCGACTCCGCTCACAAGCAAGCCAATCTACGTCACTAACAGATATCGTACAGAAACCCGCAGCAGCATGTGGCCCATAGCAGCATCAGCTCGAGCAGCAGCAGCAGCAGCAGCAGGAGTAGTCATAGGTAACGGAATTCAAAACGGGAATTGGGGGCAATACTACTAGTAGTTTGAAACCCGTGGAACGCAAAGGCTCCTCCGCACGTGAACCTAGTCTACTCCTTCTTTTCTTCTCCTCCTCTTCCATCTTTCTCCTCCAATCTTTCACTCTCGTCAACATCACCAACACCATCAACACCACCAGCAACCACAGCACAAACCAGCCCAAAATGTCCGGAAAAGAGCCCGTCCTCACCTCCAACGCGCCCAAGCCCCTGCCCGGCATCTACAGCCAGGCCATCAAGGCCAATGGCATGGTCTTTGTCTCCGGCGCCGTGCCCATGGACCCCGTCACCATGCAGCTGATTGACGGCGACATCCAGGCTCACACGGTAAAGAACTTGCCTCTCCCCCCCCCCAATGATCGGGCGGGCCCGAGTATATGAAGCAGAAGCTGATATATCGTCCACCGAAAAAAGCACCAATGCATCAAGAACCTGTCCGCCATCCTCGAGGCCGCCGGCAGCAGCCTGGAAAAGGTCGTCAAGGTCAACGTCTTCTTGGCCGACATGAACGACTTTGCCAAGATGAACGAGGTGTACAGCACGTACTGGGGCGATGTCAAGCCCTGCCGGACGTGAGTTTCTTCATTCTTTCTTTCTTTTCTCTTGATCCCCTCGTACAATCTTGCTTTTTTTTCCACCATTTCCTCTCTCCGTCTGTTATTACCCCTCCATGGTGGGAAAAAGGGCGGCCCCGCCATCAGATGCAATGCAACATTTGTGGTGGGGGTCCGTGAAGGAACCTTCAGAGAGAGGCTGTGTCGTCTATTCCATCTTTTATGTGTATCTGTCAAAGACAGAACTACCGAGTTGTTGCTATGGCCTTGGATCAAAGGATCAGAGACTGACAATGTGGGTGAATAGATGCGTGGCTGTCAAGACACTCCCCCTGAACACCGACGTCGAGATTGAGTGCACTGCTGTTCTGTAAATGGGAAAGGGAAATCGGGAATGTACATAGAGAGGCACAACAGAAATGAAGAATTGAATCATAGAAACATAGACCAATCTGAAATGAACCTGAGTTGTCGCATTTTCATCAACGTCTTCAGTGGTCTGCCGCCGTAACAAAGCGATGCAAATCCGTGTCAACAATACATACCCAACCTCTGATAGATCTGATTCCCGTGTAAGTGGACATGGCCAAGTCCAACAACATCACCGCAAGCCACTTCACCAATCCTCGAGATGTAATCATATTGTTCGTATTTCCCAGTAGTATATACATGCCTCATGATGTTATTCCAAATGCAAAGTTCATCACAATCTACGCAGCATCCGCCAGCGAATTCTCCACCTCCATCATCTCCCTCATCCCCTCCGCAATCCCCTTCACTTTGACCTCGTCCGGCCTCGGCAGCGGCCTCCTCGCCCACCCGCCGTACCCAAAGTACGCCTGCATCGCCGCCTTGACGCCCACGACGCCCGTCTGGATCGCCACCCAGTCGCCCGCCGCCAGCACGGCCTGCAGCGCCGTCGCCTCCGCCGCCCTCTCGGCCCCGGCCTCGGCGAGCCGCCACAGCTCCACGTTGGCCC